ACTGTACGATTAGATTAGATGGGGCGGCAGCGCACGGCACAGCTCGGGCTCCGCTGACACAGCCGCTCTGACTCACCGGCCTCCGGGGCCGCGTCGGCATGCTGCGCACAGACCAGCTGCGCACGGACCAACGTGCACAGCCTGCCCTAATCTCCCCATGTATATAAGCCGGCCTCTGCTGCCCTAGGGACCTCAGTTTCGACCTCTTGTCCCTAGGTCAGTAAGCCCTCATTTGTATTCCTTTCCTACCTTACTAACTAATACATTCACTTGTCCCTAGCCTTAGGTTTGAGCTTCGCTCACCATCGCTTCGGTGAGAACCAGTCGGACGCCCCTTGCTTTTAGGTATTCCCCTGTCGCTTGACCTCAAGTCGCGACAAGCACCGAGAGAGTATCTAGAGGTAGTCAGCGACACCCCGATGCAGTAGGCCATGTTAGTGGGAAGAAGCGGTGTGCGCATGGTTGCGTTGTCCGCATCAGATTGAAGGCAGTATGCACATCTTCAAGGGCTGACAGTATTATATTCACTGCTCCTCGCAGACCTGTATATTCCGCGCGCTACTACATCAATTCGCATACAGAACACATCTGTGTTGTGGTTGGTTCGACAGCGCCAGACATGAACTGGGGCAAAATATTGAGGCGCTTGCTTGCAATCCTTGCCTCAAGTGGTGTCGGAGCCGACAGGAAGAGCTATAGTAGTTGCCGAGGAGGGGAGATGTGTTGTTACATACGACAGGATTTACCTCGTCCGAACGCTCTATCAAGATATATTGCTCAACGCGATTGTTCACGAGAGGCTATTATGGAAAGCGTGAGGCGGGGGCAATGGATGGAAGCGGGGGGATCATAGCGCTTTCTGATGGCATATACTATATCAGCTACCATGAGTCAGGGACGGGCCTAGGCAGTACAGCTCGCCTCGCCCCGATAAAACGAACACAAATAGTCATTTGACGTGAGCCTCGCTGAGGGACAGGGAGCGCATACTACGCGAAGCAGATCAAGATACTGGGAAGACCATGGATTACCGTGGTCAATTCCTGAGCGTCAGTGCGAACCCGTTCCATGTACTGAGCTTCCTAAGGCGCTTACTGCAAACGCTGGCTGCAATGGGGGGCGTATCGGAACCCATTCGCCATCTTCTCGAAGGATACGCTGGAGGCAGATGATCGAACATGCTCCACATGGAGAGGACGACCAGAGGGATGACGTCGCTTCGTAGGCGCCGATCTCGATGGTCGCCTTACGGGCGTCTACGTTCATCCTCATTGTCTACTGTCGTCTGGGTGGTCATCGCAGATCTGCGATGGGTGCATACAACAGCAGATACTCTCGCAGTTTGTCACCGCCGCCATTCCAGTGTCGATCCATCTTCAGCTCGTTGTCCAATACTAGCACAAACTCTGCCTCTTTGACTTTTACTCCTCGCTCCATGGAGAGCAAGACCGACTCTGAACTGCGGATATCCGGAGATAACTGGTCTGCGGTCCTGGTAGAGTGCAGGAGGGAACATGGCTCCTATGGCAGCGAGAAATATGTAGTGTTATCCGTTCATCCACTCGATGTAGTCCCACCGGCCGCGACAACAATTCCCACACCGACACTGTCTGTCAATCGTGTACTCTATTTTCCTGCATACTGCACATGGATTTCAGGTGGCGTCCCGCCAGTCATCCTTCCGACGTCGGCGGCTGATTTGAATCCTTTCTTTCACCCCGCGCATTGCCAGGATCCCTGGATACTATTGTATGCGCGCTCATTGCTGTCGAACCTCACAAGCTTGTCAGCGTGCCGTGCTGGGTATGCTGTTTTTTCCTATTGGAATCTTCGTTTGCCTGCTTATGGAACCTTGCCGTTTGTCTCTCCGTCGTGCGCGGACAACGAGCATGATGACTTGCTCAATGATGACGTCTGAAACGGGCGACATTCTGCAGCGATGCATTGGTCTAGGGGGGACTCTACCACCCGCGCAACGCGAATATCTGTACCTCTCAGACTAATCCTTCATGTCGTATTCCCTTGTCCATCGACGAACGTTCAATTGCCGGTTCGACTTCAAAGGTGCCCATGTCGCACGTACCGCTGCAAACATGATGCTGCGTTTGAGGTGCCGAGAGGATTTCTAGCTAGTCAATCCACTACTTGTTGTTGTCGCTTCGATGGCGCCGAACTCAAAGCGGTCCAAGGCGAAATGTTCCCGGCAGGCACACAGGCCTCATTTGTTGTGCAAAGCTCTCGCTTGTGACTAGACGCTTGCGCTCGAGCGAACATCACCTCCCAACAGGAGACATGTGCTATTCTTCAAGGGTATCACTTTTTCATTCAGGACACCAGCGTCGTCAGCACCCTTGTGACCTTGCTTGATATGCGAGGATTTGCCCCCCTCGTCTGAATAGTACCTACGTTGCGGCTATACATGTTCAGCCAACGATCCCGCATATACTTTTTACCACGAACGGGCATACCGTATACGTGTACGCAGTGAACTGCTAGGATGACCGCCGTCTTTGTGTCCTCACCTGTCGGTTCCATGATGTCTCCTTTCGAATACTCCGCTGGGTCCTCTTGATCAATGACATCATGCTTCACGCCCAGCAAGACTTGATATCTCACTGACGCGGAGTCCCACCTCTCGAGCGAGGCGTTTACCTCCATCCCACAATCCGACACCCATGAGTCATTGCCGCTGTCCACGGCCTGTGTGTACGTTAGCTGCTTGTTTATGGACATGCTCGAACTGATGCGTCTCTTCTTTACCGTATAGGCATCCACAGGATCACTCGCAGCACGTTGGACGACGGCACCGTGTCGCCTGGATCCCGCGCGCAATGCTCGCGCTGACGCCCACACAGCACATTTGCCGGAGGCGCAAGCGTACCTATCGACGTCTTGGATTTACACGTCCTGCTGGCTGCTGCACAGTAGCGTCCTACACGTCGTCCCCTCCTCGTAATCGAGTGCATACACGAAGATGGATCTAGAGGCGTCTCGTGAGCCTCCGGTGTCGCACGAGAATCTGATCCCTCTGGGAAGCGCGTTCACCTCGCCAGCGAATAATACAAAATAAGATGTGCATGACACCTGCGTGATTCGTGTGATAGTCTCCATCTGGAATAGACAATAATGTGCGGTGTATATGCTCTCGAATCTGCATGAGCACTCCAAGTTCGATCGCGCAGTCTGCGTCAATGCTGGTCGGTCCCAACAGCGCTCGCGGACACAGTGCTCGGTCCCTACGATACATTCATATACGCCGCGTGTCCACAACTCGGCTTCTCAAGTGCTACCTGATACTAGTGGATAGGTCGTATTAGGGACGTTTGTGGTGAAGTCGCCGTCAGCAGAACGTTTGGGAAGAGCAAGGACCCAAGGAAGATTGGGTGTTCATGTTGATGAATCGAAGTCGAGGGACCTATTGTGTTCCTACGAGAAGCTTACAGGCATGTGCGTTGCGGACACCAGAGTCATCGGGCAGATGTCGCTGACAGCCCGTAGGCGCCGAGTCTCTGTTCTTAGAGTAGTGGTCAGATGCGCGGAGGACACACCTCGGTAATGGCGTGGCATCGTGCGATGCGTATTGGACAGCTCGTACGCGCGAGGGAAGGGCACAGAACGATGACGTCAAATGAAGGCGCGAAGTAGAATCTCCATCACAGGCTGACGAGCGCTAGAACGGGATGGTGCTTGTCGTCGGTCGCCGTGTCTGCATGAGTCGCACTCTAGCTCCCTGCTTCTGTCATTTTCCCGCACACTTCTGCTACGAATGAGATGCACATACCTACCAGCTGACAACCGACTTCACCGTGCCGGCAAAAAGGCTTCTTTCTAGCTGTCCGCGATCCGACGCACATCCGCACTCCCCAGCGATCCTGTCTGCGCCTAGCACCGTATCTTATACTGTGCTACCAATATATACATCTTCCGGGGTTGCGATCCTAGAACCTGAGACTGTCCTCACCACTCATACCATCTGGTCTGCGCTGCAGCTGCTCGTCATCTTTGCCTCAGGATGGAGTACATGCTGGTCGGTCTGATATTGAGAACGAGTACAGTGGGCGCGATGATGAGCACGATGGTACAGGGAAGGATGGTGAGTCCTTGAATCCATTCATCGATTCTCGGCATCAATCACTCATGAGCTGCCCGATCCATTTTCTTCCATGCTATCAGAGCGTACCCTCTGCTGCCACGAGGGCTGCTCACTTCCCCAAAACACCTTTAGTCGCTCTCGCAGAGTAGCAGGACGACATAGAGTACATGGGTCGATACCTTCCTCCGCTATCTGAGGTAAATGCCGTCCACGTCCTCACTTCGAGCTTCATAACAATAGCTGCAGGTCGGTGACATCGCGCTGAATATGGACCTCTTAGTTCTTCACTCTGGTCTATTCTTAGAGCATGATACACGAATGCCTAACCAGGAATTGGGCCTAAAGATATGACTGGAACACAGACTGCAAGGTCTTGCACTATTGCGTGCGACAGCGGACGCACGTCACTAGTCCTTGCACCATCTTGGCTGGTTCATCCCAGCTCACCGCGCGACAGGATCGCGAGACCTTCCGCTTGAATTTGATGGCACAGGCAGCCCGTGGCTCCGCAGCATCGGACGTGTGCTGTCTCATCGTGGCGCGTAAGTGCCGTCAAGGCTATGCTCGCTACCAATCAAGCAAGACACCTTCCTTTCCATTCTTCAAGAGTTCGTGCTTCCAGAGTCGAGTGATTATCAGAAGCCGAAAACGGGTTCGGCGCTTTTACATCATCGCCCTGGTGGGAGGGTTCCTGGAGTCAAGTGATGCTTCCCAGCGCCCTTGTACTCGTCTAATGTTCTATAATCTCAGATCATCCGTTGAGGTGACTGGGGGCCTCTCTATATGGACCGTGCGAGGCAGATTATCCAACTGGTGCAGCATCCGGACACATGTATGTCCGTTACCCCATTAATAACCGCTCCCCTTAACATGATCTCCCACAGTCATTGTTTGACTAGGCTGATCTTTGCCGCAAGTCGCGCGTGCAGGTATTCATGGACAGCAGGCGCTCTCGCAAAAGCTCAACCCGTTCAAGGAGAACGTCGAACGCCAGCATCTCCGTGGATAACGCGGCTCATGCTAGCTCTCCTGCTGAGCAGGGCGGAGTCTCTCCTGAGGCTCATATAGACAGCAGCATTACCATGGCCATGGCGACTAGTCCCCGGCAAGCTGAGTCTTCGTCAAGGGAGGCCTCGCTCAAAGAGATTATCGCACTCCTCAATGATCCCTCATCCAATGCTGCCATCGTACGTACTGAAACCGGCTGTCGGTATGCGCTGAAAACCGCTGAAATGGGGAAACAGGGAGATACTCGTACGTGGGATGGTACGATGGCCGATGCTTCCGCTGCGGGTCGCGGCCCCCCCCCGCCGATATCTCAGCGACAGTTGAACAGCCCAGAAGACCAACTGCAAAGGTGCGCTTCTATAGCTACTTCTTGAAAGTGCCTTCCTCAAGAGGAACCAGGACGGCTCTAGCAACTCTTCTCAAGCAAGTAAACACGCACCTGCACGAGGCACAGCGGTAGAGTACGAAAGCATGACGGCAGGAGTACCTCTAGAACATCCGTACATTCCTCTACAAGTACGGAATCCCTTGAGTTTCATGAGAATGTCTGACTAACGCAGTCGCCAATATATCGAAGAACAGCGCTCTTTCAAAGGCCGGAGAAACGCAGACCTCAGAGGAAGCACACAAAGAGGCGTCACAAAACTCGGATGATACGAAGATATCAGAAGCCTGGAAGCTTTGCGCGGAACAGGCGTGGAAGAGAGAGGACCTGCTCGTTCAGAAGTGGAAGAACGAAATCAGTTATCTCTTGACTTTTGTGAGTACTTGCCTCGCCTCACAGCTTCCCACAGGAGCTTGATATATGCCATATAGGCCGGTCTGTTCTCGGCCGCCGGTCCACCGACATTGGCTTGCTTGGCGAGTGAGCAGGATGCGGCTACAATTATGTTGCCAAGACAAATAAGCGTTGAACTCCTGGTCGGGTATCTCGAAGAGATCGCAGGCGGAAAGTTCGAGGCGGTGCCTCTGTTTCGGTACCTGATGTCGATGATAGAAGCCGCGCCACCGGACGTGGCGCGCACAACTACAGACATCTCTGTGCTGCGTTCGGTAATACGCCCATATCTCCTGCAAGCACCCTCCGTGATCACCATTCTCCCCGTCCTTTACGAGGTCCTGGAGTGCCGAGCGCAAGGCGCGGACACGTCCGCCGACCCGCCGACATTGACGTGGTCGATGAATGAGCAAGACGCCGCTGCAACCACGGCTCTCACAGAGATATGCATTGACTTTCTGGACAAGTATCTTTGCGAGATCGGAAGCGGACAGTTTGAACAGGTTGCTTTATTGGATCATTTGGCATCATCGCTTCACTCCATGCCGCCTGATGCCGCAAGGACAATCTCCTGTCAGATCATGGAGACCCTCCGGACGTGCGGTCCCCATGATGCGACATGGGAACAACGTCATGATCTATGTGCTATTTGGTCTGGTGTGTGGGCATTCATATCCGAATACAAAGCTGTCCTCTAATTATGCTCAAGCTTCCTTCATCGATGAGGTTGTCCGCCCGAGCATTCAGTCTGGGGGCCTTCCTCTGGAGATTGCCCTTCAGGTCTACCATAATATTGTCCGGTATCGCATTCGTGGCGTGGACTATTCGCAAACATGGTCTAGAAACACAATCACTGGAGCCGATGCCGATGCCGTCACTGCCATGGGTTATCTATCGCTAGAGATGTTCACCAGGATCATGTCGGAGGTGACTGATACGACAGAGCTTCACCGACATCAAATTCAAACCCTTGCTGTCATACACAACCTCTTGGTGGATGTTCCACATGGCCTATTAGCAGCCCTTCACGGCCTTGTTCGCCTATTGCCTGCTCCAGAGCTCCATCCACAAGTCCTGGACATGCTTGTATTCACCATCTGGAACCTTGACGGGGGATTCCGACTAGACATCGAGGGTAGGTATCTCATACCATCTGGAAGTCCGCCTTATACTCACCACGTACTCTGCAGACACCCGGAAACTGCTCACATTCCTACCGCACGCCCGCGAGCGGCTCAACACTGAGCAATTCATTAAGATCACACGTTTAGCACTTCAGCACTCCGCACGACTCCCACCTGACGACTTTGGCTGTGTGTATAGCGATGTTTGCGGCGCGCTGGACATCGTTGTTGAGTGCTTCCGCTCGTCTCAGATGGGGGTGGCCCAGGCGGACGCCTGGTTGGCATTCTCGAACCTCCTCGATGTATGCATAGAGCTCGCGCGAGTGGATATTGCACGGCCAGCCGGCGATGATAGACATTTGACCCGAGATGTTGTCAATGCACTGGAGCGCTGCGCATCTCAATGCCCCGAACGCCACAGCTTGAGATTTTGGATCAGACATACAATGCAGGAGATATGCAGTATTTGCGGTTACTCTGCTGGCTCGTATGTGTCCCATTCTGCTCTCAGTACTCAGCCCTGACACGACATTTAGCAGCGTCGCTGAGAAGCCACAAGAGGTGTCGATGAAGCACCTATGGAGCATCCGTGGGCGGTTGAGGAGACTCGTGTGGTATAGGTAAATTGAGAATGTATGTAATATGTATGGTCGCCATGTCGTCATTGTGGTAGCTTACGGCCCTCGAGTTAGGCTGCAGACAGTATATACACTTTCGCGAGGTCGTAATGTGATATCGTCTAGTTATTGAGAGACCTGCATTATCCCGCATACTGCTACCAAGTTTTGTTTGTGTTATAGGAAGTTTAAAATCGTCAGAAATAGACTGGGGCACAATATTGACATCCCTTGAAACACTCGCCTATGATCTGTCTTCAGATGCTGTTGGAACCGGTGGGATGAGCTGTAGGAGTACCCATGGGAAGGCGATGTCTTGATACATGCTACATGACGTACCTGGTCTGAGCGCCCCCTCAAAGTACGCCGTTCAATGTGATCGTGGAAAGGAGACTATCGCGGAGAGCATGACTCGTGTACGATAGACGTGAGTGGGGGGATAACAGCGCTGTTGGATTGCATTTACGTATCATGTACCGTGAGTCAACGGCGAGCCTAGAGAGCACAGCTCACCTCTCCCAAGGTAAGACAGTCACGTACGCTTATTTGGCGTGAACATTGCCGAGGGACAGGGTACCGATATTACGCGAAGGAAATCATTTCATACCGGGAAAGACCATAGAATACCGTGGTCAACTCCTAAGCGTCAGTACAAAGCCGTGTCATGTATTGACCAGCGAGCTTTCTAAGGTGCTGACTGCAACCTCCGGCTGCAGATGAGGGGCGTATCTGAGCCCATTTGATGGTCGAGTGACAAGAGGACGTGCCATCGTCATCGATCTTGGACATGATGTTGACAAAACGCTGTAAGTGCCGCCTCGTCGGCGTCTATGACGATGCTCACCGTCAAGGAACAGCCATCCGCTAGACAACGCTATGTGGAGTCGTCTCTGGATGTCTGTGTCCTTGTCTCTCTCCAGGTATGAAGATCTGATTGGCGGCGTCTGTCGCTCACCCGCGGCTGCTCTTACCATTGGGCTTGTGTACCCTCCACAGAGACCACCTCCCATCTTGCGGCATGCACTCGTGAGTCCATATTCATGCGCTGAGGATACATCCAAAATCCTCCACCCTTTCAATGCTAATGCAACAGAGATGGACCTGATTCCCCTCACCCACACTATATCATCGTTCCTCCATCCTCATCGCACCTCCTCCATGCTTCTGTATCTGCACGTCCTCTATCAAATGACACAGCCGAGCTCTATCCTTGGCTGTCGTCCTGGGTGGTGCTGTTCATATGCCAGTGAGCATCCCCGCTTCAGGACACCTCAGGACGGAACGGGCTCAGGAGTGCCGCGTTTCTTTTGGATGCGCGTCTCCTGCGCAGAAGGGTGGCCATCATGGCTGCCATTGCGCTCGACTCATCGGGCACGGGCCATTCAGGACAGAGATGGGGGCAGTTTGGATGTATTGACAACCCAGAGGACTGAGCGCGCTGTGCAAAACGAATATCTCATTTGTGTGCGTGCTACGGTCCCTCTTGCGTCATATATTGATCAAAGAATACGCCCCACCGTTCGTCCCTCCATTGTGCGTAGACAGTAATACTATTCGCTCAGTGATGACTTTCATATATGCCTGACGCTGATGCATAGCGAGCGTATCGAATGCACACCAGCTACTGACAACACGGCCGTTTCGTCCTCCCGATATTTCACGTACGGTGGGATGCGTTCCCGCAGACCTCGACGTCTGACACGAGGGCCTCCTGTGATCAGACCGTAGCCGAGGGTGCATGGTCCTTCTCGCGCACCCACCTACGTCCCTTAACGGCCATTCCACCATGTCACCCGCCCTTTTGCGTGCAACGTCCAGTGCACAGACTCGACGTTCGCTGTAATTAGCAATTCTGTCAGGGTTCGATTGTGCGCTGCGGTTCATGTCGGCGGTGCAGAAACTCAGCAGTGTTCGAGGAGGCGTTTCCCGGTACTCTGATATGCACTGCGTTGGTACGTCCGAGCGCCTCACCGCACAGTCGACAAGAGACCGCACAGCTGCTCCCACAACCTACTACTACTGTCTATAGAACAGCTCGTGTCCTGTAGGATGGCCAGGTCAGACCAGTCTGCATCTCCCAGTCTCGACGGTTCCACAGATCCCATCAGTCGCAGCCCACTACCGCCAGATCCGAGTATGGAGGCAGGATTATATGCGGACCCGCCAACAGACGGGCCTTCAAGCTCCTCTCATGCTTCTGTATTGGCGCCGCGTGAGCGTGCGCGCCGACGAGCACGCGACACCAGAAGCGCCGACACCAATACGCTGGGGGGAGTAGATTCACAAATGCAGAATTCAGCACAATATTCCGACAGCAACGACTGGTCCGTCACCGAGGCAGACCGGGGCAGAGCGGAGGGGAGATAACGTCACACACAAAAGGACACTGACGCGTGTCGTGCGTGACCACGTGGGCGTGCCACGGACGCGTCCCCTTCCTTAGCGCTGACTCCAATTTGTAGTGTCTCTAAAAACGAAGTAGTGCGCCGATGCTTGTGCTCCTGCCTAGCATTGCTTTCCACTCACTTCCAATTGAGATATCTCGATGAAGCGTGGTGAAGCCATAAGTATCTCAGTGTTCCTAAACAGATGATGGAGCCCAGCGCCCTCTGTCTGGCACATGTCGCTAGGCGAGTTTACTCTGAGTAACATTCGTGCTCCCGATACATTGCAATCATGGTTGACATTGTCTGATTTCTTCCATTCTTGCAGCGATGACCTTGTTTCACAGATCAAGCACCAAGAGCGCATCATTCACATGGAGCTGATCATTGATATTTACCGCCTGTGGTGCAAACGTAGTAATCATGCCAGTACCAAACGCCCATAGCGTCGGTAGGTACTTCACAATGTCTGATTGTTGTAGCACATAAGGTCTATTTCCTCGCTTGTGTGTCGGGATTTGTGGCTCATGATGGTTGTCCTAGATCCCGAATTCGTCTCGAAGCGCAAGCTAGTGCTTTAGAGGACTGGTAAAGTTGGATGGGCAGGCGGCGCATCGTGAGCACGAGCGCATCGCCGAAGTCACGCTCATGAACGCTTCTGCCGCTCGCCGACGCGCAGCTCCTCGAGACGCAGCGGGCTGTCCCAAAGCGTCACAACAATTGGCACCCACCCTCAGACGTCTGATGTCTACTGTTTCATGTATCCATGAAATTGTGTCAACTGCGTGGTGTACGTGGGTCCGATGACGGTGGAGCTTGAGCCTCACCGCCGTGAGCTGACAAGTCCCTCAGTCAAGTGCCGCTAGCCCCCGGGTATAAAAGTCGATGCTCAACTGAAGACGTGCCCCGCCAGCCAGTTTAACACTCCCATAGCTACAGCTGAAATTTGGTATGCATTCACATATAACTCATGACGTTCGAAATGTGTCCACTGACCTCCAGCACTATGTTGCAGAAACATCCATACAGAATGCGTGCCGCTATCTCTACTACCGCTCTCGCCATCTTTATCGTTGGGTTACAGCTCGCGTATGCGGATCCGGTCCCAGCACCCCCGAGCACAACGTCTAACGTCCCCTGCGTCGGAGAAGGAGGGAAATGTACAGTACCTGATGGGCTGGCCTGCTGTGCGCCATATATATGTAACGATGTCGCTATCTTTGGAGCGTCCGGTACTGGAGTGAGTCAAAGAATGCTCTCTTTGTGACAAGTCCTAATTGTTTCGCTTCGCACGCTAGATCTGTGCCCTCCCTTTAGCAACATCCTGAATGAGACACTCTGCACGCCCTGCATTGACACCGCATGTAGTAGCTTGCTGCCCATGTCCATGTATTAAGCACAGGCAGACAATCAGAATCTCCTTCCGAAGGAGCAATTGACTGGGAAAATGTTGCAATAACTACCACCCTCACACATTCAACGTGTCAGGGAGTGGGATTTGTGCTTTCATCCCGATGAACGGTAACCGTCTAGCTTGTAGGCCATCTACTAGCCTGAGCCTGAGCCTGGATAGGTACTGCGTCCTTGTGCTATAGAATATTCTCTACATGACCGCATATGTGCGTCACTGTTGGGACTTGGATTGTGGCGAGCGCATGCCACCGTATTTGGCATTGCTTGTGGTACCTCGCAGACTTTGCGCGAGCCGTTCTGTACGTTCCTTACGCGTTTGACAGAGCTCGGACAAACACGATATATTTTCGCTAATCGTTCTCGCTTCGGGTTTCGGACGAACTTTGACAGTTACCCCAGTACCTCATCATCGACTGACACGCCTATAGATTAATTTTGACTAGTTTTTTCTAGGGCTCTGCACTCCCACTTGCCTATCGCAAGTCATCCCCCGCGTTCCACTGTGTCGTTCCTTGCTGCTGCGTACGCCAGAAATATTCACGCTCGGATTGAACACGAGGGCCTCGGGGTGATATCTGCCAGAGCCCGGGGCATTCGGCATCAGTAAAAAGGTACGAAGCAAATAAGGTCCCGTGACCCATGCAAACCCGCACGTCACGGTCGGCGCATTACTAGCCCTTGCAAGACATCCCGTGGCGTCACTAGTATGCTGGGATATTATCTGACATCGAACTGCTGTCTAAGTATTATAAAACACTACCAGTCTGGTCATACTTATAGAAGCGCTTACAATAAGGTGGCGAGCCTGCTATTCAGCATCCGAGGACTGGGAAGATCGGACTATTCGTGTGAGGTCCTCCCAAGACCGAAAAATACTTGCGGCCCTTTGGATGGTCATGGCAGAATCCTCGACCTGAAGCTCACTGGAGCCCTCCTGATATAGTGTCTCTGCGATAAGTGCATTTGGAGGGTTTTTGAATACCAGTGTACGTCTAATCTCTATTCGGGCGTGAAGCTGCTTTGCGTAGTGGTTGCGGGGTCTTGAGCGCAGAATCCCATACCATGCGATGGGTCTAACGACATCGCAAGTGCCACTCATTTCTCCTCGCGCAACTTTGAATTTGTCATAGAGAATCTAGAGGGTGTACCGTGACAGAAAAAGACAAATTGTGGTGCACAAACATTCTCAATCAAGCCGAGATCGTGACAGTAGGCCAGTCTCGATCAGTGTGCCAGTTAGTCAGCCAGTCCTTGCCTCGGATCTAGTGTTCTAGCTCTTCTGCAGCATATAAATAATGCTACTATTCTACTCACAGTTCGACCACTTGTTCCCTATCCGGTGCGTGATAATCGCATATTATTGTCAACTGATGATTTGCTTCAGCAATCTCACAGGAAAGTAGCGAAGATGTAGGTGTCTAATCTGCGGAATTTTCTTATACAGTAGTCATGATCCGGATGACATCCTCAAAAGCCTGCTTCGAGGCCTCTTGGTGCATGAAAATGTTCTTGTCCTGGTGTACAGCTCTCACGGTGCTCAATTTGACAGGGCTTCCGGCACTTGTGAACGAGTTCCTGCACGGCACTCGAGGCCACCTTACGTAGTATGAGGAGACTATTGGCTGGTGTAACAAGTATGTGTCAGAGCCTCTCGTATTTTCGACATAAACTGATACATAATTCCTGTAGTTTCTCGCTGTCAACTCCCTGCTCAGGTGAGCCTAAGGCGACTTCTATGCTGACCTTGGTTGCTTAATATACGACTTTAGTTCTGTTGAAGAGGTTACAATCTCTCGCTTTTCAACATATTGTGCACTAGGCAGTTCACTAACGTAGAGGTACGTCATCCCGCTGTCATTGATGCAGCTCTGTAGTCAGCGACCCACCATTTTTTCGCACCTGTGCATTTCTCCTGCTATGTAATGTATCAAACCCGATAAATAATATGCCACAGTCGTATTTTGATTGGATCATCTGCGGGTGACTGGTCTGTCACGGAAGCGAACCGATATTGCAGTGGATTGATTAGTGTTATGGATGCAGCCCATACAATCATTAGTCGGTCTGGCAATGTATCACAATAGTTGGTATAATATTATACCATGCATGACCTTATGTAGGCTGCTAGCCTCGCCAGCCTTGCATGCTCTCGATAGTCATATGGGCCTAGCTACCTATTTTGGCTCTTACATCACCCCGCTGATTTATCATCATGGCAATACAAGACTGTAAAACAATAGCGGTCTCTCGTGAGCTGGCCGGACCTTACAAGGCCATACGAGTACATGCATGGCCATACATAATGCGTTCCTTTTTGCTGATGTCTGACTATGCCGCGTCGCTCGCTCCCCGCTCGTTTCCACCTCTTCCGCTCCCTGCGTGCTCATGATCGTGACCCCAGCCGCTCAACTGTTGCGGTCTCGCTAACATCCCTCCTCCGATTATCGAACGCTATTCAGGGAGGACGTACTCCTGATTTGGAAACATGCCAGACGACAGTTGACGTCACCTCCATGTATGGCAGCGTCTGCTTCCGCCCAGCAGGTACTGCTACCGCTATGTCCTCTTGCTACGTCAATATACATCACATACGCTCACTGCTCTACTGTTCACTGGTTTCGGGAAAGCACCTCGCATACTGACTTCAGGTCAGGTCTTAGAGTCATCGTTTGCGGCGCTATCCATGCTCGGACATTGTCTCATGGCTATAACAACTTGGATCATGACACTGCTTTCACTGCCCGTTTGATAATTACATATACCGTTGGCCCGCAATTTCTTTCCCACTCTCCAGCGCGTCACACATCGCCCACAAGCGAGAACTCGTGTACAGTGCGAAGCTTCTCGCCTTCCTCGAATGCAGGGACACAGACATGTCGTAGCGGGCTACTGGTCTCGATTCAGACGTGTTTATCCCGAAACAGTGCGCATTTCGAGGTTGGAATGTACGAAAGATAGGTAGACCGGACCAACCGGCCAAGCCGGCGAACGCTGCTCGAAACGGCGAACCTCTGCGTACAGCACACCACACGTTATCCGCCGGTGCTCTGGTCGGCTGGATGATAGGGTGTCTATGATTCTGCTCTACTCAAGGCACGGACATTTCAACAACACGAACACTCGCAGAATGCCGTGGAGTGCATCCCTAAATCCTACTATGGTTAACGAGATCCATGTGTACACGGCTGTTGCGTTTCGGGGCTGCCTATTGGTTACGGGCTGACTGGTCGTCTGTCCTGCCCTGCGTCGCTCGTTTGCGGTCCATGATGACTGTTCAGACGCCTCAGCAAGCTACGGTTGCGGAAAACATGAATGCAGGGACGTACCAATACTTCACTGAGGCGGGAGTATGGCTGCGACGGTATGATATGGCCCGTTATGGCCCTGCAGAACAGAACAACGCAAGCACATACATTAAAAATAGTTCGCGTACTGATCGAGTTGCAACGGATGAAATCGAGCTGTTTGCTGCGGGGAAGGATGAGGGCGCACATTTCTAATTAGACACAGAAGTGCGCAGACTATATGCAATGTTCAGCTGTAATTGCGTCGTGCTAGCGACACGCAATCGGCCCTCAGCTAAGCGAATCAAGCCGAATGGCACCTAGATGCCATGCAAGGCGAAACCATAGAGGAAATGTCTGCACAACCGAAGGAGGATCCCGCTCTCGCGCTGCTACTCGATGGCACATGTACGTGAAGATTTGGCAGTCCTTGCGTCTTGTAGGGTACAAAACAACAGATTGAGGATTTTATGGCAATGACTCATGAGCGAAAGACACCACGATGTTGGAACTTGAGATTGTGGCGAGCGCATGCCACCGTATTTGGCCATGTTTGTAGTACCTTGCAGACTTTGCGCGAGCCGTCCTGTACGTTCCTTACGCGTTTGACAGAGCTCAGACAAACGCGATATATCTTCGTTGATCGTTCTCGCTTCGGGTCTCGGACGAACTTTAACACACGAATCAACAAGTGGAGAGCCTGATCGAGAGAGCGACGTGTAATATAAGCGCGCGTCGGACTCCTGCGTGTAACGTGTTCCGGTCCTTCGGGGTATTGGAGTTGTTATCCAGGGAGCTAGCGTCCATCACTGCAGCTTACTTTTAGCGCCTTGCAGCAAGTCGAGCGTCATAGAGGGCTCACGTAAGTATAAAGGCATTGATATTCTTACAGATCATAAGGTATGTTGCGTCACCGGACATCGAAAGCACGACATGCATCTTCGGTGGTTCGCACAGACTGCTAGCGGCTCTGGGAATGGTGAATGACCTTCTAACACGGGCAGTCAATGGCGACAGCAGCTATAAAACTGCTGACTGATCCTATGCTGACATATTCCCCGAGCTGCGCTCTCCGACTTTCTAGGACATAAACGACGTATAAAAACAGTGGCGCAAAACCCTGTACAGTCAGTTCCCTGGCCAAACATTCAAACCACTTACATCGGACAACCAAGACCGCTACACCAATGGCTACCGCTGCAGTTCACCAGCCGCACGACGTCCCGACGACGATGAACTACTACATCCCTATTGGCGAAGACGCGCCATACCGGTATGTGCAGAGCCCGCCCGAGGGCGTCCCCTTGCACAACATCGGCAGGGAGCCGCACCCCGTTGTCGTGCATAACGTGCGCGGGCACGAGGCCGACTTCTTGATCGACACCACGGGCTTCCAGTATGTGAAGCACGTTAGCGCTGAGAAGGAGTTCGACGACGAGAAGCGCATCACGGATGTGTACTACAAGGAAGTCGAGGAACTTTTGAAGAAGGAGGTGGGCGCAAAGCGTGTCTTCATTTTTGACCACACTATCAGGTGAGCCAGTATGCGGAGCGGGACTCGAAGATAGGCGCAGGCTGATCGAGTGCGCAGACTGCAGCCCGTCGATACCACAGACACAGATGTAGGCGAAACTCCTAGCAGGCGTGGGCCAGCGGTAAGCCCTCTTCCTGCTATTTACTCCGCAAGTACTGAGTGACATGTATACCGCCAGGAACTCGTCCACATTGACCAGACGTACGACGCGTCCGTGAAGCGTGTCCAATATCACCTCGGTGACGAAGCAGACCGCCTGCTGCAGGGGCGCGTTCGCATCATCAACGTCTGGCGCCCTATCCACCACCCCGCCGCGCACAAGCCGCTCGCCGTTTCTGACTGGCGTTTCCTCGATGAGACGCACGACCTCGTGCCTGCACGCCTCATCTACCCGCACCGTGAAGGCAGCACGTTCAGTGTGCGCTATAACCCGAAGCATCAATGGTACTATCTGTCGAACCAGACGCCTGAAGAGGTGCTACTGATCAAGTGCTACGACTCGGATGTTGACAAGGCACGGTTGACTCCGCACACCGCATTCCCGGATACGACGAGCCCGCCGGAGGCACCGCACCGCGAGTCTATCGAGGTCCGCTGCCTTGTGTTTGACAGGGAGTAGAGACGGCCGCGTGCGTCGTAGAATTGTACCCTCATAGTCGCGTGTATGTCTCATGTATTTGTTGGGATAGTCAACGGGGTTGTAACCAATCGATGGGGTAATAAAAGCTCCTCAAGCTCTTGCGATATGCTACAATATGGAACGATAGATGAAGATGAAGACTGAAAGACGCAATACGTGGATTCAGAGATAAAATATACACCAACGAACTAGCGAGATCACTTCGCTAACTCCATAACCTAACCCGTTAGCAGATTGAAACTCGCACGGCTCTCTCACATTGTCTAAAGGATACATGTGAGCGATGTACAAGTTTAAAGTAGCAGTTTTTACTACTCGTAGATCGTTCCTCGGTGTAGGACAGGTAACCTATAAACGGGAATTGACCTCATGCTGGCAGATAAACTGTCGCCCGCCGACTCGCGAAGAATCTGGTTGAGCCTATTCTCATTCTGAGTTTGTTATATTACTATTGTTCATGGACTGAAGGTGTGTGAAGTGGTAAATAATGGGCAAACAGCGCTGAGCGAAGTGTACGCCAACTGGTGTAACACAATGATCATTTTTGCACTGCTATATATGCCAGCGTTGGAACGATGCGCCGCAATTTAGACTCGAGTGAGCCTTGCTCTAAGGGAGGGTGCGCAATGAGTTCCAATGTGACATAGGCACTATAGCCTGGGCAGGACGGCCGGTGAAGATAAACGTAAAAAGGCTTGCGCACCGGGAGATTCGTCAACATCGCAGCTGCAAGACAAAGACATCGAGGACGATGGGCGAGAAATGATAATTCCAGTCGATCGAGCCGACCAATTAGCCCGCAATCAGACCGCCCCCCTTCCTTCCCAAATTCCATTGTGCCGCGTCTAAGATGCATCTAATATTACCCCGCAGTAGATCGCGACGGAGTAGTGTTCGAGCAAACCATTATACTGCTCCTCCATGGGTGGGCTCAAGTTCTCCGTCCAGCCACTGTCCGACCACATTGTTATACCCCTATTTCTCGTGATAGCTTCGAGAATTGGATCTCATGAAGAGAAAATCATCGACCAGAACAGGACAGTCGGTCCAGAGTCTAGACTTGAGCAGATCATGAGCATATTGAGGAGTTCACTAGCGGTTGACAAGCCGTTACCCTCACAGAAAAGTAAGACATACGCTTGCTGCATAGACTTCAACGACAAGCAGATGCAGGCAGATCCCAAGAAGTGACTAGAAGAGTGGTGATTCTGTATAGCTGTAGGTATTGTTACACTATATGCGTTAGCGGCTACTACAATATCTTACAATGTTGCATCATCCCCATGTCTCACGCAATCAACGATGAAAATGTCTCACAGTCGGTCAGATGCCAACATCCCGATCGTCCTTGTCAAAGTCATCGGCCTCTACCATCTTGACCCACATACCGCCCTGACCACGGCGCGTGAGCTCACGAATTTCTATAAGTGTGACTGCATGAAACAAAATGTTACTCACGTTAGAGTATAGAGTGAGGTGGGACTTGGGCCAGAATCGTTCGATGCGCTTACGGCCCCAGCCGGTGACCGCCCACTCCGCGGGAGGGAGAGATTCAGGCGGCGCGGCCTCGGGTGCTAGCTCCATCGCAGAGAAGTGTTGCATTAGCTTGATCAGGAAGAAGGACATCTCGTTATACGCAAACTACGATCAGAGAACCTGTCAGCCAACAATTTCGTGATACTACGGTTGCGAGATGTGGAGTAACACACACCTGTTGCCCAAGGCAGATGCGCGGGCCAGCATTGAACGGGAGGAATATAAACGGGTTCTTCGTGAGGTACTTCGCAACGCGGTCATCGAGGAAGCGGTCGGGGTCAAACTCGTCCGCTGCACATTTGATTGTGATAAACGTTCAACCTTTAAGACCAGTCTTGCCACCCACCATCGGGTCCCCAGTACTCCTTCCTGCGATGCATTGCGAACACCGTGTACGTTACCCTGTGCGACGACATATCCAATTAGTACCTATAATAAGGGCTGACTGACCACCTAATACGCACGGAGTCTTCGGTGGTAGGTAGAACGGCTTGCCATTAGGATCGGGATTGGGGAGGGTGCCCTCGTGAATTGACCATCTGCAGCATTCTATTATTCTCATACACATGCGATCAGCTATCAGAACAACTCGCCTTATATTGAAGGGTCTAACAGCCAGTCAGCAACGCTCCTCAATTCAGAAATCGACTGGAGGACGGCTTACACAACAGGGTACAGTCGCAGCGTCTCATTGATTACCGCACGCAAGTACCGCATCTCCTTGATGTCTGCATACGTCGGACGGGCGTTCGGACCGACCTTCTCTAGAACCTCCGCACGCAATCGGTTGAATACGTCAGGGTACATGCACAAGAAGTACACCACGAATGTGAGCGTGCCGGCAGTCTGCGCACCGATAGTCAACATGAGATTGATTGCGTGTACAGATTGAAAACGCACAGTGTCACGCCCCGCGATGAGGATGTTGAGCACCTCGTCATGTAGCACAACCGGATCTGCAAAAATGACATCGGCACGCTCACCCCCTCCTAAACACATGCAGAGCCACCCACCGCTCGTCAGCCGTACCAGATGATCCAATAGGGTCTCTCCGTCGGTATCACTACTCTCCTTGTCATCGTGTATACCTGCTCCGATATTTGCCATATCCTCCTTCCGCCGCAGGGCATCCTTCAGAATCGGGTCCAGATACTCGTCTATGATGCGCATGTGCTCGCCCGTTCGACTCTTGCGCATCTCGAGCAGCGGCCAGATAGCGCCCATAGCCACACGCTCCGCAAGCACGATCTGCGCGCGCATGAATGCGCTCGCGACCGCCTCCGCACGTGAGGGGTTGGATGCGAGGGACTTGGAGGAGGGGTGCGAGAACGGCGTCGGATGCTGGTTATGAGGATACGGGAGCGGCGAGTGGAGCGAGTTTACGCAGGAGCCGAAGAGGAACTCGGTCGCAGAGTCGAGCGTAAAGCGCGAGATCAGGTCTTGGAAGTCGACGGCGTACCCTGAGTGGAAACGCTCGGTCATCTTTGCAACAGCTTGCTCTACAGACAACGTGTGTTTATCAAGGCTATTCAGTGCCGTGCACTATATCCAAGTGCATACCGCTGCGGCGATCAAAAAGTTCAAAGTGACTGATGCGGTCCCTGCTGAAGAATGGACGCGTCATCGCGCGATGCCATCTGAACATAGGATCCCTCGTTCAGCAGAGGCCGTTTGAGTCGCAGGTGGATACTCACTTCCACATATCGCCTTAATACGTGAATCATGTCTGGTTAACGCAGAATGTGCATCTTTACCTGGACACAACATACCATCAGCGTTAAACACGCCCGTTCCGAGAACTGAGGCCATCTCCTGTTTAAAGAGGTCGCCTACAAGGGCAAAGGTTTAGGCAAGGCGTATTTCATCGCAGAGCATGTCGTCCCTTTCGCTCACCTTTCTCAAAATTGTTGAAGTCGGTCGCAAGGACACTCTACAGTAGAGGCACGCTTAGCCTTGAATTCAATTTCTGCGGGAACCATTGCATGCCAACCTTGATGATGTTAGGATCGCACGTCAAATATGCCGTGCCCCCCAAGACATTCATCTGAACTGTGTTTCCTAGGTTGTTGAATAATTTCCACGCGAAGTCAGCTACGTACGATATCCACAGGTAGATCAGTTAGACATGCCGAAAAGAACCAGGCATAAGCGGCTATGTACCAATATACCCGGACTGCATCGTCTGCAACATCTCCTTCAAAATGTCCAGATTGCCGAGCTTCTTGCCCACCCACCGCGGCGGCATAATGGCGCCCAGGCGCGCAGCAGCTCGCTGGTATTTCCACTGTCGGTACCAAACACGCACTAATATCGTCAAGGGCGTGCTCGCGACCGTGAGGAGAGTCACCGGCCAAGTCGGGAGTGCGACGTCGGTATGTCGCCAGATGAAATTTGCGACGATGACGACACATACAGGAGCAAATGCCAGAATGAGGGACACACGGATCAGGAAGGGTACACCTGGAGGGAGTGCCATCGTTGAGAGGAGGCTCGGTAGCTCAGCTGAGGGAGTGGGCACACAACATCAGACAAGAGAATGATATCCCATAATTATGAGCACGCCAGAGGCATGCCGGACTTACGCGTTGCTCCCACAAACGTCCGAGTGGCGAGACCCGGCCTCGCTACTGATGATGCCATTGGTGTAAACAGAGGATGGTCGAAGTGATATCGAGCTCCTTGTCTCCCTCCGAGGACACAAGGCGGATTCTTGACGCAAACGGCGCCCTAAGGCATTGAGATGGGGTGAAGTCGATCCCTGAACGGAGTGCCAACGTGCTCTGCCAGGGGCCTCCATTGCCCGCAGTACTTACTGGTGGGTAAGATCGCCACTGACAGCCTGAGCGCTACGACATCACTTCTAAAGCGCCCATATGTCACAAGTGACTAAGCGCAGTAACATGACGCGCTGTGTCGCGTTGCTAGCAGCTCTTCGTGTACTTGCATCTTTTAATAACCTGCTTTCTGAATAACTAGCAAGCAGGGGAGCGCCACAGATTTTCATAAATGCCAGACCAAGAAGATGTGGATGACGTTGGCAATGCCATATGTGCAATGAATAGCAGACAATCGAATCAGAGACGGTCGTTCATTCTCGTGGGGAGATGAGAATTTACTCGCTGATTTTAGCTGCTTGGATCTCGCATTTTCCTTCGGCGATATTGAGGCGGCAAATTTGAAAACTCTGACTTTCTACAACAATGTCAACGCCGGTATCGATCCGAAAGTGTCAAGTCCAAAGAGAAAACCATTGATGTTGAGAACGATATAAGTGTAAGTGCTAATTGCTCTGGGAGGTTCATTCTGGTGAGTGAGTATACAACACATACTCTACGATGTTTTTGCAGACTCATAGCAGGCAGGAGTCCATCAAGCTGGTAGGCTGTACTGATCTCGCCCTTAAACAATCCGAGTCTTGACAAATGCATCAAAGTGCGTTTGACCACGCCACGGTGTACTCAACATAGAGCCTTGCCTCCGTAAGAGTGGATATCACTTGAAGAGCAAGATTTAGTCAACCACAACAGTTCAAAGAGTACGGTGAGTACCTCTATTTTCGCTCAGAGTACTCTCGCGCCGCATGACCCTTCAGCTGGCACGTCACACAAAAAATCACATACTCTCTGTAAGCCATGGCTACGTAGCAGTATGTGATCAATTGCCTCGCTCATGTAGAGCACTATAGTTACCAATAGCCTCCTGTATTGAGTTACTTCGCGCATGAGCCCTCGGCGCTTATGTTTCAATCTTTATTTTTTAAATTTCAAATGCCAACTGTCGCACTAATTCTCAGCTGTCAGTCATCACAGCAGGTCATCAGGGCACGGTGCTAGGAGCACTTGTCACAAGCATCATGATCATGTAGGACCACCGCGCCTGCTGTTTGTCTTAGACGCATCGCCCAAGATGGCCTAACAGTCAGCTTCCGCTTACCATTGCGCTCGTAACTTCCTCCATCCGAACTCATCGATAGACGGCCGTTGCTATTTCACATCTGCTAATTTCGGGCTGTTGATTCCGAATAACGAGGTGAGCACAATGATGAAGACAAATGACAAATGAAGTTCATGTTTCCCGTGTCGAGCGTGACACGGCCATGAAGTCCCGTAGTACCTTGTCCCGCTAACTACAAAAAGCGAATGGATGGTTCTGTCTAGAACGCCCGCGGTGCAACATCATTTCTCTCTGGAATGCTGTCTGTACAATGATGGGGGTACACAGATCGCCTTGGCAAACGAGATATCCACGACGGGGACTTGACAGCGACCTCCTTCCCTATTGTATTGACGCCAACAACGTGTGGTGATGCCACACATAAGCCCTACTCACTCTGGCGGCTGGCAGGTGCGCCCAGGTGCCGCCCGTATTGTTCCATACACCTCTCTCCATTGCTGTAAACCCTACTACTTCTGAGTAATCATTTCAGGGCGCTCTATTCAGATAAAAAATACATACGATGAGAAGGGCTACTGCATGAGGGCTCGACCATAATGTTCATTTTCCCGCCCACTCTATTGAAACATATCTAGATATTGACCCGCTAGTTTCTTCCCCCAGCTGTCCGGCGCAGCGATACGCCAAGTCCCATGGCAAGACTCCGCTTGTACGGAACGCTCGCTACATGTGACAGCGCCGGGCGTGACCCGCAGGGATGTTGCCCCAAGACGGTGATATAAATACGCGACCACCACAGTCCTTCAGCCTCACGAGTCTCGCTCACTCTTATATCGTTCTAGGGACCCAACACCAGCATGGTCCGCTTCTTCACCTTCGTCAGTCTCGTTGGAATGTTCGGGTACGGGTGTGCCCTTCCGAGCTTCGCAGTGGCAAACAAGCGTCAGATTTACCAGCACGAAGGAACCGTACGTACAATCTGGACCATATAACATCTCTCATGCTCAATATCGACAGGCCTCGCACTATGTCCCTAATGGAGTGGGCGCATGTGGTGTTGAGATCCCGCCTGGCGACTTTGCTATTGCCCTCTCACCTGCCGATCTGTCTGATTACGGATGTTTTAATGTGAGAACCGTGCAGAACCTTAATCTGATCACTGCTCATGCTTTATGCTAGAACGTCACTATTGTCAACACGAATGCCGGCATCACTCAATATGCATTGGTCCTTGACGAGTGCGCCTCCTGTACTGAAGGCAATATAGGTCAGTCTGCATTGACATTCACTCGACAATACGTTTATTTATCCGAACATTGTACGCAGAAGTCACAGATGCACTTTATTTGGCTTTGGGTGGTTCCCTCGACTTGGCGTGGGTAGACGTCACCTGGTATGGTTAAGGATGTTGACTTTTAGGTACGTCGGGCAAGCGTCGCTGCCGGCCCGGGTCACGTGGTCGTGCGCCGGTGTAGGAATAGGACTTATGTAGGCGTTGCGCGCCGTAGGTAGCCCCATCGGTTTGTAACCTGATCCACCATTGATCCCTGTCCATCGAGGACGTTGTCTGCCGGCGGTCTTTCCGGCGTCGTTCTCACAAAGGAATCCGGGCTGTATTACGGCACTTTTGAGGTAGCACATTGTACCATCAAAGACTCATGTTGATTATGCGATGGCACGAGAATTAGTATATGGCAGCTGTTCGGACTACAACATGAGATGCTCACCTTCGGCGCCGAGACTGAAAGTTCCACGGAAGCATGAGTAGTATGGGCACCAAACATTAGCACTACCTAATCTTTAACTGACAAGATTGTACTTTCCGGCTCCTTTGCGAGCTCATACGTAAGCCATGCGTGAAACAAACGAGTAATTGTCCTCGCTACAGGTAACCCTAAATGCAGGTAGTTGGAGCAACATCTTCAGACGGCAGTAAATATCTTCCTTGCTGATCTTACTAGTGATACAATGATTCAATTGTCCATGTCTCACTGAGAAGAAGGGAGGATCAGTCATGGGCCCCAGCTTGGGTCCGAATTTAGAGACTTCGAGGAAGATATACAGTCTACGCAAATGGAGCCGTCATGCAGCTAATAATCGATTTAATCGTGATGACGCTTCAGCTAGGTGGAAAGACATGCTCCGAATTTGTCTAGCTACGAGGAGCACAATCTGGATGGTGAGTGTAGAACATGTTTTGCACACGATTCCTGTCTATGATAACCTAGACCACGGACAAACATCATGTGCATCATTCTCTTTCCTTCAGATAAAGACGTACAGGTTTACAAGTACAATTTGTTCCTCGGGCGTGTTTGTGTGCCTGACTTGTCTTACAATTCTCGGAGTGGCAGTCAAAACTCTCTCCGCTGTAGTATCTTCCATGGAAATGCTGAAAATTGAACAATGCAGGTCAGGACCCAGTGCAAAGTCCAAATATCAAGACACGGGAAAATGTTATACCTGACAGCCTCGATAGTAATCGCCGATGCTGCGCAATGAAAGAACCAATCGTGAATACAAGTAAGGTCGAACGCGGTATGGCAGATTCTTCACTATTCGTGTTCGCACATGTTATGGTCGAGTGATACTCCTGCGTAGGATCACCGGCGCAAACGTGAGGGGCTGACACAAATGGCTAGTCAGATGGGGAGTTATGGGACAACCTCGTAAAAAGATCAATACTTATATCGCCACTTGTTGGCTCCACAAATCTTCGGACCCAAGTACATTGGTGTTAGATCCGGGCGTGGTCTTGCATTATCACGGCATCATCCTGGTAATTGAAACTGCTACGGTCGAGACCAACAGCACGACTCTCATATTTGATGGGCCATCGGTTAGAGGAACAATGTTCCGTCGCCTCATTGCATAGTAAGGATACTGCGCCGCGGTGCGAGACTAATGCGGCGTTTATGGCTGGCTATGGACGACGCCCTCTGGCATTACGAGAGGATGACTTGCGATGTCCTCGTTGCATATGCAAGTTAACGCATGGCTTCTAGAAAACGAAAATTTCCTTCGGTGTTAGCACGCGGGAGATTCGAGCGCTGTGCAAAGCTATCTCAGTATTCCCCGCTGCCCTGAGTACCAGAGCTTCCCTTCAAATTTGACGTATGATGAAAGCACGACGCGAGGCATCTTCATGCAGATCATAGCATCTCGATGGGGATGAACCCGCCAACAGCTCTCCCATTGCACTTATCAAACCTTGGATTTTGGGGTCAGGACCCGAGTACTCCATTATGAGTAGTCGTACGTTACTCATACGATTGGATAAGATTCATAGTCCAAGCAAGAAAGTGGAGGTGATGGGCCGTTCTGCAAGTAGCCGAAAAGGACTCACCATCGTCCTCAGACATTCTGATCCTTGTCAACGTAACATGCCCCACGCTTCGGCAACTGTGGAGCCCGTAAGCTGAGGACCGCGTGTCAGTCCGTGGGCTTCAAAAAGTCCCGGCCGTCTTTGGAAGGCGTTTAGATAGAGAAGGCCTTTGATCTTTCCTTTTGGAGTTTAGGCGCAGAAGCCTTGTCACTCTGCGTGTGAACGCCTGACAATCATGCTTCGATGCAGCAGCTCGCATGCGTGCATGTTCTTGCGCCCCACAATGATGGGCACAAGAACTCCGAGGAGAATGGTATTTGAGGTGATATTGCTTCATGTCCTACAGGATTTACCTAATATAAAGTGATGATGCTCCGTTCGCGCTGAGTATTTTGATGACGCTGGACGGTAGTATGAACGACCATTCGTCATCTATGATCGAACATGACATTGTATCGAACATCCTAGCCTCCAGGAGGACTAGATGTAAGACTGTCTGCTAGATGAGCGCAATGAATAGGTACAAAGACTCTGGTAGTCAAGGGCACAATTGAGACTCAATAATGAGTCTCAATTGAGTATCTTGTAGCCAATGTTCCGAAAGCCAGACTGAAATTTCCTTACATGCCCATCATGCCATCAACAAATTGATGGCGCGGAGGTGGAATGCTCCGACTCGGAGCGCACGACGAGATTACTTAGGTCTTTCCACAGCCCTGGTGTTGAGCATGTTCGACAGAAGTGTTCTAGACATATAGTATGGGACTATGGGGTCTACCAGAAGTAACATCCCTATGTTGAGACTTCGCGTGTCTTCGCTGTACATCTGCGCAATGGGCGGATACAAGACGTCCTTCTCGCTGGCGGTTTCAAGAGGAATGCAAATAATACAGGACGATCACAGCACCTCAAGCTCCGTGTGAGAAAGCTTATTGAATGTAAGGTTCCTGGCAGATAGGACGTACCAACTTGTGACGGGCCATTTCTCTGTGTCCGATAGCAAACGGACACTTCCTCAGCAATAACAATAAGGAGTATGGTCCGGAAGGTACCGACGGTGAATTATCGCAGACACACCTTCGACTAGCGCCAGTTGGTACTAACTGTTCCGGGTGAGGTACGTGCTCCCGCGCTATTTCCCAGCAGTGTTTAAGTTCAGCTCCACAATTCAGAAATAGCTAGCGCCAAGTCTAGAACACAGTAACATGATATTCGTCGAATGAAGTAAGCTATAATCCCGGCTTACTGCGACGATAGTAAATCATATATGTGCACGGACCATCGCAACTGCAGCAGGAGGAGGATGCCTACCAGTTGACGATCATCGATCAGAAAGATGACATTCTACGTCCTGCAGCACACACGATAGAGGTGACGGATTGCATGATTTCCAGTGAAACACAACGCGTCCACGTAGGTCCACGTGTAAAGGTCATCGTGAGAAAGTCATGGGAAATTGCCGTCATCTAACATCTAGATTCAGCATTTACGGCCCATCACTCATGCTTTTGACCCACACGCCGCTTAGGTGCGAAGGTTGAAGACGACAGCGCACTTGCCTCCGCGTGTCATTCTTTCGCAATTGTATGTGTCCATCGTGTCCCTGTCTAGCAAGTGAATGCCGAGACCGCGATCGCAAACACAATAGGAATATGGAGAACGCCTTGTGAAGCTGTCTTTCACTTCCGAGACACTGATCGGGCAACAAGCGAGGCAACTTCTGTCACAAATCGCGATTGTCTTCGCATCGGGCATAAGCTATGATACGATCGCAGCCCGATTTTTCCGTCCGTGCAACCCGTGACAGCACACAGGCATAGGCCTTTACCACAAGCGTCTGTATGCGCAAACTCATAGACTCGGCGGAGTTGACTCAAGGATTCAACTAGAACTATGTTTGCTTCCCGCTTGCCCTTCCGTGAACATGTGCGTGTCTCTGGCGCTTGACTACTTCGACGATCGTCTTCTTATCCCCTCATAAGCCGTATGAGATCCAATTCGCCCCCACCACTCCACCATGAACTCGTCTCTCCATGTTACGGCGTGCGCCAGCGCTGTTCTCTTCGTTATATCGATAGCAATGTTTTTACGTTGGATGAAAGCGGAATCACATCTGCGACTTCCGCCGGGCCCGAACAGGATACCTCTGCTAGGCAACGTGCATCAATTGCCTATGCAGTCACAGGAGAGGAAATTCACGCAATGGGGTGCAGAATACGGTATGGTTTTTGATAATGCTCGTCTGAAGATCACCAGTTTGACCATGTTAGCAGGCGACATTGTCTTTGCAAAGTTATTCAAAACACCAACCCTTGTAATCAACTCGCTACAAGTGGCACAGGAACTTCTTGACAAAAGGAGCTCAAAATACTCTTACAGACCCGATTTTATTCTGCTCTCGGACCTGTGAGCTGGATGGCCGTAGTTGTTTTGACACTCTGCTTACATATGGTGTCGCGAAGAATGGGGTGGGACTGTGTTATCACACACATGACGTACGGAGACCGTTTTCGCAAGCATCGACGATGGATCTCAAACGCTTTCCAAGACAAACATTCCCTCGGGAGCTACCGCCCGCTTCAGCGAAGGGAAGCATACATGCTCCTTTCTGGACTCCTTCAGAGTCCAGAGTTGTTCAGATCACACATTAAGAGGTCAGTATCCCGTCCGCAGCTAGATCATTATCTCACATACACACAGGTTCGCAGCAGCAATGATTTTGCAGATTGCGTATGGCCATTCGGTGACATCGTTGGATGACAAATTCATCCACCTGGCGGAGCGTGCCGGCAAGGAGACTGTCGAGTATGGCAGCGCAGGAGTAATGCTAGTCGATTTGTTTCCGTTTCGTGAGCTACTCCTGCATCCATTTCCGGGCCATTGATGCTATCTTTTTATGTAGTCAAGCATATTCCCCTATGGATGCCTGGATCCGGCTTCAAGAGTCGCGCATTTGAGATTCGAGATCTGGTGCGCAAAATGCTAGACACTCCGTTCGAGATGGTCAAGGATGCTATGGTAGGACTCCCTCCCTTTTTCTATCCTTCGCTCATGTACCTCCTCCTAGAAATCCGGCACAGCATCACCTTGTCTCACGGCTACATTGCTCGAAGAAGTCCTCAGTAAACGCGCGCCGACAGCAGAGGACGAAGACGACATCAAGGGAACCGCAGGCGTATTATATGGAGGTAAGTCAAATGGAGCCTGACACTCTAAGCAAACTGACTGGGGTCTCAAGCTGCGACCGATACGGTAGTTTGACTGCATCTCCCTTGAGGTTGACGTGTCTGAATTCTAGATAGACAGTTGCTGTCCTTTCTACGTTCATCCTTGCGATGGTGCTCCATCCCGAAGTATACGAGAAGGCTCAAGCAGAAGTAGACCGAGTCGTTGGACAAGATCGCCTGCCGGAATTTGAAGACAGAGAATCCTTGCCGTACTTGGAGTGCGTCGTGAAAGAAGTGTTCCGGTATGTCATTTAGTGTCTTGCAATGCTCGTGGGCTTGACCTCCCCTCTAGGTGGAACTGCCCGGTGCCACTTGGTTCGTCCATTTTGAATTTTTCATAAACTCGTATTGAACCACCCTGCAGGGCTTCCTCACAAGCTCATATCTAACGACCAGTATCAAGGATTTGATATCCCTGGTGGATCTATGGTCATACCTAACATTTGGTCGGTTTCTTTGCAATCTTGAGTCAGATTTGACGTGCCAATATACGCCAATCAGGGGAATGACACGTAATGATAGTTTCTATCCTGAGCCAGAGATGTTCAGGCCCGAGCGTTTTGAGCAGATGGACCGCGAAACGGCGGAGGCACGAGATCCGCGCAAGATGGTGTTCGGGTTCGGAAGGCGGTGAGATCCTGATGTGAAGTACCAATGCGATACGGCGAGGCTGACTTTCCAAACTCTGCTAGCATTTGCCCAGGTCAGGATTTCGCAGATGCCAGTATATGGATTGCAATTGCCAGCATTGTCGCAACGCTCGACATCGGTGTCACTACAGATGAGGCAGGGAAACAAGCCCCACCGACGGGCTCATTTGTCCCAGGATTAGTGAGGTGCGTTGTTAGTCTCCGCATTCCGGAGATGCTGGCTCAATTTCTCGAAAAGTCACCCGGAGGAATTCTCATGCAAGATCACACCGCGCTCTGAGCAAGTGAAGACGGTTGTATTCGAAATGGGTGCTAACGTTGTACTATAAGCTGTTGGAAGTACTTATGCCATTCGTATGTACTTGGTTCTTTACGTGCTTTCTAGTTGCAAGCTGGGTCAAATACCGTTGGTTCTATCGTCTTCGGCCTCGATCCCTGCCAGAAATCCCACATAAGCTAGTGTGGACAAGTGCCATAATCCGTGAATCATACTGCATTTTAACCACAGCTGGCTGCAAGATTTACGGCAACGTTATCATTGGGAATACGTTGAAGGTTCTCCAATCCGTTTTTACCACGCAGAAAGTGTTGCGAGATGACAGAGAACTTCCATGGCTGGCAGAAAACGACTCCATATGGCATGTGAGCATCCCAGGGGGTGGCTAATCATCCAAAGATGAGTCTGCCACTTTCGAAATGTATGTATAACTCGTGCAAGTTTTCCGAGAGAAGCTTTTGCAAGCACGAACAAGGCTCGCGCGAAATGTAGAACTGTGCCTGCAAGTTGGCATTTGCGTCATGTCGTCGTCACGTGCATCTACCGCTGTGACGTACCTACTCGAAGCTTCCACAAAACTACACCTGTACTCTTCGCGCCCTTTTCCGTCACGCATGCAGGTTGTTATAGATCGCCACTACGTCCGTGCATGCCCCATTGCCGACAGGAGCCAACTACGTCCATTTCTGTGACAAATGAACGACGACCACGACATGCGTCTCTTGCCCTCTCCTGATCCCGGCGATAGCACAGACGTCGCTCAAGTCAAGGTCGATGCGGACCACGATCTAAAACTCGATGCACTGGGCCCTATGGTGGTGAACAGCGATGGGGTAAGTGATCTCCATTTTGCGGTCTAACACAATCCCAACTCCAAGCGCACGCGTGTGTGAAGACGCTATCCAGAATAGTTAATTGGCAGAACATGACTGAGTTCGAGCGGGAGCGGACCATGCGTGTGTTGACTGCACGGAATCAGTAAGTTGTCTGGCACGTTGGACTGTTCCGAGCGCTCCGTGGCCCTAACATTGACACGCTTCTGTTGTAGAGTCCGCATTGCGAATCAGGAGAAGAAGTTACAAGAATAAAACACTATCAGCAGTGCAGAGTTGAAATGCGATATGCTGCTGTTGAATACATGTACAATAAATGCACCACGAACGGACACCATGTGCGTACTACTAATGAGAACCAATGCAATCAGACTATTGCGCCGCAAAGCCGTTCGATGTAATCCGTACACCTATCAAGACGAGAGAGCTCCCTAACCTGTAGCACGAGTCGGATGGCATCTCGAGCACGCTCGTGACCACTTTCACGCTATCATGGATTTCCCCGCTTTGACAGCGGCAACTCAAAATCAGGGGCTGTAACCCTTTTCCCAGCTCCGACTTTGCCACTTTTCGGCGTTCTCTGCGGTGTATGTTCATCAATCCTGACAACAAGTACTAATAAGAAAGGCACCTGGCAGTGAGGTTCTCAACCTTGTCACTCAGTTCCCCAAACTCACCGTAGACAGATAGTCACCGCAGCTGGGGTAGACCCCTAAGCCATGAAGTTGGCAGCATTCTCCAAACCATAAGGCCATACCCACGCTTCACATAACGCGAAGATTCAATGGATGGACAACACTTACATCAGCATTGCCCGATACCACAATCGCGACTTCCTCCAGCTCCATACGCGTTGTGCAAGGAGTGCATAAGGCAGCCATCCTGACAGACGCTGCGTTCAGCCAGGCCACGCGCAGGTCTGGGCGTACTTATGAGAAAGGTGTGCCAAGAGGCCATCGAGTTTCATCTTCGCGCCACTACTCTCTTCCTCGCAAATGAGACGAATCTCCTTCGCGATGCACGCGTGAGTCACAATGCGGTTAATCCAAAACACAAAAATAGACAACAGCTTCCGCCGCGTCGACTGCATTATGCCGGACGACCAGAGTGCGCAAATTATGCAAGCAAGGAGCGGCTGATGCCGTCTGAGATTGCCGCGCAAGCGAGAGGAACGTCAGCTGATGTCGGTTCCTTCATGCAATGAACTGATGGCAGGTCTAGATACTTGAGGCTCGGCAGACCCTGCCCAGAGGCAAAGACATGGTCAGTTCCCAACGAGTATGATAAGCCAAGCGCCGGGAGCCTCGATCCGCGATTATCCTATACGCCTACTGAGATCTAGGCCATGACTCGTGTGCTATAGGGAAATGCCTACTCCGAGCAAACGCTGTCGAAGGCTTTTGGACGCGATGCCAGTCCGACAGAAGCTGAAGAATTGCACGAGTTGGATTCAAGATGCTGGGATACTCTAGGACCTTCGCTGTCAGTGCCATAATAGACGCGAAATCGTCCTCAATGCATGAAGCGCCAGTGGTTCCACTTCACACGGATGTGTGGTTATGCAGAGGGGAAATAGCTCCGGCATTCTGTTGGTACTTATTCGAGGCGAATATACGATCGTGTTAAATTTGAGGCAAAGCTGCATGGATGTGTGAAGGCCAGTCGCAAAGGTATCCAGCGGCGCAGGGCGCGTAGAGAGGTAAACTCAATATACATGCGTTTTGGGAGCTCAAGCGCGGTGCGTAGAACAATGACAGCAAGCGGACCATAGCTCGAGCGCTAATAATCGCTGCACCTTGACTTCGAACAAACTTCATGATCTCGAGCTCAACGATCGCAAAGCCACACACGCACGGTATTCAGCATACTCATTGGCGAATAACATCATCATCCCATGGCTTTTGTCAAGTAAGGACTCGATGTATGAGTTGTTATTCCTGGAGACAATGGATATTCTTGATGGTTCTGGAGCCTGGACCCGGGCGGTGAGTTGCGAAGGTTACCGCTGAAGGCTTATTTGTGAGAGCCTCTCTCCTGAATGCCTCGACCAACCTGAACGGAGTCTTGCGCTCAGCGGCGAAGCGGTTCACTGCTACCGGTTGTAGGCCGACTTCTACATTTTCCCGAAGCGTTTGCAGCCGTTATTACCACCATCATTGTTCGTACGTACGGCGCTGACGGCATGAAGGATAGCCATTTCCACTCAGTGTCGAAATCAAATGCAATTGCTCTGTTTTCGCCTATTTCAGGTACATGGCCGCCCATAGCCGCCCTTCAATCGGCCACCGCGCCCTTGAAACACTTTCCTTGCGACAGCATCATTCCACAAGCGCCAGGTACTCGTAAAGTCTCCTGTTGTGTGGATATTAACCGTCAACCCCACTATATTGCTATATTGGTGGTGAGCACGTATATTAATGTCGCTATGCTTAAGAGATGACACTTTTGTACAAGGGTAATCAGATATCACGTTGCAGCTGATTCCATATCGTTAGAGCTGTTCACGTTGGTGTATGCGTAAGCTGACTTCCGGCAGGAATGCGCGGGCCCTGGAGGCAACGACCTACTTTGGTAAAATGGAGTTGTCACGATACTTTGCGGGGTCTAGCCATGTCGGAGACATGGTTTCGACAGTTAATTCCGATGGTCGCATCAATCTCCCTTGCGCGCAATCATTCCCGGGTAGGTCTAACAATGTGGGATCAGCTATTATCCACAAAACTAAGTGTATCGGCTCTTCGGAATCACAGATAAAGCAAAATATAGCCAAGCAACCTACAAACCGAAGTGAGTACTTCTCGGTGTTATCCGCGCCAGCAGTAGGTCAGCACACCAATGAAAACATTGATATTGTATCTGCATCCAGATTCCCGCTTGACAGATTTTAGTGCCTCTTGGCTCGAGTCCTTAGCCTATTGCGTTCACGGCATTGACTCCTGCAGTATTCAAATACCGTCAGCTGCACAGCAGTAAGCGTCTCGCCTGTCAATGCTTAAAATATGTGCGCAGGTGACATCATTCGACACCTACCTGATTATACCAATGACCGTGCTCACCATAGCCTGAGATCAATGTGGACACAACCCTCGTCGTTTTCCACGCGTTGCAGAGATGCGTGACTCGTGCGGTGACAAAAAGATATGCGCAAGATATCCATACACGAGCCCATACACTATTCAGACGGTACCGCGTCAAATCAGTAATAGTCGAGTCAGTTCCTCCCCCCGCTGTCCGGCCCATCAATGAGCAGGGGCGCCGGTTGCAAAACGCGCGGCTGTATCGCTCATGCGCTGCTGCGCGTGCATTTCACGAGTGGCGTAGCGTCTAGATGCATTGTATAAAGGCACGGTCAGGAGCAATATACATCCTCACGAGTTTACCTCGCCTCGCATTCATCTCCCAAGCCCAGGTTCAGCATGACTCGCTTCATCGCCCTCGCTAGCGTCCTCGGCGCGCTCGCCGTGTCCGGACTCGCGCACCCCTTCTCAGGTGACGCAGTGGCCCGCAAGCGGCAGCTAGACCATCATATTGGCAACGTGCGTACCTTTCTCGACTCGCACCCGCCATCCCCGCTCAAGATTCGCAGGCTACGTCCTACACCCCTTCGGGCGTCGGCGCCTGCGGGGTAACCATCTCACCCGACCAGTTCGCCGTCGCGCTTGCACCTGATTTCTTCACCGCGAGCTCTTCGTGCTCCGAGGTACGCGCTGACCCTTTGTTGTGTGCTATGGCCGCTGCTCACTTGGCTGTGCTTGCAGAATTTGACAGTCACCAATGCCAACACCGGCGTCACAAAGTACGCGTTGGTCCTCGACGAATGCGACTCGTGCACGGGTCAGAACCTGGGTCAGTGTTCCTTCCGCATACTCGGTGCATGCCACATTTCTGTTTCTCACGTCGCTTTGTAGAATTGACAGTGCCTCTCTACGAGGCGTTGGGTGGTTCGCTCAGCCACGAGCCCCTGGAGGTGATCTGGTATTAGCTTAGGATCAATGACTGCGACTAGTAATCAGCTAGATCGGTTCTCCCATCTGGCCAGCGATTTGCTAGTCGTATGACTGTACATCCACAATCCGTATAATCAACCAAGTATATCACGTTAACAGATCTTGTTGAGGGCATGGCTGGCCAGTGGGAAGCAGCATCCATCAATTGTGGCAGGAGACACATAAGTAACGAGCGACAGGTCACTGAGCGTACAGAGCAACGTTTGTTGTGATTCAAATTCAGGCATGCCAAACTCAATGGAGAGCTATCAGGCAAACGTTGGTGTTTAACAACTACATGTGACACTTGAAACACCAATAGCCGCTATGCGCCACACATCAATCCATGTAGAGGGCCTAACTTGAAAATCAAACGCTGTCATTGTATTGTTGTGACACATCTCGCGCTCAATCCGCCATCACATGAGACTCAGATGAACATTTGCGCGGGCGTTTGGCAGATTAATGGTGCAGGGCGGTCCCGAGCCGCCAGACTACGCTCGAGCAGCACTGGCGCTTGAGCATTCATGACCACAGAGAGCACGCCGACACGTCGTCGCCACAATCGCGAGCCCACCCACCAGCGCCACAGCGTCTGCACTGAAGGCAGAGGCTACATTACGAGGCATGTAGCGCGCCGGACTGAAAGGCAAGCTGCTTAACCGCACCCGCGCTCGACGGACCTGTTTCATGAGGCTCTCTCGCGACGTCGGTTTGCAGCGAAGGGATGTAAGATGAGTAAAGAGAGCGCTGCGCTAGCTTGCTACACATTGACATGCCCCAGTACGTAGTACAACTAACTCGAAGTGGAAGGCCGCCACGTGGAACTTGAATTGATACCGATGACCGAATGAGTTGGATCCTAAAGGGCCTTCGAGGACATAAGCTGCATGGCTCCCAGCCCATGTCGAGCATCCGCCGCGGCGATGCAAGTGTGGGCTTGCAAGGGAGCTCCCACGTGCGTTGGGGTACTAGGTGGCTACGGCAGCCCAGAATGGCATCACGACTACGAGAACAAAACGGGGTAGACGGAGAGACCGAATGCCTTGCCCACATCCGCATTGCGCATCCCTCGCGAGGTTCTAAGTCTGGGACCCACCACGCGGAAGCATTAATCCAAGGAACCAGCGGGCGATATTACTTTGAGTTCCGAGTGTCCGCAAAGAACCACCGAGGCGAGTGCGCGCGCTCGACGAGAATGAGTATTGCGCCCGTCCGGTGCAGCGCTGCGAGTGGCCCGGAAGAGCTAAAACCCTGATGCTGACTCACCGGTGCCCAACGCGAGGGCTCGGCGCCAGGCGGTCTGCGATACGGAGTGTTCGTGTTCGCGTCTGGTCTCTTGAAGCCGAGTAAGGAGGGAAGCGGAAGGGCGAGGATGCAGTAGACCGAAGAGTTCGTGTGAGAGTATTATTATTCGCGCATTCCGGAGCCTCACGTTTTGCGCTCCACGCTGTGCCGCACGGCATCGTGCATACAGTACGTGCGGATGGACGATAGGATGTATATTAGCATATATGATCGTCTTAGCCCACGGTGGCAGTGGCAGAAGCTGGGGAGAGAGGAGGTGCAATTTCCCGCCTGCGCCGCGCTGGCCGCCAGGCGTCCTAAACGAGCTTCTGTGCCTGGCGAATTTGGTTAGACGCTGCTCGCGCACGTTCCCGCGAGGCCACGTTTGTCCGTTCACAAGTCGGGGCTTCGAATCGACTTCGAAGCTCGCGGGGCGCCACGCCGACAATGTTCGGCTCGATGATACGCCGGGGACTGTATTCGCTAGAGCAAATAGCGTCTGCGGCTTGAGACGAAGCGGCGGAGTGCTCTGCAAGGGAAGCCTAGGCGAGCAAATTAAGGCGAAACGAATGAGGGTCAAACTTGAGGGTGCTCTTGCACTGATAGACTCGCCCCGACCTGTGCCATTGCGCAGACATTACATACGCAAATCTCGCTCGCTATCGTAATAATAACAGCGTTCTGGGGTAAGTTAACTTGCCGGTCGCAGAAGGTGTGCAACCCGAGGATTCTCCGTGTCTGCGAGCAGCTAACTTAGTAACATACAGCGCCCGGGGGGGGGGGGGTGTCAGCATGACGGATGAATGAGGAGGATTTGCGAGGGTGAGCCAGTACAGAGCGCGAGCCCCGAGACTAGGGGGCCAGGCAGCGTAGGTGACACTATGTTGTAGCGGAGGAAGATGTTCAGCGACAAAGCCGGCGCCTCGCTGATCGTACTGGCGAATGCACGGCGAACGTTAGCGGCCAATGGTCAAGCAGCAACGGTATCTTCTTCTGTCTTCTTCTTTCTTCTCGTCTCTTCTTTGTTTATCACTCTAGAACGGCCTCGGTAGTATGTAACCCCTTACTACTCTGCGACTCTCGGGCATGCAAAGACGTTGCGGAAGGTGAGAAGCAGCGATCGGCTTAGGTGGGGGAATGCCGGCGACACCACGTTACCGAGGGCGGCGGGATATGCGAGTAAGTTCGGTGAGTCGGGGGGCCATTCTCGTGAAGTCTGAGTTATTGCCGGTTGTGAACTCCACTCGGACTTGCCGAGTCTAGCTTGCTTGCCCCCAGATTCCATAACGGGGCTTTCCATCTCGTTTAGGAAGGCCCCTTACTGTATTTGGACTTGATTGGACAGCTGTGATGCTAATCCCTTCCATGTGCGTCATCCCGTTTTCTTAGTTGTCTCTGATGAAATGGATGTCTATGGTCTTTGTTATCTTATAAGCCATCATCGATACCGAGTAATCCAGTTTTCTCCTTCCTCTCGTCCTCCCATCTCCCCTCCCTGAACCGATACGGACAAGCTACTCATGCGTCGTATGTGTCAGGTGGGTACATTGCTAAATCATCGAGTTCTCATGGGTGGATGTGAATACACGCTCTGAACTCCGCTCGCATTGTCACTTAGACCGCAGGTGTGCTCGTATTTATTTTCAACTCCTGTCTCTATTCGCATTACATCACGCATATACGGACGTGGACAGATCATAACGGCTATAAATTGTTTTAGCTTCTGCCTGTCTAGGCTCTACAGAAGTCTGAGTCTAACGGCCTCTTCGGACTTCTGCACGTCAGCCTCTCACAGCGTCCACCGGACTCTAATAGGCTTGCGCGAGCCTGTATGCGCAGAGGAATCCACTGGGTATGCACAGAGCCCGGCGACCCAGCGTGACCGGGTCCATGGCCATTAGCCTGGGTGCGGACCGGAAGGAATACCGCAATGCACTCACGGATCGTAGTCGTGGTTTGCGGGCGACAGGACCGGCACTCCGGTTTGTTGGTTGACAGTGGTTGCGTCACAGAAGAGACGGAGATTCATTGCAATTGCCGAGGGCAGAGGAGATGCGGGGACCGTGGGGTGAGAAATTTTCCGTCCGAGCAATCAACAGTTAGCATCGCCCCGCGGGGTGGGCACCGGCGGTTTTGCAACGACCGCTCAACGAGCAAAATCGCAGGCTGAAAGATGAGGAGGATGTCGAGCAGCGGCGTCGACGCGGAATCGAAGCGCCTTATCTCGGGATGTCTACGCGCAAGCGAGACAGCGTTGACAGACACATCACAGAGAATAGGCTCTCCAGTGTCGTAAATTTGGACGGAGCGCGACTGTCCGCGCGGTGCATGCATCAGCAGACTACCGGTGGGCGCGGAGCTCGGCCGGACCGCAGGACCAGCATTTGGCAGGCAAGGGTTTTGCAATCCAGGGATGATGCCTGTAGTGCATCAGAAAGCGGGCGACCGATGAGACGGCATGCTCGGGAGCGAACGAGGGCACGGCGGGTGTTTTTGATAAATTTTGACGCGATTCGGGGTGCTTCTATTCATGGAGGGTGCCCTGCGAGCATGGGACGGCGGGAGCAGCGACGGGACCCGCCCTCAGGGAGCGCGTCGATATTTACGACCGCAGAAGCACGGTCAGCTGATAGGAGATAGGTCACGCGCGACGCGATCGGAGACGCGCTCTGATGGGTCGACCCGATCGGCCTGAGCGTGGATGTTGCCCATTCTTCTGCCGGTAAGCATTTCCCAGCCACCGCAATGGAAGCGAACTGCAGCATTCTTCGACCACGGGCACGACCCTGCCGTGAGGCACAGGCGCCACCTATATATCCTTGCCTCGTTTCCGAGCTTCATCCGAGTTCCCCCTCGAGCTCTCCTCGCGCAGGCCAGTCTCGTCCTCGCCTACCAGCAAGGGTCTCCTCGACTAGCCCGTCGCCATGAAGCTCTCGACGCGGCTCGCCCACCTCGCTGCCCTCCTCCTCTTGGGCAGTGTCGATCATGCCGTCGCACAGTCCTCGGCGGTCATCCCGTCCAGCGCTGCCGCGACGCCCATCCTGTCCAGCGCAGCAGTGTCTTCAGCGGTAGCGTCCTCTGCTATTGCATCCTCAGCTGTGGCATCCTCTGCCATCGCGTCCTCGGCCATTGCATCCTCCGCCGTCGCGTCGTCTGCTATCGCATCGTCTGCTGTCGCGTCCTCGGCCATTGCATCCTCCGCCGTTGCGTCGTCTGCTATCGCATCGTCTGCTGTCGCGTCCTCGGCTATTGCATCTTCTGCTGTCGCGTCTTCGGACGCAGTCTCTTCCGCCATCGCGACCACCGCCGTCTCCTTGGCATCCGCGACCGACCTTCCCTCTGGAGCAACCGGCGAGGTCTCGGGCGTGTCCTTCACCGTCTCGGGCACCTACACTATCTACGGCGACCCTGTGCCAACTAACCCACCTTCGCTCGCGTCATCCCCCTCCGCAGGCGAGCCGCCGTATAACTCGGGCTATGGCACGGAAGTCGGTGAGTACTCAATCGCTGGTCTCGCCGGTTGTCAGCCTCTGGCATGTTACCCATGTACAAGTTGGCACCCTCTGCCCTATTGTGGAGAGACAGTGGAACCCCAGTGCTCGGCCAACATCAGGGGTGTACGCTTCCCCGTTTTGTGATGCTCCTCGCGGGGTGCACTCGCCGTATGGGATGCAGGACGCAGCTCCGCTCTCGGCTTCAATGATATCTACCCGATGCTGTAATGGGTGCACCAAGGCACGCGCAGCATGTTGCGTCATGCGCAGCGAGCAATGAGGGCAGCAGCCTGTGGATTGTGTACGCTGTGACGGGCCGTGCAGTGGTACAAATGCGTTCACATAGGCATACCTGGCCTGCTGTGTATTAGCGTTACCCCTATTGAATGATTTACGAATGTGTTCGTTTGCTAACGCCCCTTTGCCCCAGGCTGGCAGACGCTCTCGCTCTCGTCATACGCGTTCACGCCGTACCCCGTCGCGTCCGCGTTGCCCGTACCGGTTGTATACCCCGACGTGTCGCCTTTATATCCACCGGCAGTAGAGAACCCTGGCTCGCAGGTGGTGCCGGATTTCAGTAATGCGTGGGCGGAGGCGTACGCGAAAGCCGAGGCGTTCGTGGCCGGGCTGACGCTGGAGCAAAAGGTGAACGTGAGCACGGGCGTGTACTGGGAGCAGGGCCTGTGTGTGGGCAACATCGGGGAGGTTGCGGACCTGCGCGGGCTGTGTCTGCAAGACTCCCCGCTCGGTGTGCGCTACACGGACTACAACACGGCATTCCCTGCGGGTATTTCGACTGCCGCTACGTGAGTCGCCTGTTCACAGCCCTGTTGTTGTGCTCCTAATGGGGTTTTCTAGCTTCAACCGGACGATGATGCGTCTGCGTGGCCAGCAAATGGGCGAGGAGTTCCGCGGGAAGGGCGTGAATGTCGCGCTCGGACCGATGATGAACATGGGGTGCGTCTTCCGCGTTCTTTCCCAGCCGTCGGTTCCCCGTTTGCTTCCCGCCGCGGTATTTCTCCTCTATGCACTGTGCACTGCCTGCGGGTGCAGTCGCGCTATTTTCGCACCTTCGTCGTCAATTTGCCGCGTTCCAATATCTCCGTCTGAATTACATTCTCCATTGAGTCTATATTTGCCCGATCTATTTCGCACACATACACTCCGCCTCTTCACTCTGTTCACATCCCTTCACGCTCGGTTCCATCGTGATGACACAAGCGCTGACCCAATTCGCCGATAAACAGCCGCGTTGCTCAGGCCGGACGTAACTGGGAGGGCTTCGGAACGGACCCGTTCCTGAGCGGCGAGGCGGCGTATGAAACGACGCTCGGGCTGCAGTCCGCGGGCGTGCAGGCTTGCGCGAAGCACTACATCGACTAGTATGTATCATCATCCCGTTGCGTATGCGGTTGTTAATGGTCAATGGGTACAGTGAGCAGGAGTACAAGCGTACGCAAGAGAGCTCGGAGGTGGACGACCGCACGCAGCATGAGATCTACCTGAAGCCGTTCCTACGAGCCGTCATGGCGGGCACGGCGAGTGTCATGTGCAGCTACAGTACGTTGTGTCTAGCTGGTTCTTCGTTTGCGGAACGGGCATGTTGACACGCCGGCAGACATGATCAACGACACGTACTCGTGCGAGAACGACCGGACGCTGAACCAGCTGCTCAAGGGCGAGCTCGGCTTCCGCGGGTACGTGATGTCGGATTGGGGTGCGCAGGAAAGCACACTGAGTGCGATGGCGGGTCTTGACGTGCGTCGATCTTCTCTCGTTGCTCCGTATGGCGTGATTGCTGATGGAGAGTTTGATTTTGTCCTCACTGACTGTTCGGTGGCGTGTCGTCTCACTGACACTTCCTGTCTTGTCGCGCCGATGCTATGATAACGCGGATGATGGCCGGTGGCTGGTGTGCTGTGCGCTCGGTGTTTCCTCGCTTCCTCGAATCGGGATGCATTCAACCGTATCTTTACACGACATGTTCCTATGTCGACGATCGGTCCTATTGGCTTCGATGTTCCCTGTTGCCCCCCGGAACACCAGATGTCTATGCCGGGAGACATCACCCTCGGCTCAGGCAACTCCTGGTGGGGCCCGAACCTGACCGCGTTCGTCGAGAACGGCACCATTCCGCTTTCGCGCATGGACGACATGGCGACGCGGATCATGGCGAGCTACTACCTTCTCGGCCAGGATCAGGACTACCCCAACGGTGCGCAATCCTCAAATTGCTATCATATGAAGATGGGAGGCTGATTCCGAATGCAGTGTCCTTCAACGCGTTCAACCAGTATGATCAGGTGCACAACTTGCATATTGATGTTCAAGCAGACCACTACCAGATCGTGCGCGAGATCGGGCATGCGGGCGCGGTGCTGCTCAAGAACACGAACGGCGCGCTGCCGCTCAATGCCCCACGGAATGTCGTCCTTATCGGTGAGTTCATCGCGCGTTGTATTCCCGTAGCCCCTTCAAGTTGACATGGCTGTGTCGCAGGCTCTGACGCGGGCAATGGTGCGATGGGCGCGAACGGATACACCGACCGCGGCGGAGATGATGGTATTCTTGGAATGGGCTGGGGCTCGGGAACGGACAACTACCCGTACCTCATCTCGCCGATGGACGCTATGCAGGTGCGTGCGCGCCAGGACGGCACGACTCTCATGAACTGGTATTACGACTGGGACACCGAGGGCGCCGCTACTGCGGCCATCCAGTTCGAGGCTGCTGTGAGTAGACTGTCGATGCGGGCTCTTTTTTTCCCGTTCCTGACAAGAGAGCTAGATCGTCTTCGTCAACTCGGACTCGGGTGAAGGCTATATCGAGGTCGATGGCAACCTCGGAGACCGGTCAGTGAACCTCCTGCGAGGTTTTCTTTCCGCAACTTTTATCTGATGCACCGAACAGCAACAACCTGACGCTATGGCACAACGCGGACAACCTGATCACCGCTGTTGCTTCGCAAAACAACAACACCATCGTTGTTGCGCACTCTGTTGGCCCCTCCATCATCGATTCGTGGGTCGAGAACCCGAACGTCACTGCGGTCCGTATTATCCGTGTTTACCGCGGCGTAGTGCTTAAATTGTGCTCTTCGTATACAGATCATCTGGGCCGGTGTAGCCGGACAGGAGGCGGGTAACGCCATTGTTGATGTGCTCTACGGTGATTACAACCCGTCCGGCCGCCTCCCGTACACCATTGCGAAGCGCCTCGAGGACTACGGTGTCTTCCTCACCCTCGGTGGCAATGGAAGCACGATCCTGAGCGTTCCGTACACCGAGGGTTTGTTCTACGACTATAGGCACTTCGACGAGGTCCGTACGAGTATGTTGCCGAGATTAGTCCCCATTCTAATGTCTGTTTGTTACAGTACAATATCACGCCCCGCTACGAGTTCGGCTATGGTCTCTCTTACACGACCTTTGAGTACTACAACCTTGCCACCTCCATCGTGCCGCAGTACGACCCGACCGACTACGCTCTCGAGGCCGCCTGGGCCGCGGGTGTGCCGACTCCCCAGGGCGAGGGCTCGTCCGTCGCGCTCTGGCTGCACCGTCCCTTCGTCCAGGTGTCCTTCGAAGTCCAGAACACTGGTGCCGTCGCGGGCACGGAGATCCCGCAGGTGTATGTTCACTTCCCGACGGGCATCGGCGAGCCGCCGAGCTGGTTGAAGGGCTTCGACGCGGTATACATCGAGCCCGGCGAGGTTACGACGGTGACGGTGACGATCTCGCGGTACGATCTCAGCATCTGGGACGTCGTCGCACAGGGCTGGGTCAAGCCTGCGGGCGAGATCACGTTCTCAGTCGGCGCGAGCAGCCGCGACTTCCGCCTGCAGGGTTACATCCCCATTTGAAGACTGTAAATCATTCGAATGATCTGTGTAGATATACAGGAAAAGTGTAGATTCTGGTGCTGGACTGATGATAAAAGGTGGCGGGCGGGCGATGGACCTACCAAACGACGTTCAAAATCTAGCACTACAATCACTTGTTGTAGATTGCAGCAGACTGTTGTACATGGACTTTCGCATATCGGTAGCTTTCATTAACATGACCGACTGCTTCATGAGCACATTATCTGAGGGCCGGTGCAAGTATCTGCGCTCCGGCACATGAGTTCTTCAATTCTCTAACGCTGCGAGGTGAAGGAGAAAAGGGTATGACACATAAACCGTGAATCTTTGCGTTGAATGCTCCGCCTCGTTGCCTATGTAGTTTGCGGTCCATTCAAGCTGGGGCTTAGCGACTGATATATTCACCGAGCACCAAAAGTGAGTGCTATAATTGTGCACTGGTTTGCGATCACCACCTGATAGAATGCAGAGTATATACCGTCTGCATTAAGCACCAATACTGTCCATACTATAAGCAATATCATAGTCCATTCAACGGTCAAAATGAAAGATTGTACCGTGACCGAGTCGAACAGGAATACACTTCCACAAACATAGGCTAGGTGCAGCTACGGGCCAACAATGAAGAAGACAAGTTGCCGAACGATATCACGTCCATGGCTCAGTACACGATATATAAGAGGTAATCGGAGCGCTCATATTCGGCACTCGGCAAGACTAGTGTATACGACGATGAAGGGGCTGTGAGTAGCCTTCGTCATGCCTTGGACGAGTGCAAACATACCTTCGATCGCCTGTGTGTCCTCAAAGTCATTCAAAACATATTGGTACGATGTCTCCCCAGAGATGAGTGTGGTTCCATTGACGGAACGGCCCAGGAAGAACAAGTCCATGCTAGCATCATCCCAGTTCTGTCCCAATGACTAAACAGGACCAGAGTGTCAATAATATCCTCATAGCATAAGATATAAGCACGCACCCAGTATTGCGACAGCTGCGAAGAGTCGTCTGCGTAGGAGCAATTTCCGACTTCGATTACGTATGACGAAGATTCGCCAACGATAAGCTCCCCCGTAAACAGGCACTGATCGGGCCATCCTGCAGGAAAGCCAGTGACTAGAATGTGGCCGAATGATGTCTCAATCGATCCATTCGTAGTCTGTTGGAATCCCATGAGAATGTGCTGTCACCTGAAATGTTGTTTAGGCTTGTCAGAATCTCGGCGGGGCTTGGAAAGACAGCGTTTGCGTACATTTCTGGAACTCGACCTGGAGCTGCGAGAGACCCGGAGATTGAACTACGAGAGCATTGAAGTTTTCGGCCGCTTGTTCGTTAGAAACATTCCAAACTGTTGGTCGATCCAAAGATAGGAGTGCAAGGGGTCCGGAGAATACCATCTCGCAAGAGACGTCCTCACGCTTAACAATTGCAACGGCACGGGCAGAAACGGCCCAGAGAGCGAAAATAAGGAGAGCCAGCATAGCCAACGTCGGCGAATTGTAAGAGAAATGAAGAAACAAAGAGCGGATGATTCCACGATGATATTCCCTGCGGCCATTTAGCCACGCCAATTTATAAGAATCAGGGGCCTCAGAACGCTCCCACACGGCTCGATAGATGATGCGATGACAGACGGAGTAAACTCACCGTCAACCTTCGAGTTAATCAGTGGCAGTGGCAGCTACAAAGCTACAAGGAGTGGCATATGCCGATGTGAGACCGGGACATGCGGCGATGATATCTTTTGGGTTTGATCAGGGTGTTATCCATCGGGGCTAGCATGATGCGTGCAGAAACTAGTAGTGGAAAACAAAGAGCTACATGTGCACAACCAATCATCAGTTCTCTTCATGTTGAGTGGGAGGCTGCTTCCATCTGCCCCTCCCATTTCCTCTGCTTCTCCTGGAATTCTTGTTGCCATGTTTCCCACCAGGCAGGCTCCTCTTGTCGCTGTTCAATACAATCTGGACAATAGATATAGTATGCGTTCTCTGCAGAGCCATACCCCAGCAGCAGGCTGCCCGTCAAGCTCAGTCATGGAATGTCAGAGATGCGAGAAGTATCACTCACTATTCTGGCAGCTCATCTCCAATTGGTTCGAACTTTTCGTCGGGAAGGCAGTCCTCGCAAAACGCCTGCGGACACGTACGACATCTAGGATGAGGTTTCAAATGAAGGAAGACATGGGCCGAAAGAGATAGATCGTACCGCAGGAGCATGCCACCAGCGTCTGCCGTTGCGCGGGTACAATGTGCGCACTTGTGCTGGCTACACGACGCGCTTACCATATGGACTACGTCCCGACGTGACAGTCCGTGACACTTGGCGTGAAAGACTGCAAGTCGCACGACATGAATGGCGTGACGCTGCGGAACACGACGATTGTTGCCTTACCTCGCGGACACCAAGTACAGACGACGAGTTCACCGCCATCTCGACAATACAGACACCAATCTTCAGTCTCAAACTTCTTCCTAGAACGCTTCACATGGACCGGGGTTTTCCCGACCGGGGACAACTGTGACACGAGTGAGGAATTAGGATAAGATGCTTGAATGTTACGCACGATTTCTGGACCCATATGTTCCGCGATCATCTCGATGCCGCCCACATTCACTATGCGTTTTGCGCGACCCCGCTTCTGCAACTCCTTCCATTCGGAGGCGATCTCCGCGTTCGACGGTCGCTTGATCACCTTGCCTTCGAACAGCCTGCTCTGGACTTGGGCGACCCCCATTAGCAACTTTCGCTCCTCCTCCTCTGCGTCTTGCACAAGCCTCTCATCCACGTGTTCCTTAACCCCTTCAAAATGCTTGGCCTTAGCGATTCGACGATCATCATGCTCGCGGGAGGCGTCGAATATTTCTTGAATGGGAGCGCAGAGGAAGCGAGAGAACTCCATGCCGACGATGCCGCTAGAAAGAGCACTGCTGCCCTTGCGCAAGATGTCCAGCAATTCGTCGGCCTTATAGCCTGAGCTTTCATCGCCTGTGGCATGATTCTCAGAGCCCATCACTTTGACCGACAGGAAGAGCTTCCGACGGATCCTGTCCAGCATCTGGTCTTCGACACTCCCTTGACAGATCAGCCTGTAGACCTTGACCACCTTGGTCTGCCCGATTCTATGCGCTCGAGCAATCGCTTGCATATCATTTTGGGGATTCCAGTCAGAGTCGAACATAATGACCGTCGAAGCTCTCGTTAGATTTATTCCTAGACCACCCGCTTTGGTCGAAATCAGGAAGACCTTGTACGGTGATTGCTCTTGCTGGAACAATTTGATGTCTAGAACACGTCTGGCGCGACTCGTGGACCCTTCGAGCTTAGCATAAGGAATATTTCGCAGTTGCATGAACTCTTCCAGAAGCTCCAGCATCTTCGTCCATTGACTGAAAATAATAACGCGCTCGCCCTTAGGCAGTAGGTCTTCAAGTAGTTTATCGATGACAATTAATTTCGATGAAGCCGCAACCAGATGCTCGCCAATTTGATATGGCTCGGGCTCGGCATTGGGGAGGAGATATGGATGGTCGCAAACAAGCCTGAGTTGCAACAGGAGATTCATCAGCTTGTGCCATCCTATCTTACTCGTGAGCAACGTATTCAGAGATGAGCGTTACGCTTACGGTTCTGCGAGATTCCTCCGCCGCCTGGGACTTCAATCTCATCTTGATGCGAATGTTCTAATTTGACGTCAAAGATCTCTTGTAAGTCCATTCTCTCCATGCGCGTCAACAGCCTGTATGTCCAGAAGCGCTGCGCTTCCGTCATCGGCACAAAGACTGTCAGCTCCTCTCGTGGTGGCACGCTTATTTCTACTGTAGCCTTGGTGCGGCGAAGCATGATCTTCGAAAGAAGTTTCTGTGCAGCGTTTAGGAAGGGAAGGGAATACACACCGCGATTGAGATCGAATGAATCCTTGAAGGGCTGCTCGGATGCAGCAGTGAAAACACTAGAATACAGCCAGTGAAGGATACCCCAAAGTTCCACAAGGTTATTTTGTATGGGCGTCCCGGTCAACACTGGGCGTTGCGTTAACAAGCTAAGCGACCTGAAAGACGAGTATGACGCACGAAGACGATATAAGGAGCCGATGCCCTGCAGTTCGTGTGCGACAACGGTTCCAGAATTTTTGATTCTGTGTCCTTCATCCAGTACACAGCATGTCCAATGTCTATGCTTGAACCAGCTCGCTTCAGCGACATATGCCTCGTACGTCGTAATGCAGATGTCGAATTTCTGGCCTGCGAGAACAGCGTCTTTCAAACGGGTTCGCTCAGACTGAGGGCCATGGAAACGAAGGGTCTCGAACGAAGGGAGCCAACGCTGTACTTCCTATTAGGACAGCTCAGCTCTCATCATACATAGCGAGATTTGTCGAGAGCATCTTACGGAAGCCCACGAGTGTAAGACAGACAGAGGACAGATGACTAAATGTGGTGGCAGCCGTCTGTCTACAAGACTGTCAGCTACGAGTGAATTATGTCACTAAAGATCTCACGTTGAGTAGTATCCTTGATGTATGCGAAGAACGACAAGGTCTACAATGGTGGTAAGGTCAATAACTGAACGACTCAAAGAGTCGTAAGCGCTCACCTGAAGTGTTTTGCCAAGACCCATCCTAAATGTAAGAAATGAGCTGCAGGCAGATGTGAGGCCTATACGGCGGAAGACCTACTCATCGCCCAAAATGCAGTTTATACCTAGGTATACTTATAAGTGGATGCGCGGGATGGGATGCGAGGCGCGCGTACCATTCTTGTACATGTATACCAAAAACGATAGTCCATGAAGCTATGCCGCTGTGAATATTTTGTCATCATTAATGCTGTAACTCAGACTGACCTGATAATCTTTCATAACCCCCCCTACAACAGATATCGGTTGTTCATGAATGTGATGAAATGGCACGAAAGGCGATCCATCGCCGGACATTTCGACATCACGTTTTATGATATCAAGAATGCTACTCTTGGGAGGAAGTAGAGGTGAGAAGAGATCACGATGGCGATGCAGCCAATGTTTTCTGGATGTGTCTATGGCGGCCCGAGCTGAATTAACAAGGACGGTTGTCTGGGATGAATGCGTATCAGCCGAGTTGGTACATGAGCCGCTTTCGAGACAGGGGAGAAGAGGCGGGTTTAGATAAAGATAAATATAATAATGCGATCTCAAGTGGTGAATACACAACTCGCCACGACGAGACGAACAGGGACAAGGAACTGCCTCTGCTGAACCTCGCCACAAACGGTGGGTTCGGAAAAGAGTATGAGTTGGTTATATGTTTGACCATTTGCAATTCTATGACACCGAGTACGTTCAGACCGATTGGATGTTTCCAAAGTGGCCAGTTCAAGCTGACAAAAAGAAGACGTAATACATTATTGTCTTCGCCCCTGGGGCTGACATATGCAAGATGATCTTTGCATTAGAGCATTTTACTCATGTACTTATCCACGACGTGGACTCAGACAAAGATATATACTGTAGACGACTTACAGCCTCTTTCTCCTCTCTTGCAGGTTTCTTTTCATCAGTCTTACTTTTCTTCGCGATGGTGTAGACAGTTGGCGGTCTTTTGCGTTTATTTGATGTTGAATAACTTGTTGAATTAACGCGAGAGCGAAGAGTACGAGTCGCTCCAGGTTCGCCCATTGGGGAGAGGTCGCTAGTCACAGAGGTCGCGGAGTGGCCTGATGTCGAAGCCAGTGTTGGTGAAGTCGCCGTCAAGAGGTCAAGTTCGTCGTAGTCCAGCGACATTTTGTTCTAGATCGCGCGCAAAAGTACAGCTACAATAGAGTAGGGTGCAAGACGAGCAGTCACAGGACTGGACAAGACAAGAAATGTGGCCGGCGAAGTGTGGCTAGACGCCGGCCAGAGGTCGCGCGGGCGCTCCGCGCTTCTTCAGGGCCGGCTGTTACGCGTCTTATTGCCAGTCGCGTGGTCGCGTCTTCATTGGTACTTTCAGATTAAAAATATCTCTCAGAGATAGATTTATTTGATACAATCCGCGAGTGCCTTTTGGTACTGCATAACATTGTTGAATGCTTCTGTATCAGCGTGTCAGAATATGCTAGAGTTTCGTGGAACGGTTTCACATAAGAGGCAGACCAACACTAAGTCGCTGTATTCACCATCATATCAAATATCCCAAAAACACATTCACTGGTGATAAATCGAGGCTATATGATATGGCTGCTAATAATTCTAGTTGAAGGACCACTCGACAGGGAAGACACCCTCATCCACGGTGCCGCCCAAAGCCTCGAACAGACCAATAGTCAGATCTGAAGAAACTCTGCTCAGCAGTGTCTCATAAAAACCATGAGCTGACTTTACCGATGTCATATTCACCGCATCCCGGACATTCGTCCAAGACCTGGGCGGTCTGGGTGGTGCCGGTATCAGTGTTAGTGATAGTGACATACTGTGAATATATGTGTGACAAGGTCAATAAGCTGTGTTATAATGCACAGTAGCAACATACATCGTAACAGTATTGCCCGCCGTTATAAATATCCGAAGAGAGAGCCAATGCATACTGGCTGTTCTGAATCGACGACCCGCAGGCACCATCACCGCCGTCCGGGTAATAGAATGTAGCCTGAGAACGGAGGCAGAGTGAGTCAAGTAGTTGTGTGACTGCAATTTCATACAAGTTCACCTGTCCGGAGTAGTCGCGTTTCTTCATGCCAAGGTTGTTGACGACGGGAGATGCAAAGGCGGCGACCACGAATCCTGCAAGAGCAGCTGCGGTGAAAGCGAGGCGAGCCATTGAATGAGGTCGAGAGTGATGCGCGGTATATTGACTTTACTGCGGTGGATGAGTAGCTGCAAGTGCGACTCGTGAGGAATGGTAGAGCTTCATAGCATCTTTTATATGTTCCATTGACGCCGTTCCCCTCGCTTTCGAGCAATACAGCGTCTCCAAGATAGCTATACGCGGTGCGAGAACAGACGTCCGTTGAACTGTGATCTCAGAGACGTATGTGACGCCAGCGACGCCAGAAAGCACTAGGCAAACCGGGGATACAGTAAGTATATGTTCGGAACAGTGTGCGTCTGGTATGAGCGGCACTGCTTACCACGAAATGTACAGCCAAAAATCAACTGTTAACTCGACCTTCCTCAGTTTGCACGCATAATATATCGCACTCTCAATTAATTGGAGCGCTGGCCGATCGTGCGATGGACGCAGGGCGGCGCTGCGAGTTGCCGCCCTTAAAGGGCACGTTTACCTGCATTAGGAGAATAAGAGAGGTGAATCTGCGTAAGTCCAGCGAGCTAGCGCTCACGGAAGATACTAGCGTCGGATAACAATTTTTGACAACTCTCGGGAGTATATGCTATACCAATAACATACCAAGTGATAGAATAGTCCTGTGTGATAATGTTAAATGTTTGGATGTGGCTGCGTGGGGAAAGTTTGGGTTTGGCATGAGCCATAGTCCAAACTGTCGTTCCCTAGATGAACAGTATAGATGGCTTGTCGTGCGAAGCAAGATCTTGTGAGAATATGGAGGGGTCCACCAAAGTCTTTTCGTCAAAAACATGGTATCCCGATCTTCGACGGTCGGAACGCATCCGACAATTCGGCTGGTTGCACATTGGACCAATTTTCACCCGCGACTTACAGCAGTGATCATCCCGGCGGCTATAAGTTGCTCAATGTGCCATACCGCTTTCCTCAACATGGGCTGCTCCTGCAACGGCTTTGTAGTGTTTCATTTTCTGAGCCAAAGCGATGCAAAGGCGCTCGCGAACCACTCACAAACGCTTCGGTGTAGTACAGGCGCGCTCGACTCGCTGCTCTGGAAGAGACTAGGTGGTGGCGGAGACGTGCCGCACCATAGATCCCTGCGATGTTCGGGCGGCATGAGTAATGATGAAGAACACAGGTCATGAGGATACTATCGCACGTTCCGGAGTTCACGTTTGTGGGCTGCGGCATTCTATTTGGGCTAGTGAGCAGAGTACACCCAGCCGCAAAGCCTATCATGTGGCCAGAGCGAAAATAATGCATGCATTGGCACCCACTTTAGAACTTGCAAGAGTAACAGCGTCCGAATCAAGTCCAATTGTTGTATAAAGATTACTGTGACTCCAACAATTATCCGCCTCACCCGTGCCTTGGGCCGAGCGAGGTATCCTATCTCAGGATTATGCGCATTCCCATACCACGGATGAAGACCGAACAGTAGAAAAGCATGGTGTTTCAACACAGAGCCCTAGATCACCGCCCTGCAAGATAGCAAATTGGCAATGTAGAAAACACATGGCAGACCGGGCCGCCCGTTGTGCGGAAGCAACGAAGCCCACAAGCCTATGTATCAGACCACAATGTCAATGAATTCAAAACTCATCCTCAGAGCGGGCGAATCCACGATGGGCTATAAATACACACCGATGGACAGCGTTTCACTGAGACGCCAAATAGAGTTTGTCAGAGCTACCATCGAGCCGTAGTTTACGGACTGGTCGAAAACAACCTATACGGAGAACCGAGAGTCAGCACCTCGACTAGTTCTTTGACGGTGTGTATGGAGCACCAATCAAGATATTTATGACATGGTCCCATCGCGGTGAAACATACTCCGCATGGTACTGCTGACATGATGTTTCAGATCGCGACGAACTTCGTTAAGCAGGTAGGTAATCGGTACAGAGCCGCGGTCGATTCTGCTCAAGAGACTGACGAAAGAACTGAGGAGCTGGCCATGGAGCTGAATTTGGAAGAAAAGAGGTAGATGATTCTGAGTTGCAACGGCCCGTTCGGAGCACTGGGTCCGCCGTAGAACGTTCCCGATAGAGCGGAGCCTCAGATTGGTGACATACCGCACCCTACAGCCGCTGCCGGCTGATCGGAGCGAGCACTAAGCGCCGCGAGGTATATCAGGAAGATCATGATGTAAGTACAACAGAATCCAAGGCCCTTTTTTCCAACGGGCTTGACAGTGAGCCAAAAGCTGCTAAAAAGTTCTACAAAGGTGACAGTGTTGGAACTTGAGATTGTGGCGAGCGCATGCCACCGTATTTAGCATTGTTTGTAGTTCCTCGCAGACTTTGCGCGAGCCGTCCTAGACGTTCCTTACGCGTTTAACAGAACTCAGGCAAACGCGATATATCTTCGTTCATCGTTCTCGCTTCGGGTCTCGGACGAACTTTAACAGACAGTTCGCTACTATAGTTCAGGCGATGACAAGACGCGTCAATGATGGAAGCTGAATTCATGAGCCTCTAGTGTATGCAGTGTGTTCAACTCTGAGATCATTGAAAGCCAAGACTCCAGTAAGGTAGGGCTAAGTCACTTTCAACCAACATCATGTGCTTGTGAATTCTTGTGTCCAAGGACTTATCCTTCGGGAGCGCTGCACGAGAGTTGCATCCGTCTATCGAGGGCGTTGCCGAATAGAGCGCGCTTCTTTCCTCCGGTACCGCCGTTACAAAATCGTGACAAAAGCGCAAATTATGTTTGCAAATCTAAAGGATATCATTTGAGGCAGACAATTAGAAATCGGAGAACAGGATAATTTGCGGAAGACATCGTTGCACGAAACCCTGTTTCTCGATTTGTGATCAAGTGCGAGGAGCAATTGAAGATAGATTTGCAGTGTCCCTCACCCTCACAATGGCTGAGCGCTAACAGATGAGGTCACAAGTGACTATGTAATAAAATCAAACATATCAAAGATGTAATTCAACGCTAGGATCTGAGAACCGCTACGATTGCAAGCGTCGTCATATGGTACACTGCGCTGTTTATAAACAACCCCCAGGAATTCGAGTTATGCATCTACACTTGAATACTTGCTGCTCTGCAGCCGATAGACGTTTGGTACTTCTCACAATAGATAAATACACCAGTACGGCCATATCGCCAGTATTATTCGTGAACGTCTTTAAAAATCCTTCGAGACTATACTCAACACCCGTCTTGAAATGTATGGCCTTTGTGATATGTGCGCGTAACATGAAGCGACTCCTGGGTGCGCCAGTACGTGGACGTCATGACTTCGGCGGGGTGGGAGGACCGGTCACTTGCACTTGGCCGTCACTCTGCGACTTCAGCCACGTCCCGAGGCCTACGGCGATAGATCCGAGGGCATGGGCAGTGCTTGTCGCAAGGAACGCGGGACCAGCGCCAGCGGAGATGGCGGGAAGGGCGGGGAGCGAACCCACAGTAATCAGCACGGCGGAGAGCGCTGTCATCGCTTTGGGATGTTCGTTGGTCAGGAAGTCGAGCGATTGACACGCATTGATGAGCCAGAGAGGCGCATGCGCAATTGTTGTTAACGCTGGAAAAGTAAGATTGCGTCAGCGACGAGGGACAGAGAATACGGAGAGGAAGCACTCGCTGTCTCCGGGCGTCTCGGAAGGCGTAGTGATAGGAAGAGTCGAGATTGCGGAGCTCTGATTGCTGGGGGTCCTCGAAAACATGGAGGTTGCGATCGATGACATCGTATCTATTGAGCTCATCGTCGCCGAGCGCCTGGGAGCGGGGAGGCTCTTTGTTGTGATGACTTCTGATGCCGACTTCGACTTGAGGGGTGGTCTGATGGGCTTCGAAGAGGCCGATGCCTCTTCTTGCGGCGCGGAGTCTCCACCTCGTCCAACGATCCACCAAAGTCCTGACGGCTTGCTCTGTACCTTGATAGCCTCCGTCTTGGATGAATCGATGTCCCCTGTGCCGGAACGTGGTTTAGCCTGCGCACTGTCACATCGATGTGCACGAAGCAGATCTACGCACATCCCATGTTGCGCATGGCAGTCTTGAATGTCTTCCAATTCCACTTGTACTTCCCACCGTGCATGTTCTTCATCACCAACTTTACATTGTCGAGGCGCGCCTTCGCCTTCGGACCCAAGTAATGCTGCCCAACCTTGTGCCAATAATCCCGCGGGATTTTGCGCTCGATGCACCCCGCCTTGATCTGGGCCAGCCAGTCGCTCACTAGGGGATCCTTCTTCGCATTCCCAATGAAACGAGGGGCGTCAGGCCAGGACGCGAAAGTGGGCTCGAGGTCGAAGGGCTTAATCTTGAATGCGCTGAGCATGATAGAATCGAAAATAACGTTAGGCAAGGTCGAGAGGATGGCAAGGCTAGCGGATTCGGACCACAGGCGGTCGGCTTATAGAGGCGCATGCGCGCCTCGTGGCTGCAATGCTCCAGTTGCCGCGGAAATTTGTTTACAAGGGCCTAGAGTCGCGCTTAGGGCATTTGGGGTTGGTAACTGATCGGGATGCGCATTGCTCGGCGTTGCAGGTCTACACTTCCTGCCGATCCGCGCGCCGCGCTGTCAGAAGGGATCAGAGGTCCTCCAGAAGCGTCCATGCTGTGCGCCTCGTTGAGAACATGCATAATGCAGCGGAACATTGCATCCGGCAGTTGAGCTCCTCCAACACGATGCCTCCGCGTTCGGAATTTGAAACGCGCATTGCTGGCAGACATGAGGTCGCTGTACTTAGGACCAGGGCATTCACCATTGAACTATACAATGGCGATAGTCGTTGCCATCTACTTCCGTACGCATAGCGGAACGGAGAGGTTGCAGCGACTGAGTCACGGTGACGGCTACGGTAGACATGTAAACGGGAATAAGCGCCTGCGATCGAATAGCCAAGCGCTCGCGGTAACAACTGTATTGACCTCCGCATCGACCACCATCTTATAATCTTCACATACGATGGACGTCAATTTCCGCAAGATTGATATCGACCAATACGACGAAGACGTCCTTCTGGAGAGCGAGCTGTATGAGCCGGACCCGCGGGATCCGGCCCAAGTCGTGAGCGACGCAAAGCAGAAGGCTACCGCAGTCCGGTCCTCCCTGGCAAAGTATGTTGTGACCTTCACTCTAGTGATTCACGCAATTGATACTTGCTTCCTCAATTGTACAGAGGCGACATCGTAGGTGCACTGACATTAGCTCTCACGGATGCACCATATGGCCCGAATGTTGACGAAGCTAAGGTGTGTCCCGACTCGTGTAGGAGACTAGTTGCTTGACGGTCGTGTTACCAACCTACAGAATCTCAACCTCCAAACACTCGTATCAATCCTCAACAGCACGAAGTCGTCAGAGATACCTGGCGTAGTCAAATCCCTGCCACCCGACTCGCAGGACACACTGATGAAGTATCTATACAAAGGCATGGCGCTGCCTGGATGGGGGGATCTCAGTGGAAGTGTGCTACTTGTGTGGCATGAGAAGGTATGTACTCCTGCAGAACCTGAGGAGTATGGACGCTTTCACTTATAATTTCGAACACAGTTGACAGAAGCTGCAGGAACAGGATGTATTGTAAGAGCAATGACGGATCGAAGACTTGTATGATACACGCCGCACCACAACTCGACACCTTTCGCCATCTGCAATCAAGTCACAGTACCGCATCGTGCCAACGCATCTGTATTCACAACCGCCTCAGAGCTTGACGCTACATTGTATGCTGTCCGCGTGCGGCTTCTCTGCGCAGGCGCCGCTCTCGTCCGGCGCTGCAATAGCACGATTGGAGACATACATGAGTGAACCGCCTCAACATGACTATTCCCTTGTCACCCTGCTATATGTTATAATTGCTGTAGTACTCGCCCAGAGCCCTCCTACTCAGTGTTTCTCTGTTCATCTGCCGCCTGTCCGAGTCGACTCGGGGTTCAATCGATGACGGCATGTCAGCCACCGATGCCAAATTGAGCCAAACCCCATCTCTTCCTCCGACCACCATCGCAGACATCGTCTGCGGCAGCGCATCCTCAACTTCATCCACTCAATTTTATGCCCAGTAGGCCCTTTGAAGCTCACCAGAAATCAGAACGAACTCGGCAAATACATTCGCACTCGTACAACCACATCGCACAGCATGGCAAGGCAAACCACCACGATCTCCTACTCCGCGTCCCATCCGAGACGCTCACCCATATCACATCTTCTCTCGAACCCCCGAGTCTTCTGGCACTCGCACAGACGAACCGACAGCTCCATGCCCACGTGAAGGACGACAACACATGGCGGCGTGCGTACGTCTACCAGTATCTTGGGATCTCGCCCGAGGCAGATCTGCGCGACGATGAGGGGCGCAAGGGTCTGATGCTGCGCCGCGCAGAGACATCGTGGCGAAAGGAGCTCATTGTTCGATACACTCTCCGTCGGTACGTCACACTGTCGATTTCGAATTGAACGCAGCGGAACTGGATTGCTGTCCTGCCACGATCCGCGCTGTGACATGCTTGTCCGGTGCAACTAGTGGAGAAATGTGCATGTCTAGGAAGACCCGTGGGACTCCATGGATTGCCCTCATCCTAGCATTGATGAGGGAGTGGGCTATGGGCAGTGACGTCCAAGATTTTATGCCCTGTCGGCAGTGTACTCTCAAGTTCACTATTGTCGGTCAAATACTCTATGCGTCGCCTCGCGCTTCGGTCCAATAAGGCCGCTTGTTGACTACACTCGCGGGTAGCTCGTTGATTTGTGTATGCATCATAAGAGATGTCGCTCGGCATCGCTTTCCGCCGTTACACAGCGACTTCGCCTCAGATTTTTGGATTTCCTGTTCACCGCTGTACATTCGATTTCTTCCTTTGCTCACCAGCAAATCATCAATGTCTAATGCCAAACTTCCAGGCGTTGGGAGAAGTCCCGCAATCAGCCCCTGACTCACATTCCACACCATTCCGATATTACCGGTATGCACCTGATGCCGAATACGGCGTTGTTGACGTCGTCACTGCACTACGGCATTGTTGCTCGTTCGTATCCGCTCACTGGCAAGATTCTTCGAGGATATCTCGACGCTACCGGTACCGCGAATGGGCTTGGCTGGGGAAACCCCAACATCGAGTTCTCACCCCACGTGACGGCGATCGCACTTGCGTCCGAGGGCCAGACCGCGAAGGTGCTGTGGGGGTACCGGAATGGTGAGGTCGCGGTGACAACGGCGAATCGCGCCATGGACCGAAATCATGCGTCGGCCGCGAAGCACGTTCGCTGCAAAGTGGACGACTGCCACGAGGGCGCGGTGCGCGACGTCGCGTGGGGAGTAGTTCCTGGCATGGAGGGCTCGAGCGCGTTCGTGACAGGCGCTGCGGATGGGCGTGTGAAGCTGTGGGATGCAAAGCGCGTTCAGTCCTTGTGGACCTCCGCCAGGGGCCCGGACCTTGTCACCGACTCGTGCGTGAAGGTTGCATTCGACATTGTTCATGGGACGGTAGTCTGCGCGAAGCAGAGCGGCGCGATTGTCGTGTGGTCAGGTCTTGGCGGGGCACTCGCTGGTGATGTCGAGATACCACAAGTTACTCCGCGCGAAACTCTAATACCTGCATTCCCTGCCTTGAACCCCCCCTCGGAAGCCTCGCGCACGGCTGCCGACAGAGAACTTATCGACCTACGGCTCATCTACTCGTCTGGCGACAGGCCATCCCTCTTGACTGTCTACAAGGAAGATCGCTACTTTTACCGGGTGCTAGTCAATCTCGACTCTCCGGGCGCTACTGAGCGCATCGCGTTTGGGGACGGTTCCCCCGGGGCCGTGCAATGCGTGAGGCCTGGATTTGCATCGCAGGATGGAGAGTCGAGCTTCATACTTGTCGGTAACCAGCTCGGGTATATAAGCGTCTTTGGCTGGGATGCCCACCCTATCGGCAGTGCACGAAGCGTCTTACCTGTCAAGAAGTTCGAAGCCCACGAGGACGGCGCCGTCACTGCCATTGCGCTGAACCAGTATGTCCTTGTATCGGGTTCAGCGCGCGGAACGATCAAAGTGTGGGATTCACTCTCGTTTGCTCCGCTTCGCTCCTTTGGATCTCCGGCTGTTCGGCCTGCTGTAGGCGGAGATTGGGACGGTGTCGGTCAGATTGTTCTCGACAGCGATGTGATGGTGGTATCCATTGGCAAGAAGGTGATGGCATGGAAGGCGGGCCCGGTGGGCTCGCATGTCAAAGGAAAGAACAAGTCCTTGAAGTCTTCGAAACACAACGGTTTGGCTAAGTGGCAACGTACGTATTTATTCTGCCCGCAACTACTGCGCAGATTCCTGGCTTACGTTGTAAAACGCAGAGCAAATAGAGATGCATCGAGACATTGCTGAGTCGCGACGCGATATGGAAGAGGAAACGAGCCACATACGTCGCGTCTTCGGAAGGGAAAGGGAGCAGCATTCGGTTCTATCCCACCTTGGCTTGAGCGAAGTTGAGGCTGTCGAGTATGTCCTAATGCTAAGCCGGGACGAAGAAGAGCGGAGACGCCGGATCGATCGTGAAAGCTTCCCTGCATCGACCTCCACTGCTGTAGCAGACGAAGGAGTCTTTACCGCCGATTTCGACGACATTCAAGCGCTGGCCCCTGGACCTGCCGCATTCATCGAGTCGCCATCGTCCACGACTATCTCTTCTAGAACCCTGTCATTCCCAGCCAACTCTCCTCCCCGCGATACAATTGTTATCAATGGGCGTTCGCTTCCACGGACCTATCCTCCGACAACTGCACACAAATTACAGATGTCTCCCCGTGTGCGCCCGGAGCCCGTTGAAGCAGGATTCAGCACCAGTCCTATCCCCGGTTCGCTGTCGTCGTCATTCTCTACTCAGAGTGGTGTTTCCATCCCATCCACTTCAGATCCCGGGCAGTTCCCAGTGATCAGTCGTACTCCATCGTCTGCGGGAATGTCCATACCGAGCACCGGCAGCTTTGCCATGAGTCGGCGCTCTGTTTCCGGCACCCCGGAATCTAATCGCAGTGCGTGGGCTACTCCGCTGCGTTCTACTCGTTCGACCACTTCCGTTCCATCCTCGGTATTTGGACCCATCTCGGCGTCTCCTCCTATATCACAGAGAGCGTCTCCGTCCTCGCGGCCCGGGGGTGGCCCTTCCCTTATAACGACTGGCTTCGCGCAGCAGATGCATAGACAGACCACGGATCAAGCAGTGCCCCATGAATCGGACGATGATTTGCAATTCGCAATAGAATTGAGCCTGGCAGAGGCTCGCAGTCGTGGGGAGGATGTCTGAAGTCGCATGCGCATTCAAACCTTATGGCCTGATATGCTAGGATATCGCAAGTACACAATCGTATGGCGTTTTGATTGATCATGTGTATCGAGTTAGACTATATGAGTATGAATTACCCTAGCCTTGCATGCGTGTCCTGAACAGACTACAAGACTTCTTTTGCTTTCATTGCGCCCTAAGCCATTTTGCGTTCGCAGGTAGCAATTCAGAAGCATTCATAGGGCGCCATTGGTCCATGCGGCTTGGGTGATGATCCCTACTAAAGTGGCGCTTTACGGCCAAGCTAAGTATAGATAACGGTGCGTGACGCAATTGGTCTTTCATCCAATGGCTCAATAAAAACAAGTTGGTAGTAGTGCATTCTGTATTCATCATGTGCTGCCGCCACAGCAATGATTCATCCCAAGCCGGCCACCCGTCAGGCTCACAATCGAGCCCTTCCCAGACAGTAGCTTTGCTCGTCCGAGTGTATCGCATGCGTGAGCGGGTTCATGCCTGGCATATCTCTTACAATCATTCATGCCAGTGGAATGTTCGAAACTGCTGATAACAATCGCCACGAATATATAGCACGGCAGAATGAGGAGCCCCTCGCACACTCTCACAATTAGCAATCATGGACCATCAGATCATTGTCTCGACTCTCGCCCTGTGCTTGGCCTTTATCTTGGTCTATTTCAGCATCTTCGAGCGACATGACCGTCTACCTCCTGGCCCGAAACCTCTTCCTTTTCTTGGAAACATCTTGCAATTTCCTGCTAAATACAAGGAACGAACGTTCGTTAAGTGGGGCAACATCTATGGTCCTGGCCATTTCCTCCACGTTCACATACATATATGCTCAATATGCTATCATTCGACAGGGGACATTGTCTATGCGCATTTTTTGCGAACTCCAATCATCATTATCAACGCCCATTGTGTTGCACAGGATATCCTTGACAAGAAAAGCTCCATATATTCAGATAGACCCAATGTGGCCGTGCTCTCTGACATGTTCGCTCGATCATGAATAGCAGGGTTTCTTACTAACTCGATCAACGGCAGGACTGGGATGAACATCAGCCTCCCCGCATTACCCTACGGGGAGCAAGCGCGCAAGCAGCGAAAATGGTTCCAGCATGCCGTAGCGAGCAAAAGTACCCTCAAGCAGTACCAGCCTATCCAACGTAGGGAGACCCTCACTCTCTTGTCTGGACTATGTGAGAATGCGGGTTCTTTGAGGCTACATATCAATCGGTGAGCATTCTGGTAAGCGCTCTTAGCTTTGCGTAATGCAACACATGTGGCAGCTTTGCGGCGGGTATATTAATGGAGATCAGCTACGGATACACCATTCGATCCCTTGATGATGTCTATGTGCATTTGGCCAATCAGGCTATGGCGGGAACACTCGAATGCGGCTATCCGGGGCTTATGCTAGTGGACTTCATACCATTATCTCTTTGTGAGTTTCCCATCGTCGCTTGCTGATGAGACTCACGGGAAATGAGCAGTGAAACTGCTCCCCACGCGTATTCCTGGCTATCTTGGGTGGTTCATACGTACGGCATCCGTGATCAAGGGAGCCTCGGTACTCTTGCACGATACTCCCTATAATATGGTGAAGTCTGCAATAGTGAGCGTTGTTATTATCTTGTGTATCGGAGGGCTGGAACTTCTCCTGTAGGCCTCTGGAAACGCCCGCCCATCCTTGGTTTCCTCTCTTTTAAGTGACAACGACAGCGACTCAGACGAATTGGATGCACAAGACGAGATAGACATAAAAGCGACGGCCGCCAGCATTTATAGCGGTCAGTATGCTGTCTACTATTATCTAGTCGTCGATTGCAATTGATAGGCCGCTGTGATGTCCCGAAGCTGGCATAGAGACGGTAAATCCTATCAAAATTCTTTGAAAATTGATACCAATCAATATCATTATCAACAGATGTTATCGGTTCTATCCAGCTTTTTGCTCGCGCTACTGCTGCATCCTCGTGTTCTCCAGAAAGCTCGGGAGGAACTGGATCAGGTGGTAGGGACCGAACGTCTGCCGGACTTTGACGATAGAAAGCATCTCGCCTACATGGAATGTGTGTTACAAGAAGTATACAGGTTCGTCATATCATCTTGTATAGCAATGACCATCTGACTCCGTAAGTTAAGATGGGCATGCCCTGCCCCCGTCAGTACGTTTTCCGTCTTATCCCTGCTGAAGTGAATGAAATTAAGCATCTTGGTTAGCCATGCTTCACAAATTGGCTGTGGATGATGAGTATCAAGGCTATCATATTCCTGCTGGTGCATCAGTGGTGGCTAATGCATGGTAGGACTTTGCCGTTAGGATGTCGTTCATTGATGAAATGATTTGCACGTCAGGGCAATGACTCGCGATGTGCGGACTTACGTCGATCCAGAAGTCTTTCGGCCTGAGCGATTTCAAGACCTACCGGTGGGGGCTAAAGATACAATGGATCCGCGTTGCTATATGTTCGGGTTTGGGCGTCGGTATGTGTTTGTCACCTGAATTCTAGGCTGCCTTCATTCCCCTCATGTATTGACCATGTTTAGCGTGTGCCCCGGAAAGCTCTTAGCGGATAGTAGTCTGTGGCTGGCTATGGCGAGTATTATCTCCACGTTTGACGTAGTTCCTTCTCGGGACGCTCGAGGTCGGCAAATAATCCCAGAGGCCACTTGGGAATCTGGTATAATCAGGTGTGTCCACACATCATGTGAAACCATATTGTTAATCAACATTATGCAGACAACCTGTAAAAATATCCACCCACGGTCGCAGAAGAGTCTTGAGCTGATCAAGCAGCTAGCAGCACATTCCGTGTTTTGATGAGAGCGCGGTAGTTACCTAGGGCATCAATGTACTCAAATCATACGCTGTACTACAAGGATCGTTCGTGACAATGACGAAGTAGATCCAGGTTTTCTGCAATGCAATAAGAGCGTCGCTCTTCCTTTCCCGCATCGTGGTAACACGGGGCCCCAGACGTTCGAAATCAAATTGGCTTGGAGATTACAGGATTACACGGTCTAACTATAGATAAATTGTTTGTGATATCACGAGCGCCAGGGCTCCATTATGAAAAACTGAAACTGACTACGACCAGCACAAATAGGGCAGTCTACATTGAAGGAACATTTCAAGAATGATGCCGCGATCAAGGCCCGGGAGTGATCTAAGGGTTCCAGCGTTTGGCCATGAAGTGCCACTCAACCTCAATAACACCTTCGCTAAGAGGCGCACCCAATGATTTGAAGAGAGACGGACTCAGGTCTGGGCAAGGTAGAAACGTGAGACATAAATAAAGTTGTTGTGGGAGAGATCGTGTAACGCATACCGATGGAGGTCGCGTCGCACCCTTGTTAGTGATTTGCATCCACTGTGATGCAAGTAAAGAGCGAACTGGATGCCTATTGTATCGTACAATTTACCTGGTTGCAGTCGCCGCCATTGCCGTAGATGTCATGCGAAATAGCGACAATGGGACTACTGGTCACATCGGGGTGGCCACATGCACCGAGGCCAACATTGTACCAGGTCCCCTATAGTCTATGATTTAGTACGGAAGGACCCATGCTGTTGAAACACGCAGCCCCGCGTGGTCAGGAACGAGCTCGAAAGCTCGGGCGCGCGAGTAGCCGGGGGCCGGAGGCCCCTATCGTAGTATATAACGACCCCGCGCGATGTACGTACTGCACGCGATTGTCCCTTACGGGCATCGCTACGCCCGTGGACAAACGCGCCCCGCGCCGTTCGCCCCGTTGTTCCAACACATGCATGACCCCAGACAAACATGATCGGTATGGGTGGCGCGCCTTCACAAAACCGTCGCGTTCGAAGCAACGGGGGTCGCGGAGACGGTAGCAACGACGGCGCTGATCACGACGGTAAGGACAGCGAAGCGGGACAATGTAAGGTGGACGAAGAACAAGAGACAACCGCGAGGCGCAAGACTGGGCTTAATCTGGGCCCGGTGCTGGCCACGGGAGGCCACGGCTCATTTAATTATTGATTCTGTTCGGGCTCTGCCTAGAAGATAATCTGCTCCGTGCACGGTCCAATGAAGGCTAGAACTTACCCACACTCTCATTGTACTATACACTACTCCAGCTTTTCCAATGTCCAGGCTTGAGCTGCGAAGCCGAGCCTCCATATTGGTTCAACATTTTTGGCAGAGGAGTTACCCGTTGAATTGAAAAGCTATACCTATTCCTTCCGACGAGTCTCGAGACAGGCAACAAGGGAGCTAACATTGCAACAGCGTGTTGCATATATACAGAGAATTATACGACGTGTACAAAGGTACCTCAGGCAATATGGTCAATCATGCGTATTTCATGTGGCACCTCATTTGCTAACGGTCGCACTCGTTGGGACAGCATGAGGCGGTTCGACGGGGTTGGCCTCGACGGTGATGATTTGAGTCAGGGCGGATACCTTACGGTCCTCCACACCTCCATCTTCGACAATGCTATCGATGCCAACGTCAGATACTGATCACTACCGAATCACAAATTAAGGGAAAGGGGACTGACGTCAAGTTCACAGATGAGGTCACGGTCCGGGTTACGGGAGCACCAAATTCACGGAGCTTCTCGACGATGAGCGCCGTGAAGAACAGACCGACGCTTCCGGCCTATGACAGCGAGGTGTAAGCACGAGGACAGTATGCTTCACAGACGTGTAGTACGTACCTGTGCAGGTTCATTGGGGTTCTTAGGTACAGAAACGGCACCCTTGTATGATACCTGAGCGCTCTGTTCAAGGATTTTCTGGTCGAGAAGTTTCTGCTTGTACTGTGCAACGGAAAGATGCTTTCCGTTCACGGTGATTTTCGCATCCTTCAAGAGGAAGGCATCGAAAGCGTCGTTGAAGTTGGCCTCCGTGGTGGCACTGTAGATTGCCGAGATACTGTCCTCCGCCCACTGAGTGAGGGGGATGATAACGGGACCTGGGCCGAGGGTGACAGACATGACTCTTGGTGTGGATGTGAAAGCTGTTAGAAGGGGGCAATAGATGCTGATGCGTCTATGGTGCGCATCGTTGCCGTACTTATATACGCGAGCAGCGGGTCTAGTCAGCTGAATTTCGCCCGGGGGGCGTAAACCAGGGACCCGGATGGCTGTAGAGCGCCACGCCCTAGACGAGGTCCGGATCATTGGAGCGTGAGTGCTGGGCTGCACTGGAAATGTCAACGCGCCAGAATATGACTCAGGTGTGCATACTCTTACGTGTAAGAATTGTACGAATTCGCGATTTGTCTTGCGCGTTGCCCGGATTTGAAGTCGCCAGGTATCCGCCCGTGGCGCACTTATACCTGGTGACAATGACAGCCATCATCTCGCTGTCAACTAAACCGGCAAGGTTCCGCGCTGATGGTGAAATGGTATGACAGCCGTGCCATCCAACGCCTGAGCCCCGCCCATCCCGTGTGATCAACAGACTCACACAAGAGCGACGAAGCCGGTGGCGGCCAATCTGTACGATATCTCGAGTGGCCGGTATGTGCGTCGCTGAGTATAACAAAAAATCTTCACTTGAAGGTATTGTACCTGCCGTGGACAATGAGGGCACTAGACTTCAGTCGGCGTCACAAAATCTGCCATACCTGGTATGAGAGAATGCAGAATGAATCACGTTGAGCGGCCATCACTGACAGAAGCACAGTTAAACGCTCACACAGCCATGTATTTAAGCGTCATCCCACTGCATCGGTGACGCAATACACAAGGAATGGACGCTGGCGAACCGACTTTCGGAGTCGTCCGAAGGAGCACGGAGCGACCCCAAATTGATAGCTGTCCGATGACCGTACCCATAGAAGATGCAAGTACATATAATCATGTCATGCAGGAAAGAACGTGCCAGACATTTCAAACGTGCGCCTACACTGCAGGCCTGAAACGGAAAGAGAGGTCCTTGAGCGCGGACCTCATAAACGTGGACCCCGAGATGCAAGTTTCGCTAGCACGATATCGATACATACATCCAGCACATGCTTGAGGCTCGTTACTGAGATATCGAGAGGGTGAGGTGATAGTGAGAGTTGTCGCGGCTTCATATATGACAATTATGTTGCTGCGCTGATAGCCTCTAGTCAGGGATATGATTGCGAGTTGCAACTCTGGTAAACATACCTCACGACTACCAGATGTGAACCCCGTGTATTCTCGCGCCTTTGAATGCTTTCTCTACAAGCATTGACTGCAGCGGAGTCAGGTGTCGTCATCCTTCAAATCGCCACGCAGCAGCGAGCGATACTGCCATGAAAGCGAAGGAAAGCAAGAGCTATCTAGTCGATACATAAACTGGGCAACGGGAGGTGACGCTGAGAGATGACGCTTATTTTGGGGGGGCATTCAAACTCAAGCAGCTTCCCAACGACGACAGCAGTGTAGGAAAGCTCAAGAGCTCCGGCTAAAGGGAAGATATCGTTCAATACTTGCCATAGCTCTATATGACTATATTCATGGTCATGAGCAGGCTCGTTTTGAGCAGAGGCACAGTGCCTTTGAAGGTCACCTATTCCCGTGTTCTCTACCCTTTCCTGCAAAACGTTATTGCTTCATTCAAATCAAGCCAGTCACCCCGAAAGACATCTATAGTGAGCATAAGGATCTGGGAATAAATGTCAGTTGTTGTCACGCTCAAAATAACGGAGCGGCTGCTGTAGACGCACCACAGATTCTAAGGATATCCGTTATCATGCACAGAACGGAGTATCGCGAGCGGTTATTCTTTCCATTCGGACATCTTCACGCATGACACGTACGGCGTCCAAGCCGAACAGACCTCCGACGGAGTCTGAGGTTTCCAAGTGGCGTTGATTGCACACCTACAGAGGTAACACGACGCCAAAATCCAAATCCAATGGCCGGTAGATAGGCACATGATCTAGAACGAAATTAGCATCATGTTTGGAAACTGCACCAAAGCACGCATTGGCGAGGATAGATAGCCTGTCCCCAAACCAAGGGATTGATTACAAAGGGAGCTGATGGTGCATGCGAGCAGTGTCGTTTTATTCATATTTTCAGACTGTAAACCGAATCAGCGATCCTCAATCAACAATCTAGTGATGGTAAATAATTTGAACGGGAAAGAAGTCTACTCACCAGGCAGCGTGCCATTCAAATGCGGCACCTGTCGCGCCTTGGCCCTTGTGAAATTGTAATTTGAGAACGACATGAGGCCAAGAGGCGGGACGAGCTGACGAATGAACAGTGAATACGATCACATGCACAGGCCACAGTTGCAAGAACAATGGCATTTCGTACTGATTTGGTCATCTGCCACGCGGAAATGATGAGACAAAGGCAGGGTTGGGCGTATATAAAGTGCACGCTTTCCTCACAAACCCGTCGCCCCCCCTCACTTGCCTTACGACCCGGCCGACAACATCGAAGAATGATCTCCGCGATCAGGTCGAAGATCGCGCCCGAGTCCCCAGTCGCGAAGTTGGTGGAGTCATGGCCAGATAATATGTTGCCTCCGGTCTTCAAAGGGCCGAACCAGGACCTAACGATCGACAAGTGGCTCACCGCGGTTGCAGCCACATGCGCCAAGCGGAAGGTTCCCAAGGAACAATGGCCCGAGGTTGCCCGCCACTTCATGAGTGGAAAAGCCCGCAGGAGAATCAAGGACTTGGAAGCAGTAATGGAGAGCGCATATGGCCAGCCGTGGTCCTGGAAATGGTCTAGTTTCATGGTCGCCCTGAGAAACTTGGGATGTGAGTGTTGTGTAGCCGTGACTGCGACACGCTGACCCAATAGTTTGTAGGGCACATCGACGCTAAGAAGACGCAGGATGTCGAAGTACAGGAGAAGGCTCCTGGAAGATGGTCGTTTATCAAAAGAGGTGGCGAAAGGGGAAATCGAGACCGGGTCGAGGAACAGTCGCTTGATCTCGGCTTCCTCGCTCGTGCTACCCAGATGGCCACTTTCCGTTCAACTGCTGCCAGCAATGTAGTGCAGGTGGCCACTAATAAGGTGGCGAAGGATACCAAGCCTACTATGACCAAAGCAGCAAAGGATACAAAAGCAACCACCGCCAAGTCAGTAAAGGATACGAAGACCATAGTCAAGGCCTCGGGGATCACCAAGGCTCTGAAGACTACTTCTGCTGCAACGCAGAAGGATCCTTCCGCTGCCTCGCAGGCGTTCACTCGTATGGTGCAAGGTCTGCACCTCGCCCCAGCCCCAGCCGATCCACCGCCTGTCATCGCGCAAGTTCCAATCTGGCTCCTTAACGCTTCGGAGGCACTCTTCGCGGTCATCAACGAGCCCCTCACGGTGACATCGGTTCTAGCCGCCGTGCTCATTACAGTCGGCTCGATCCCTGCCATACCGGCAGTGTCAGCTGGGCCTACTGTCCAAGTAGCGGGATATCTCGCTGTCGCTGTGGGAACTCGGATGAGGAATCAGCCTAAGATCACGGAGGCAGGCAAGAAGGACAAGAAGGCCAAATGAGACGAGCGCGTGATTGAATTTGGCAAAGTAGGAGGATGTACGCCTGGTGCGTACGATAGGGATCTTTTGATTGATGCTATGTATGTATTGAATGGCTAGTTACTTATGATATTCGGGATGCCTGTGGCTCTCCGACAGTTATCTCGAGTGATTGAATGTTCGAGTAGTTGGATTGGATAAGCCTAGCCTGAAGTTGACCACTCTGGATGCCGTCATACATACAACAGCAACTTAGCTACGTGGCTTTCGGGGAGGACTTGACGTCGGCTTGGAACTAGCAGTTCCAGGGCCCAGCCATCGGCCGCCAAGCGCTGTCAAGATGTCGTCTACATTGCCATCCTCAGCGCGCGTTTCAGGATACACGTCCGAGCTTGTTGGGCTAGTGGCGTCCGCAGTCGGGGTCTGGCCACCCTTGCCAATGGGCACGCGCTTGCCTTCGATCCACAGCCCGCCATGGATGAGTTCCGATGACAGCGGGATCTTGATACGGTCACAAAGGCGGACAAAGTAGCGCGGGAGCGAGGCGCCGAACGTCATGCGCAGACGTTTGTTGGGGCCCTCTGGCAAGTAACGCTGTTAAGGAACCATGGTCAGCCGCGTGAAGTAACAAGGCTATTTGCCTGACATATAGAGTCAGTTTAGATGCATGCAGGTACATGTGGTCTTGCGGGATGTTTGCGACTGCAATGATTTTGGGTGACAGCTTCGCGCTTGCGTATAGGGTATCGCCAAGAATGGGGACTACGACGTGATTAGCGACGTGCTCAACGTACGAAGAGAACTGACAGTGAACTTGCCTTTCAGGATTTTAGCCATGTGGACACGCAATTGATGTTTATGGCCAGTAAAAGGAGAGAGCCTCACAAGTGACAATGGTGCGACGGGCTGTTTACGCGTGAAGCTTCGTTATGGTATATTCATAGTAACGTTGCTCACAGACGACGCTAAGACCTCCCAGTCAGTCTCAGTAATTGCTCTTTTCTCCCACTGGCCCTGTGCTTCTGATGACACGCGCCCGTTGGTTGTATATAAAACGCCTCTTATGTTACCAGTACGGTTGGGGAAGGACGCAGTGCCGCCGCGCACTATGGCGAGGTATGATTTTTTGACAGTGTGAGCGTTGAACTGTTCCGCCAGATCTTGAGCATGTGAGTGAGTCAAGGCAAATGCTAATGCACCCGTTGTCGCCTGTGGGAGTATCACTGAGTACAATCTGAACATTCAGACAACGATCTCAATTTCGCTTGTTTGGGGGTCACACGCCCCACCCAGGAGGGCGGGTCGCATAAACGACAAGGTCTATGCGCTGTGCCAGCTAGCGACAGAGATTCGACAGTAGCAAGCACTTCGCGACTCGACAGAATAGACACACCTTATCTAACCGGTGCAATGGAAGTAGGTCTGCATCCAGCGAGAGCTGACGTTTCAGATCTGTTACGGAAATAAATAATACAACACGGCGTAGTCATACTGAAAGAACTGACCGTCTGTGAAGTCGTTGAAGTCACTATGTGCATTTTGCTAAGCCAACTATAAGCAGGAGTCCCAATTCGACGGCCAAAGGCCTCAAACGGGTTGTGCAAAATATGAGGGCGCACCTCGCGATCGTCCTTTCTATTGTATTGGCATACAAGGCCGGATGGCTTGTTTACAAGAAGAAGCCCGCGATCCACGTATAGCAGAGCATGCTTGGCGAGTGTGGAGAGACGTCGGGTACCAACGCATGCAACGTTTATCGAGCTTCTTCCGGCGAGCATCTGAACTGCGGAGATTATGGTTCTGGTTGTCGCACAGAGAGGACTAGTTTCAACTTAAAAACTCAGTGCAAATTCCTCGTAAGAATAGGTAGAGTATAGGGTCGTCTCGTTGAGCAGAATGCGGAAGTTCATGAAGTCTAAATAGTAAGCGCCTTTCTAAAGCGACCCCGGAAACAAGCGCCCACGACCGTTCGAACACTCTTGATCAATGGCATAACAAGCAGCTAGTGGCGCCGCCACTACTGAACGATTCGATACACTCTGATATCTTTAAAACTCGCTAGCACACGCATGGCCAACTGCTGACTGACTTTGAGTCTTTGTCAAGTCTCCGCACGGCACACCGAGCCAAGGTCTCGCAGATGGCCAAGACATTACTCTTCAGTCTGGGCGTGCCTCTGAGTACTCATGGTACGGACATCGCTGCATTTTACCTGGCTATATTTGCAATCTTCACAGGAAGATCTCCAATGTACTTCCGCCGGGTAGCCTACCGTCTGTGTAAGGAGCGTTCTTCACTGCTATCCATGCGCACCTGTGCTCGTGTGCTTTGCGGGTCGACGTCATGGAGGTTATCTCTTTGTTGTCTCGGTAACTTCATACCATTATGGGCATCATGATCCCGAAGTCGACTGTGAGAATTTACCGACAACCTGATCGTGGTACAGCCTATTAGATGGTTTCTAACACTCTTGCTGGTATCTAATTCACAGCACGTAGATTTTACCAGATGCCCGTTGTCTACGTCTCGTCGATGATGTGGCGATCATTGTCGATGAGAAAATGATTGTCATTCTTGGTGCTGCCTCCCAGCGTGTTTAATGCACGCACAGACCGGCCCCCGGAGCCATGTAACAAGTACCTGCAACCCAAGCGCATTCATTCTGCTTCTCACCGACCTTTCCCTCATCCCGTAATCCGGTCTATCAATAGAGCGCAGCTCACGCATGCTGACATGCGCGACAAGCGTATAAAGGCTCCTCCATGCATCTTGGCAATCAACCCAAGCGTGCTACTGCATGTCGCCTATCATGCTCGCCTCACTTGCCTTCGGTCTTTTTGCTGCCTCAGCCGCGACAGCAAACCCCTTCGTTGTCCGCGACAAGGCCCCCATCACCATCCCGTTTACTCGGCGGTTCAACTTCACTGGCGAGTCCACGCTAGCGGAAATGGACCGCATCCGGGCACAGTCATTCATGTGCGGTTGTGGCAGAGGCAATGGCTGCAACTACGTGAGCGAACAAAGCGCGGCAGCCACCATCTTCGACACCGACGCTACAAACGGGGCTGTGGATTATACGATCAGCGTAAGTTATTTTCTTGCAATGCCGGTAACATCCCAGAAACCCTGAATGTCTCGTATGTGCACAGACTGGTATCGGCAGCCCGCCAACGTACTGTAGGTCGAGCGATCCTTAATATAGAACATACGACATACCCGTAACGAACAGACACTCTCATCGTGGACACAGGAAGCTCCAACACTTGGGTTGGTGCTGACCAGGCCTACGTGCAGACAAGCACATCTGAGGCTACAGGAGAGACTGTGGTATGTCCTTTCTGAGTTGCCTTGTCAATCGTGATTGTCTCATGGCCACGACCGCCTGACAGTCTGTCACTTACGGCTCTGGATCTTTTGAAGGTGTGGTCTACAATACGCTTATGTAGACAACTAACTCATCGACTCTAATAGGAAACGAGTACACCGACACAGTTACCCTGGCATCCGGGTTCGTCATAGCCGGCCAATCAATCGGTGTTGCGACTACGTCTGACGGTTTCGATGGCGTCGACGGCATCTTGGGGTGCGCTGACACTGTCCTGCGCGAGTCACAGGTGCTGACCAGCATAGTATACCTCCGATAGTCTTGGCCCCGAAGACCTCACCTGTGGCAAGTGCTCAGATTGCGGAAATTGATCTGACCTCTCATCGCTTGACAGGAACTTTAAGCAACGAGGATGAGTGTATCGCTACTGTGACGCAGAACGCGTACTCTCAGGGCCTCGTCAGCGCTCAGGAAATTGGCATTTCATTTGAGCCGACCACTTCACTCTCGGACGCTAACGGAGAACTTACATTTGGCGGTACCGACTCAAGCAAGTACACTGGCACAATCACTTACACGTCAGTCTTCCTGGGTCGCTTATCATGGCGTTTGCCGGTGCAACCGCGTTGATGCCACTGGCTTTTATAGAGCCGTCACGACCACGGAGCCCGCCAGCTACTATGTCGGAATTGAGGAATCTATCACGTATGGGTCTGACACAGCGATCATGTCGAGTTCGGCTGGTATTGCTGATACCGGCACCACCCTTATCCTGCTCCCGAGCTGTAAGTGAACGCATCATGTAAATATTTCGAAGCTGATGCTGAGATGAACTTCGCGCTCGTCATGCAGCTGCATACGCGAAATATGAAAAGGCTACTGGAGCGACATACGACGATGATACCGGTCTGCTCAGGCTTACAACTACCCAATACGATAAGCTGGAGAGCCTTTACTTCACCATTGGCGGAGTGCGTTTTATTGAAACGATCAATGCACCTCAGAGTGCTTACAATTACCGCGATGGTTGTAGGTTTCGTACGAGTTGACTGCGAATGCTCAGATCTGGCCTCGCTCCGTGAGTGTTCGACAGTTCCATCTTGATGCAATAATCAACTCATTCATACCTCAGCTAAACACTGCTATCGGTGGAACCTCCGACTACGTCTACCTGATTGTGAACGACCTCGGTTCGAGCGCAGAGACCGGTCTGCAGTTCATCAACGGCATGACGTTCCTGGAACGCTTCTACTTCGTTTATAACTCCGGCACCAACGAGGTTGGCTTTGCTACCACTAGCTACACCGACGCGACTACAAATTAGGGTAAAGATACCCCGGCGTAGTGGGGTCCTACTTGAGAGTCAGGCTGTTATGTATGCAAATTCGCAGTGGGTCTAACTGGAGTGCACTTAAATCACGTATTACGTTGATGTTGCGTTTTGAGCGTGGACAGCCTGCGGATCGCCTGCTCTAAATCATTGAAACATACGAATATAAGGGTCCCTGTATTTGGATGGAGAATTTCAGTATGTGAAACGGATGCACAATACAGCGGCGATAAATTGAAGCTAAGAGTGTGCCAGGGAAGGAAGCCTGAGGAAGGAAGGAAGGAAGGAAGGAGGGAGGCCTAGCAGTTCAGTCACGTTCCCCGTTCCCGAAATGGCTGTCAATAGACGCCCGTCATTCTGAACCTTTGCTTCCACAAGTCCACTCCCGCGAGGACTCCAATCGAGCGTGCAGTCAGCACAATCCGTATCAGTCTACAAACCATATAGAATCATCATGGAAGCCCAAAAACCCGCTGCAAAGTATGTCCCCACAGACGTCAGGCGCAACACAGCGAGCGACTTAACCATCTATGTTCCGTCTTCTACTGTGCTACTAGGAAGCGAAAGCTTACAGACAAGAATCTGCCTATTTCTTTCCTTCGCTCTGACGAGTTCTCCGATGACTCTCAAATGTATCGGCAGCTCCTCGATATGGAGCGACGCCTCGACTGGACTATCACGCGCAAACGCGTCGAAGTCCAAGATGCGCTACAACGAATCACTCCAGTGAGTCGTGAGCACCCTTCCGCGTCACTGTCTGATCTCAGCGCGCGAAACACGACTCATCAGACAATACGAACTTTACGCATATTCTTGAGCCACACGGTTTCAGGGCAGACTTGGCAGCAACCTGTTACTGCAAGCGTAGGAGAGGGGGAAGCGGGGAAGGTGGAACATGACTCAGGGGACGGTATTCCCGCGTGGCAGTTAAGGATCGATGGACGGCTACTCGAGGTGCGTACATGCCATCCTGTTTGAACTGCAGGTACTCATGATAGTTTGGTAGCCACCAAACCAACGATCGAAAGACCGTAACCCCCCACGCAAATTCTCAACATTAATCAAACAGATGGTTGTAGAGCTAGACAGGGATGCTGCGTTATACCCAGATGGAAATATTGTGGAGGCGAGTCTTCGTGGCTCGTTATATGTTAAGCATTCCTGACATATCACTCTGGCTCCGCGCAGTGGGTCCGCAGTCCTAATCAACCACAATTAGACGGATTTACGATCCGACGAAAGGGCGATACACCAACCAAGATCCGGGTTTTGCTGTATTTGGACCAGCAACCGGAGCAATATAAGATCCATCCGGACCTCGGTGCGTCCCAATATCCACAAATGCGCATGCATTGCTCACGTTCTCTTCAGGGAACCTCTTGGGTGTCAGGGAAGAGAGTCGGACCGGCGTGGTCCAGGCACTCTGGAACTATATCAAGGTGCAGGGTCTGCAGGACAAAGTGGACCGCCGTATGGTCCGCGCAGATACTCATCTCCTCCCGGTATGTATTTTTCCCATTTGCGGGACTGTACGCTCATCGATGGTCATGTCCAGATCTTTCGTAGCGAGACTGTGTTATTCCAACATCTGCCAGAGCTAGTAAATCGCTACTTGGCACCCCCAGACCCGATCATACTGCACTACACGGTTAATCCTGCCGTTCCTCCTGCTGAAAAACCGGGAGCATGGGATGTTGATGTGAAGCTAGAGGACACAGTGCTGAAAAGCCGTATGGCTCAAGCTGTTGCACAAATGACAAATGAATCAGCGCGTGATCTGGTCAAGCTCGACGATGAGGTCTGTTTCTAAGATTCCCTTTCAGCTCTTACGGCTTCGAAGGCTAACTCGTGGCCGCTCAGATTGCAGTTCATGTTCAGTCTCTAAACAACTCGCATATAAAACGCACTTTCATGCGCTCGTTCGCGGATGATCCCCAGAACTTCATTCAGACGTGGATCGCGTCACAGTCGCGCGATCTTGAAAGTGCGCTGGGCAGCGGGCCGAGCGAGGGCGCAACAGTAAGGCAAGAAGACCTTCGGCGTAGCGAGTACTTCCAGCTACCGTGGGTGGAGGAGGCAGTTGCCGTGCAAGAAGGTCTACGCCTCGCGGCGAAGGCGGGGATGTGAAGTAGCAGATGTGCTTTCGTGTTGTCATACTGTACTTAAGTTATCGATCGTGTAATGTGTATTGATGCTTCCAGAAATGCACCGACGGATGATAGCCAAAGTGGTCGTTCTGCATCTAATTCGAGTTCTGAATGTACTTATGTGTTCGTGAGTGTCCGTGGCGATGATACTCCCGCCTTGCCTATCTTGCATATCTGCGTCGTTGGTGCGGCGTCAGTGCTGGCATGGCAGCGGCGAGTAATGTGTCTCATGGGCATCACGAAAGGGGTGCTATGCCTTCTCCGAGGAACTAGCCACTATTCCGTGGTGTGTGATACGATGTAGTGGATTCAAATAGGGGCTTTCACCCAGCGCACAGTGGGTGAAAAAAAAGCATTCACTCAAGTAGTGGGTTTATAAACAACGGTGAACTGGCAGATTGTTTGTGAATTTTGTAAGCGACTGTCCCCATACCGTGATCCCGCGGGTATACATCCGTAAATAGGCGTCCAAGAATTTGTGTCTGTCATAATCCCGTCAAAAGATTTGCTGCATGACAACAACACCATGCAATTGTCCGTCCCAAGCAAGCAACCTGGCGTTCGTATAATAGGCGAAGGCTTCCCGATCCATCTTGTCGTCTTGGCGTCTAGCGCCGATGCTCCAGTTTGATAACTATTATGAGTAGCCCCCTTCCCAGCATGTCATTTCCGTACTCCGCAGCGTCGACTCCAGCCACATCACGTAGACAAGTTGTACGCAGACATTCACGTCGGAACACGTTCCTCACTGCTATAGAAAATGGCGAGCAAACAGGTGAGAATTTACGCCAGTCTCTGAGGGGCCGCGTAATGATGTTTGAGTCGGCTGCAGCTGGGGAAGTTGAAACAGGTATATATGGTCTAATCTGGCGCGTATATATATCGAGCCTTATACGCACACAACTGTAGTGGGCCGGAGAAGTCATCTCCTCCCGCGACAAGACTGTGGTGACGGACGAGTTTCGTGAGCTGGAACAGGACATCGAGTTGAGGAGGCAGGGACTTTGGAGGTGAGCGTTGACATCAATTCTTTTCCAATGCGAGATACGTGCACGACTACAACACCCTTACGATATCATGTGGACTAGCCCATGTTGTCGTGTTGGAGGGCAGTTCTCTTTGCGATCACGTCCATCGCACTTCCATCAGGCTACTGGCATAAGCCGCCGACTACGCTGCGTGAGCTTTGCTGCTGTCATGCCCTTATCATAGCTCCATGCTACTAGGACGGTCTGACCAAATCTCCGACGAGTACGTCCAGTTGGCTGACGCTAACACGGGAGTTGTTCTCGCTATATCGGTTTTGTGGTCTAGCAAGCAAAGTGTGAAGCACTATGGCTTTTGGCTGTTGTACATTGCGGAGAAATACAATGCCCGCGGGAGGCTCATCCCTCAAATGTGCATGCAACGCCCCGCTAGCCCCTGTAGCTGTATTTTTCTCGTATTCGCTGCTGTCTGGCCCTTCTGCATGCATTGCTCACCAACACGTGCAGACTTCATGTTGCATCTGAAGACTACCAACATACTCTCAGCAAGAAGAAAGAATGTGAAGCTCTAGATGAGGCCGAGAAGCTTCTTCCGATAGATGCCCTGGGTGTTGTCATGATTAAACATGGTGAGGAGTTCGGCGAGGACTCAGCATTCGGTGGGTTGACACAGCTGCAACGAGCCGACCACCTCTGACGATATGTTCATAGGGACGTCGCTGGTTGGTATGGGACGTGCTCTCTGCAAAGTTGCGACGCTACAAGAGACCTTCGCTCTGTCATTCGAGGATACGTTCCTGGCATCCATCAACCGCGCCGAGGACGAAATCAAGGAATACCAGGCACAACGCAAGAAGCTCGAGAGTAGAAGGTACTTCTTAGTGATGACCAGGCTCTGTATGATGCTGATCCCTGTCCGCCCAGACTAAGCTACGATGCCGCCATGACCAAGTTGGAGAAGATCAAGAACAGCAAAAAGGAGAAGGAGAAGGAGCGTAACGAAGCCGAGGATGAGTACGCAAAGGCCCAATCACGCTAGTACGTCTGTTCTATTCCCCATCGCTTTGACCATACTCACAGTGAATCTTGTGTCCAGCGAGGAAACAGCTGAAGATGTCCGAGCGCGGATGCAGGCGATTCAAGAGAACGAGGTCGCACAATTACGCGAATTGACGGCATTCCTGGATCTCGAAATCCATTTCGTGGCGCAATATTTGGACGTACTACAAGATGTGAGGTCTTCGTGGGTCGATGAGTGAGCACACAGATGTGCTTTATTGTATTTGAAGTTTGACCCCCTTACGTTTGTAGATCTTTTATCACCAGGATGGAAATGTCTCGTCCCCAAGGCCCTATGCACAGATTCGCGCGCAATCCCGAGGAATCGCAGCCTGTCGCTATTCGCTCTGCCAAGTCTACGTCGAAACCGTCTAGCAGGGCACCGTCTTCTGATGACGAGTCGTCAGAAGAGGATACAACCAAACGCCGAGGGATTACCTTGACTCGACGCAAATCGGAAGCGGGTAGCAAAGCACCCTCCCGCCCTCCTTCTCGTCCTCCCTCTCGCCCACAGTCGCGCACGTCGCGCAAGCGCTCGGACAGCGTAGCCACTACGATGAGTGAGAAAGAACAGAAGGAGAGCGAGAAGGAGAAGGAGAAGGCTGAGAAGAGCTCGCGCAAGCTCAGCGTTGCAGGATGGGCTTCAAGTGCCGTGCACGCGGTCGGCTCTGTCGCGGGACGCAGCAAGAAGGACAAGGACAAGGACTCATTTGCAGCTCTGAGGGATGAGATAGCAGACACCGGGGGCGACCTAGAAAGTGATGAATGGGGACGCCCACCGAGTGTCCGGTCTTCGTCCTCGCACAAGTCCAAGCATCACAAGAGCAAGAGCTCAGTCTCCACAATGGGGACATCGCCAAAGATGCCTTCGCGCGTTCCCAAAGCTTCTCCGGGCGTCGAAAAGAACCGTGATTCACGAAAGACGGTCGTAGCAATGCATGACTTTGCTGCCGGGTCGACAGACGAGCTGAGCTTTCATGCTGGAGATCGTATTGCTGTGATAAACGAAGTCCTCGACGGGTGGTGGATGGGCGAATTAGGAGGAAAGCGCGGGTTGTTCCCTACGACGTACGTCGAAGTGCTCTCATCCTCTTTGCATCCATCAGCGCCGGCACTGCCTCAACGCCCGCCTGCAATGACGCGTGGAGTCGGCGCCAGCGCGCCGCCTGTCCTCACAACAGACACGCGCAGAGGCAGACACAAGGAAGGCTCTACTGACGAGCGTGATTTCGATGTGAGCTCATCGGACGACGAACATCCATTTGGCGACCACCACTTTGCAGACAGTTTGAGCCCGGTGCACGGTCAGTTCGACTCGGGCGGAGGCTTGAGCGGTGAAGAGGATGACGAGGAACGACTCGTACCCGCGCGGAAGTCATCCGACTCGGACAATGACAGGGTGCACAGACCACCAGCGGAGCGCCTTGTCCCGCCTAGACGACCGATAGAGCAGTCTTTGAGTGCACCGGCTGCTAGGAAGCCCGCACCACCACCGCCCCCTCCTCGGCGTGCGACCACTAGTGGCGGATCAGCACCGACTCCACCGCCCATTCCAAGTCGTCCGTCGCTGCGTACCAAAACATCACAGTCGAGTTCCAGTTCATTTGCGACGATGGCATCGACGCCAACTATGGCGCCCCAGGACCTTGATATTCTCACGAATTCTCCCTTCGATAGTCCAGGAGACGCATGGTGAAGGAAGGCTGTACCGCGTGGCGCCGATGCATAGTCTGCATATTCAGGACTATAGCCTAGTGAGCTTGGCGATTTTCATGTCGCAATATTGTGATACATTGCTAATACTTAGGACTTCTCTTGTATATTGGTATCTAGATTATTTTTCCATCTGCGCTACATACATGGACTACTTATTTTGACTGCTACCTTGCTTGTATGACCTCCCATGAAATAGGGGCAGCCTAGCTCGCGTTTCATCGTGGCAATCCATGATCAGCTTGCCAGTGATAGGAGTTACCGCAGCACCAACCATCAGCGCTCAGCTGGACATCATGATTCTGCCCACGTTGCACGATCCGTGTAGTCAGCCCATGCGCTGCACAACGTGACTGACTCGTAAGATGGCACGCCTTTATGAGTACCAGATTCCGAGCATGTGAACTTGTCCTCTTGCATCTGTAATGGCAAGAGAGGTCTGAAAAGCTATTCTAAATCAACGGAAATGTACGTGATTCACGATGTATATACTGCATAACCTCCATCGTTCCTTCCACATGGATGGGGATTTAAAAACGGCGTTCGACTACGCAGAATTCTGATCTACCTTCGGGCGATCTCACGTTTAAGGGCTGATCATACACATGCGCCCACAGATATCGGCCTCCTCGGTGAAGACACTCTGACCGCGGTATAAGTGGCAGCTCGCCCCTCATAGCTGCGTATACCGTCTTTCTCGCTCGCTATAATGTCTGAGACTACCGGAAAGATCCCATTCACGCACGATGGTGTCACCTATGAGACGTGGTACAAGGTTGTAGGCGATCTCAGCACGAAAAACCGCCCTTTGGTGACTCTTCATGGCGGTCCCGGGATATCGCATCACTATATGCTCCCTCACACCTCCTTCGCCACATCTCACCACACTCCCGTCATTTTCTACGACCAGATCGGCATCGGCCAATCTTCCCATCTCAAAGATGTACCCCCAGAGTTCTGGACCATTGAGCTCTTCATGGATGAGCTTGATAACCTCCTTATCTATCTCGGTATCCGAGACGACTTCGACCTCGTCGGGCATTCGTGGGGTGCTATGTTAGGTGCTCACTACGCTGCCTACAGACGTCCTGCAGGGCTCAAACACTTGATCCTGGTCAGCGGGAGCGCATCAATGAAACTTTGGGCTGAGGGTACCAACAGGCTACTCGACGGCATGCCTGAGGACCTTCGAGAAATGCTGAAGAAGCACGAGAGAGAGGGTACGACCGATAGCAAGGAATACCACGACGGTACCCAAATCTTCTATAACAAGCACGTCTGCCCGCTTGTTCCTTGGCCCGAGTTACTGCTCAAGTCGTTCGCGAACATGTTCGAGGATCCCACGGTGTACAGCACCATGTACGTTGGTCTCGTGAGATACCCTAGTGATGTCGTGTATCTGATTTTGCGCTCAGGATTGGGCCTTCGGAGTTTAACATCACAGGATCCCTCAGAACCTGGTCTGTCGTCGACAAGCTCCACGACATCACTGCCCCCACCCTCGTCATCAATGGCCAGGACGATGAAGCGCACGACGTGGGCAATTGGCCCTTCTTCGCGCAAATTCCCCGCGTCAAGTGGGTGAAGTTCGCGCAGAGCGCTCATATGACGTTCTTCGAGGAGCCCGAGCGGTACAAGGAAGTCGTTGGCGAGTTCTTGACCAATGTGTAAATCTGTTATTACCTCGAGTAACGGGCTTTCCGAGTCCCCGTGACATTGTCTCCATAATATTCGTAATAGCTGTCAGACAGCGATGTTCGAGGAGGGTGTCATTTATCATCAGATACAGCGGGAAAACAGCAGACCGTAACGTAAACACTGAGCTCAGAAGCTACCTAATCTTCCTGTTCTCCCATCGTAATACTGTCATCGTCAACGTGTAGAACGAAACCTTCTTCCATGTACGCTTTGAACACAGCCAGGTATACACTTTGCTTGTCGTCGTGGCCCAACTGGATGCTAGGGTCGAACTGGAAGTCGCCCCAGACATAAACAGCCTTGGCCGCGACCGCGCCGGCGATCATTGTGCCGGCAAACGCGTTCCACCAGAACGTTACGGCTAGGAAAGCCAAGAAGATGCAGATGTGAGGTCCTGCGCAGTGTGCCCAGTAGCGGAAACGACGAGTGCCTCGCTCTGAAGCCATGTATCCCGGCGTAAACGCGATGGTCTCGAGTCGATCTGGGGATAGGAGGATGGCACCGCCGACAGCGACGCACCACGGAAGGAAGAGGATGAGCCTGAGGGACGAGTGTATGAGCCTTCGTCGTGTCCACGGCCCGCGAAGATATGACAGAAACTCTTGAGGGATGAAGTCATCATCGTCGACGTCAACGTCGAAGGGATCAGCCTGTTGTGCCAATTCAAATTGGGTCTCACGTTCCGATATATAGCTAGATGACCGCGCTTCGCGTGCCAGTCGATCAACACTGACATTCGGCTGACATCGATCGTCAATTATTAATTCCAAATGTGATGTAATCGGCCAAGTCGCGACGTACAGAATGCAGTGTGTCATCTGCGGTATCGCAATGTACGTTCTGCGTAATATGGACAGAAATACCCGAAGCACGCGTACCGAACTGCAGGAAACGTGAGTATCAGTCTTGGACGATGGAGCCTAGTGATTGCAATCACCTCATGCTCCTGTTTATGGCAATCGCTCAGAGGGACGTTGTGTTCCTGTCCCTCGATAGATTGAGGCTTTGCCTACCATCACAGTCAGCTACGTCGTGTAGTAAAGGCGACGTAGTCTTTCACCTTTCGTGGCGTCTTACGAATACCGAAGGTCTTCCCTAGTCTCTTGGCTCTCGCTACAACCCGAGAGAGCGATATAGTCTTCGAAGTGGGAGGGTCCATTAAATGCGTAGGCTGAAGGCAGTCGTCTTCGTATAGCGCTTTTGTGGTAATACCATCATGACAATGCTTTGGGGTCTTCGCGAAGAAGTCGTTCAAGGACTCCAGGTAGGGATCGTCGTCGGGTGTACACAGAGCGGATGAGATCGAGGAAGGGCCTGTCGAGCTACCACCCGTGGTAGAGCTGCCAGATAGAGCAGGCTAAAGCAACGTTGTCATCATGTCACACCATACACTATGTTCGCAAATTAGAACAGACGTACCATCCTCGACATGGACGGGGCAGACAAGCGTTCCAATGCAGCCATGAGTGCGGTCAGATATGGGGGACAATGAGGATGCTTCGCTAGTTTGTCATGTTATGTGATATAACACAGATTCTGTCGTGGACGGTCTCAATCGCGACCACAGTCAGCCACCATCGATCAGGCTGGGGCGATCGCGTCGTGGACCTCTCCGCATGAGCTACAATACCTATGACATGCAAGTCATTCATACCATGTGCTCTATGTTCTCAAAGGGATATAGTCAAGTTCTCGTCAACAGCGCTGAAGCAGATATTGCGCTCAAAACGTAGTACGGTCTACGGAATGCGATCGGTCCTCAAATTACCTAGCATTTTGCGGAAGCCAGGATCGTTTTCCTAAGTCCGAGAAGCGCCAATGCGCTGTTTGAATAGGGAAAGCTTCAGTATTTAGGTGTCGTCGGAGACCCAAGGTGGCAAAACAGACGACAGTTGAAAGTGCAAATAACGGTGCTTGATTTTGGAGTGGCGCGGTCACGTGGCATGTGTACCCGCCCTCAACCAAGTTGCCCTTGACCGCGCTGACCACTCGTTTCACTATCGGACTTTTACGAGCGTGTGCGTTACGATTTCTATCGCTTAGTACAGACAATTCTATCCATTTTGTGATTAGAGCTGTGGGTCTGTTCTCTGTCAAGTCTTCCTTTTATCCGTCAGTTCTGACATAGATAATTGAAGGCGGCTCAGACCACTATTTAGCTTCGAGGCCAGAGCTCTGAATTTTATTTTTACGTCTGACTTGCGCCTATTTTGTGTTGTTCAAGTGGTACAGTCGGGTTGTTTTCATGTCCTCTGAATCTGACGCTGCTACCTGGTCATCTTTCAAATGGAAGGCACTCTTGCCGAGACCTTACACTCCTTGACGTCGCCGGCCCATACACGTCTCCTCATCGTTAGATTCAAAGTGATATGTGGCGGCTGTGATCGGGCCATGGTCTTATGTAGGCTTAGTAACGCGCGGATAAGCTGTTTATGGCCGCTCTCAATGGCTACTATTCTAGTACGTCCTTAGGGTCTTCTGCCAAACATCATGCCCATGCCTATGAATCTATCTGGCTTCCAGAGGATGATTGAATTTGGTGGATACGTCCCATATTTTTGCTGGTATGTGTTCGTTGCCGTGCCTCTGATACTGAAAAAATAAACATCGTCTTGATGTAGACTCTCGGCCCACTGGGGTTGGCCCGGTTGGGCTGCGTAGACACCATTGCCGGTGTATCGCTATTTATTAGTGTTAACGCTGCGGAGGAGTTGCCTAAACGCTCTTTCCCCCAGAGTCCGAGATCCGCCACTTTGCACTATGCGGCAGTGTGGACAAACAACAAACATATGGTCTGACATGCAACTTGACAACTGAAATAAGGTTCATACCAGATTCGCTGCCGATCTCTGCCGGCGCAAAGCCGCCATCTGAAGATCTCCTGTCATCTCCATCCGAACAGCGGCATGAACTCGACTACTCAATGCGTTACGCGTATGCTCTCCGGGTGTCTGCACGATCTCCAGCATGCAGAGATCATTTACCATTCCGTGGTCAATGGTCATAGGAATGAATCCAGTCGCTTATGCTGTCGCACAGACTTCTCAATCATTCTCGCGAACTCCCAATTCGCAATAAGCAGTTGGCAGCGGTTCAAGAGCCCACAAAGCCCGAAGCATGATCTTGCGCATGCTGAGCAGCACTGTGGGGGAAGGTGGTCTAGGCATGCAATAGGCTAGATCCGCCGCTGATCGAGTTTGCCATCCCGGATGGGCCGGGCTGATACTCAATGTGTCGAGCCACACATACGCCCACTGAGTGGGCGCCCTACAGTAGAGTCTAGAGATGACGCAGCCATCTGGACGAGTATGTCATGGATGGGGGCCAGAAAGCCTACGCTCACCTCTTGCGCGCTTTATTTGCAATGAACGAAGATTCGGCTCCGCACCCGTTACCCACAAGACCTGTATCGTGCACGACTCCGCGTGCAGTGTAGCGGCAGTCTGAGACGTTGTGGGAGCTCCAGAAGGATCTGTGGCGCCACAAAGCCATTTCTGCAGGGATTTTTGCTGTGATCTATCTGACGATATTGCGTACCCCCTCGTCGGCACGTTGAATCCTGCCGTGGCACGGGGCTACAGGATGCCGGCGGGGCATTGAGTAGCCATGAGGCGCGATCCCGATCGTCGATCCCGCGTCGGCAAGTCCGCTCAACCCGCCGGCCAATTTCCGCCAATCAGCTATCGTGTCCGTCTGGGTGTTAGGTGTGTCTCGGGGTGATAATAGCCATAGCTGTTATATGCCACCAGAGATCAGAAAGATATGTCGCGCTCCAGCCTGCTAAAGTTTGGTGGAGCGATAACTTTCCGTGGCTATCCACGCACGCACAGCCGGATTAGTGTCTACGACTGAGGTGACTCATTCCTGGCCGCTGCCGGAAATGGAACAGTTTGAGTCCGCGCTCTAGCCGGATTGGGGAGCGGCGCAGCGCGTCGAGGGCTGTCGCTGCAGTGAGCGCGTGTTGGGTCACTAGCGGTGTTCTCCGCCTGGTATGGAGGAAGCATGAGTTCCGTCCTGTCATATGATGAAGTACGTGGAGTATAGCAAGCGGCTCCCTGTTTCGATATAACCTGCGGATCGCGTGTCCGAGAGTCTAACGGATGGATCCAGACAATGGGGTCATGATCCAGTTGGCACGCAAAATGACATGTACAGAGAGGCAGTTCATCAGCAATTCATATGCTTGATGTGAGACTCTGCCACTGAGTGATAGCAAGTCGCTGCACTTGTGAAACGTAACGAGCGCAGCGGTTGGTAAATGAACATGTCGCTTGCCATATATGGCAGGTATCTCACGTGAATTCATCAAAGTTGGATAGGCGCTTGCTGGATAGTAGATCTTGCTCATATACCCCGTCGACGAGCAGGTTCTCACTGACGACCGCGACGTTGAGCTCACTATCCGTGCGGAAGAGTGCTTCGCCACCTCGGATACTGGACGATCAGACCGGCGTTTTGCTTGTGTCTCCCGAGCAAGCCTAATTGGGCGTCGGCGGAGCAAGTGTGTATCCACGAGCTGTGGATTCTGCTACATTGACTCGCAGCAGCCACTTATAAGCCGTATACCACCCAATTTGCACCCTCATTACCTCCCAGTAAGCACACACACACATTAACTCTTGCCCCGCGCACTGAAGCACGTCTTCGAGATTACATACTCATCTCTACCTTCCGGACAAGCTACGCAGCCATGGACAGTGCTCGGAAGCTTGTCAACGCTTCCAAGAAGTCGCCTGCAATGTCACCGCAGGCGTCCTCATCTTCGTCTACCTCTCCCTCAACCACCCCCAAGATGGGGACTTCCCCGCTTCCACCCCCACCGTACAATGTCGTCGATCCCGAATTCTCCTCCTTCCAGCAGACGCTTGACAGCCGACCTGCGTCTTCGCGTCCGCGGGGTTTCTCGACTTCCACGATCCGTGCCGAGCCAACACCCATTCCCCCAACGGCGCCTATGACGCGCGTCGTATCCAGCCCTCTCCCTCACAGTGAGCCCGTCTCGATCAGCGCCCTTGGCGTCGAAGGTCAACCTGTTGGGCGTAACCGCGCGTCATCGGTGGGCGGTCCGGGCCGGTCGGTCAGCCCGCGACGCGACTGGGCGTTCACCTGGCGGATCACGCACCGCTCGGAGACGCCGCCTAACGGCGTGCCAACATCGTGGTGGGGCGCCCGCGAGACGGAGTCGCGGCCGTGGGTACAGCGGCGGCAAAAGTCAATCCCTGTCGAGCACTCGGAGGGGTACCAGCGCACTGGCCGCGTGAGTGTTGCTGTCAGTGTGCACACCGTTGCTGCTGACTGTAGCTGCTCGCAGCATGTAGCCGAGGCCGTCGTTAACGTCCTTGGGACTACGGCATACGTCGCGCATGAGGCGCTGGTGCTCGGTGGTGAGCTGCTGGTGTTTGCGCCGTTCCCCGGTCTCGACCTTGCTGCACGGGTGCTGCTAGAGATATGGGATGCTCTTCAGATGGTCGATGTGAGTGTTGCGTTGCCCAATTAACACCCGCGTCTAACACGAAATTCGATAGGTCAATCGATCAGCATGCTTGCGCCTGACCGAGCGGTGTGCGACTATCCTCTACTCCGTCCGGGAGGAAATTGCCGATGCCGGTGACCAAGTTGGCGAGGAGCTACATCACCCAATTGAGAGACTGGTCGAGTGAGTCGGCCTTCGAATCTCTGCTTATTTCAGGCTCACGGTTCGGCAGATCGTTTCATGATGTGTATCAGTTCCTCCAAAGGCAAAATCACCGCCCGTTCATCAAGCGTTACCTGAAGCGCGAGGAGATTCAGAGGGCGCTTGGTGTCTGTGACAACAGTTTGAACGACGCTCTCAACATGTTCAACGTGAGTGAGCCTCCACATTGCGATTCAGACTGACGTGTCCAACCGGCTGACTCGATCGCGTCCAGCTTTCTATCCAAATCCGCATTCTGAAGCAAGTGGTCAGAGCGGAGCAGGCGCGCCAGGTTGACACTGCTGCTCTCATCGAGACCGTCATGCGCAACCAACAAGGGTCACCACTGCCAGCGCCCACCGCGAACGCACTTCAGCTCACCGGAACGGAGTCCGCGGTCATCGCAGCCATCACATCCGTCGAGCAACTTATGAGCGCGTCCCCCGAGCAGATCCGTGAGACGCTGCAGGCGATCGCCTCGCGGCAAAATGAGCGCGACGCCGCGGTGGACACTGCGGACCTGCGCGGGCTGATGCGCGAGGCGTTGCAGGCGAACAGCGACGTCGAGATGCTCCGCGTGCTGCAAGTCGGGCGTGACGAGATGCCCGAGGCGGTCAAGGCGCTGCAACGTGCACTCGAGAGCGAGGTCGACCGGGAGTTTGATGCGGCTGAGGCGGAGGCGGAAGATTTAGTGCTCGTTACGAGCGTGAGCAGCGAGTTGGCTACGGCGGGGACCGAGGGCGGTGCGAACCTGACGAGGAGTACGACCCTTGCGAGCGTAGAGAGCCGAAAGACGACCAGCGATGGCAGCGCGGCCTCTAGGAGGACGCCGCGGGACACGCTAGACCGCGAGTTCATAGAGACTGGTATTGAGGCGCTCCGCAGGCTCAGTACGGTCGAGATGGCGCTGCCGAGCTGGACGATCACGCGCTACGAGGTGGAGGCGGAGCAGAAAATCGGGATTGGGTTCTTCTCGGATGTGTACAAGGGTACGTGGAGGGAACGCACGGTCGCGATTAAAGTGCTTGCCGAAACGACTCCTCGAAAGCTCTTCATCCATGAGGTATAGCATTCGCAGTTTCTTGCTGGCAGCAATCACTGACATTGTGCGTAGGCGACCATCTGGAAGGAGCTGCAGCATCCGAACGTGCTCGAGCTCCTGGGCGCGTCTTCTGCGTCGAGCGACGCTCCGTGGTTCTTCGTCAGCCCCTATTACAAAAACGGCAGCATAGTCCCGTACCTGAAGGGCCTCCCGACCCTGGAGGCCGCCGATCCTCTTCGAATGATTCACGAGATTGCGAATGGAATGGCCTATTTGCATGGCAAGGAGGTCCTTCATGGTGACTTGAAGGTGAGCCCACGAACATGTCCTTCCTACAGGAATCTCATCGACTCGTTAGGGCGCAAACGTTCTGGTCGATGATCGCGGCCACTGCATTATCTCCGACTTTGGCCAGAGTGAGATGAAGTCAGAGGCGTACCGCATCAGCGGCGAGCCTTTGCCTCGTGAGTGTCCACGATTGTCTTTCCCTTTCCGTCAGGTGCTAATATCCATTTATAGACGGTACTTTGCGCTGGCAAGCGCCCGAGTTGATGTCGGGCCAAAGCGGACTCACGCAGCAGGTCGACGTATATGCGTTTGCGATGTGCTGCATCGAAGTCCTCGTTAAAGGCAGCATACCCTGGCCATATGCTGATGATGATGCTGTTCGCCACTTCGTCCTTAGTGCGTCTCCTGTTTCTGGTATCGGTTTGAAACTGATTGGTCTGCAGAGGAGAACATGCGTCCAGAAATTCCTCTTATTCAGCAGCAGTGGACGCCCCATCTCTCGGAGATCATCAAACGCTGCTGGGATCGTATTCCTGCATCACGACCATCATTTGATACTCTCGTCCATGACCTCCAGCAGCTGCGCCACCACTTTGGCCTCGATGCTAAAGAATCGCCACTGCCTATACACTTAAAGGTGCCTAAGGACCCGCATCGTGCTTCTCCGAGCATGCTGCCGGTACCATTGCCGCCTCTGCCACGTAAGCCCAAATCGCTAGACAGTTTCACAGTAGATTAATTATCGCAATTTACAGCGGACACAACGGCCACTTTTGTCGACGAACCCTCCATTTCCGTGAGCTCGTCGTACGAGACCGCCCACGGCGACAGCGAATCCTTCCGATCCTCGCCGGTGCCGCACGAATCGGAGGTCGGCCCTGAACACGATCCGTTCATCCACTCTCCCCCAACACTGAGTCGGACGTCGTCATACTCGGAGACGGCGGATTCCCGCTCTGATTCTGGGGTCTTGCTTGATCCGCCAGGGTATCAATCGCCGCCACCTGCTGATCAACGTCAAGCAGACATTCGCAATGAGCGGCGCTACAGGATGCTTGTGCAACACGAGTTCCATCCATCATGTACGCGCTACTCAACGTCATACCATCTACAATACTTACTTTTTCCTCAAGTGACCCTTCCTCTTTGGACGCCCTGCCAAGTGATGCTTGGTTCAGTAGGCTATTTGTCAAAGCCAGCGGGAGAATTCGTGACGTTGTTCAACGCTTTCAAACCCACGGAGTCTTCCGGCGGCTTAACAGGTAGTATAGCTGCCCTTGAAGACATTGGCCGCGTGACGACAGGCATTCAGCGGCAGGGCAAACGCAGCGTTGCGCAACGTGGGATGGACATGCTTCAATCATGGCTCAATTCCAAAAACAACACCGGGAGCACGACGAACATTCGCCGGCGGTACTCGTCGCCGCTGCGCCAAAGCCACAAAACTGCTCACCTGTTCACGGAGTCCACAGTATATCGTTATGTGGAGGATCTCGCGATCCCCAAGCGGTGGTTCAAGGCGAATGTCGACAGCATTCTCAAGGTTTACGGTGACGAACATCCCATCACCCGAGAGGACCTCTTCTTAGGTACGACATGCGCCTACGCGCTTATCATGATGAGAAGTTGACACGATCAATAGTCATCGGGACTCTCGAGGCACAAGATTATGCACTCTACGTTAGCCACTCCCATCCCGATGGACAGGTGAGCATCTGCCAGCCACAATTCATCATGAGAAAGCTAATGGTATCCCGCTTTCAGCTGAACTTCAGTGTGCATTCAGCAGCACGTGCCGGCCAACCGTGGGGTCACTTCTCGACTTCCACAGATTTGTCTTCGTCGCTGCTCGGAGGACCGGTTTACTCGGACGAGCCTATCGGCGGGCAGCTCAGCGCCCAAAAGGTTTCCAGTGTCGGCCGAGGTGGTCGTTGGGACTCTGTTCTTCTCGCGCGTCTTAGATTCAAGACAGACAGCCCAGAACCCACTTCACAGTGAGAGGTTCTGCCACAATATATCCACAAGTTCGCATACCTATCTCGCATCCTTGAGCTAGCAATGGACCTCTTTCGTAGGATGTACTTTATTATCGTGTGAATACGTCCGCTTGATGCAGACATGGAAACAGTTCTGGAGTCCTTGCATATTGTCGAAGATCTCTTGTAGCACTATTATCACACTGACATTGCACTGTATTTATATCTAAAACTACAAATGCATCGCTTCATGTCTGAGAATGCAGACATCGCCATAAAGCGGCAGAAAGTCTATCGGTACAGAAATTTCGTACATATGATAATTGGGTCGTCTTCCGACGATCTCGTTTCGAAGCAACAAACCCAAGCCAAATAACAAGGATACATGCTCAAGGATACATGCTGATTGCCCTCACAAACCCTGCACGCCCTCCATACCTTTCCGCAACGCACCAACGACCTCCATGCCCGCTTGTCTGCGCTCCTCGAACTCGCCGCCAAACGCTTGCTCCCACCAGCGCTCGCGCTCCGGCACCTCGCGCCATCCGCCTGTGAAGAACGCGCGCAGCGCGCCCAGGTCAAGCTCGCTCCCGCGCAAGCGCTGCACATGGGGCCAGAACGGTGGCGGCTGCGCATGCGAGTAGGTCTTGCTCGCGCTGTCGCAGAATCCGTCGCACGCGAGCACGAGCGCGGGCGGGACCGTGATGCGCCCGATCTTGAAGCACAGCGCGGAGACCGCGACGCAGTGCAGCGTCGCCCCGTCGGGCTCCTCGTGCACGCGCGCCTGCGTGCGGAGGGCCGCCGCGATCACGCGCGAGTCTGGCTTGTCGTCGCAGGATGCGTCTGCGGGCAACGTGGAGGCGCCGAGTGGGTACGTGGGCGAGACAGGTGACGGCGGCAGGTATGCGTCGCACTTGTCGTCGGGCTTTGCGGGCGTGTGCAGGAGCGGGATGGGCACCTTGCGGGCCCTGGCGTCCCGCTCGGGCGGCGTGGGCGGGAGGCGGATCTCGAGGTCGGACTGAGAGTGCGAGTCCCTCCGTGATTGGGATTTGCCCTTTGGCTTGGGCTTGGACACGTAGCGCGCCACTATGTAGATCTGCATGCCAAGCGCCCGATTAGCCTGTGGGCGCTTTCTGGATTGGGTTCGTCGAACAGATACGCACCCACTTGTGGTCCCATGCTGCGATGCTGACGCGGACCTCGTACCGGGACAGGATCCGGATTTCGCGGAGGAAGTTGTAGTGCGTGCCTGTGCCGATCAAACATGCGCGATCAAGATTGCGCTCGTGGATCAGCTGCGGCCATACGTACCGCCAAGAGCCATCCAGCCCCCAGTACGGAAAAATGCGGGGAAGGCCTTCAATATGTAGGCAAGTCGTGCCCAGTCGAAGCTCTAGGCGGTCCTCAGCTTAAAGTCCCACGTTGTCGTAAGCGGTCACGTACCTTAGCATAGCATGAATTGCTTAAATGCATGTTAAAGTCGCAGTCATCTGGGGCTGGAAAAGTAAAAGAGATATGAGCAGCGTGCACACAATGGACGAGACAAACCCATTTTCAAGATTGAAACGAATACTTACTTGCCCAACCTCTCCACGCGACAGTGAAATTTAATGGATTCTCTCCTACCGGAGACAAGGCACAGAGCCATCTTGCCTTTGCCCTATCCCTGACATATTTGGGCTTCCAGAGGACGCTTAGGCGGTACAGTTGCAATCGCAGGCGGAGTGCGAAAATGGGCTGGAATATACGGACTATGACGGAAATCAGCACATAATGGGTAAGAGAGTCGTAGACAGTCTTACAATGCCAGGATAGTGGCCAGGAGCGTATGTTGACAAGAAAAAGTAGGAACACGATATACTTGAGAAAGCGTGAGCTGAAGGACCCAAATGACAGTCTGAGGATGGGAAACTGAGGGAGACGTCGGGTGAGAGGTGCCATAATGGGACCGACACCGACAATATATGAGGGGGATCTTGGTGGAGGGCGCGATGAATAAAGGCGAAAACAGAGGGAATTAAATACGTACAAGGGCTGGTCTACGGGTGAGATGATCGAGCGGATAACACCAATTGATAATGAGCGACGCGTGGAATAGACACTAGAGGCACTAGTGTGTTACGTTTGAGAAGAATGCATGATAGAGCTAGTGCATGTCGCGGCCTTATATGTTGGGATTTGTGGGTGCCTTCGGTCGGCGAGCCGCACGTGTTATCCGATGCGTTGGGGGGGAGGAAGCGCCCTTTGCCGATACGATCAGGAACGGAAGCGAAGTGCCTCTGCCTGAGTTCAATGTCGCCTGCAAGATCCATCTTCTCCCGTGACGCCTTGAAGTTGACCCCACCAATCAATCAATTTGTCCTTCGCTGACGGTGCTGCCGACCGTCAGACCCATGCTTGACCTCGTTGTCGCCATTGCCGCCATGCAACAGGACGTGCTACGCGTCGGCCAGACACCTTCTGATGGCTTGATGATACTATCGCTGCCGGCTGCTTGTCAGACGCCATCTTCAGGTAAGGGTTGCCTATTCGTAGCCTAGTGTGTGCGCCTCTATGCTCTTTCCTATACAGGCGGAAAGTCCTCTACTTCTCTCGTCCGGTGTTCTGATGGCGATCTTGTTTGACGAGCGCTACGCTTCTTCGGCAGCTGCCTCCGTTTAGTTAGCACACTCTGTTACATTGCGTGACAAGTAGCCATCATTACGTCTGTCAGGTTAAAATCCCGATGGTGCTCTCGCCCGCCCTGGAGCGGGAGCTTGGCTAGCAGTATCACTGATGCATACGCGCTGTCCTGCAAGCGTATTCATCCTTGAGGCTACTGGAAACATCCGCGATCCGGAATATCACTCAGACGGCGCGGCAGCGCCGATCTGATTATAAATAGACGTCATCGGGATACCATCATCGTCTCGATCGAACGGAATCTCCGCGGACGGCGATGCTTCCGTTGGGCGGTTCGAACGGTCCCCAACCTGCACGCACGTCAGCATGCTCGCTTTCATTTCCCCACATGCGTAGCTCTCCGTCTGCGGAAAGAGGCAAGCATGTGACGCCGGACGGTATTGCACACAGGCCCACTGAAATCTCGGTTCCAGTATGGTGACGTACCTTCCCTTGGATTCCCGGCAACCGATAGAGGTTCCCCAACGTACCCAGCCGCTTGTTAGACACTGGCAGTTGGTCGCCGATTGCGTGATTCATACGATCTGTGTAGAGACTCCGTCAGTACGGGAATACCTCAGGTAACCTCTCGCTCTCCACAGCCCTGATCCACGGCTTCGCTCATTGAGTGCCCCGCATTCATCTTCGAGTACCTTCGCCTCTGAACCGTACTTTCACACCACGAGGCTATGTATCGAGGCGGAATTATGGATAGTCGCCTCACCGTCCGTTGTGCGCAGCTGTCACGATAAGATAGCAACACATCCAGGGACCGCCCGCCCGAATAGTAGCTATAGTCCAGACGTCGAAATCGAAGTGACCCAATGCCACTGCTCGTCTGCTGTATTGACCCCTCCCGAGTTATGCTGGACGTCAGGCAGGACGGAGGATGTCACGGTTGCCTAGGCACCCATTCACACTACAGCTGCTGTACAGCTGCTTCAATGATGGTGGGAATCATGCGCAAGAGATAGACATGACTCCAGGCCCAGGCCTGAGCTTGAGTTTGAGCTTGAGCTTGGGGCGCATGCCCGAGTTCGCCGATTGTCTGGAGCGCTACCCAACGCCACCCGCTGAGACCGCTCCAAAAGCAACACGGCCTTTAGTCGTGACGCCTGCCAAATACACTGCACGCCGGTCCTCCGGGTAGATAAGACGCAATGCAACGCGTTGGGGCGCGTCAATCTCGCCATCGGCGGCAGGACGCGACAGTCAGTTACTAACAAGTCGATGTGCGCTCTCATCCAAGGACGCAATTTGAGATTGTAGATACGAAACATATGGCTTGCACACTGTGGCAGGACAATGCCCAGATGCGCTATGTCGCCTTGTGCCGAAGTGAGAAGATAGAACGCACTAACCGAACTAGAATGAAGCGCGGTCCACCCCCGCCGCCGAGTAGAGGTTTAAATTGAAAGCGCTTGATCACCAGCTCTCTCACGGAATGGAGCGCCATGTTCTGTACTGTATGTGCAAATTTCCGTCAGGGATCGTCGCCAATACGTCCGCGCATGCCGTGCGCACATCATCGTGCCATTCTTCGCATCCACATAAGAATCTCGCGGCGCACGCGAAGACAGCCCGCACCGGTAGAGCGACTAAAGAATTCACAAACACGACGCATTGACGCATGGTGGCCACTTTGTCGCCGCGAATAACGCGCTGCAACAGGTTGCGGTGGCGTCGTGCCCGCCACTGCAGACAGGAGCCATAGTAGTCCTTGGGCATATACGGCTGTCTGTTTTAGTTTCAGTTTAGCGATCTCAGGGATCTGCCGACCCATATTCATGGCAGTAGTGCAGACGGCAAGGCGTGAGCGCTCGCGCGGGCAGAGTGGTCTGTCCCTCGTCCCGCGTTCATGTCACTTTGCGGTTCGGTATGTCTGCACAGTCATGACCGACTGTATGCCCCTGTGATGCTGAAAGACGCGTGGTGCAGATGTGCAGGTAAGCCACACAAACATTGCAATACGGCGCTCAGACATATCTGTCTCTGTAGCGTCAAATGAACGTCCCCTTACGACGCAAACACGACACCACGGGGGGCCGTATTGGATAGTGCGATGGGAGACTTATGAACAACTGAACTTACAAAGCATGTTCAAGACAAGAATGAGACAGACCTGACGTACAGTACCGTGAGATCAGTCGTTCGCGCCTCTGCGTGGATTATCTTCAGTGCTCAGGCTGTGAGCTCTATCTTCGTATCTTGTGTCAAGATTCATGACCGAGAGAAGTGAAACACATAACCTGGGGCACGGTATCCCTATCCTATTGTGCATACGATACTCGCGAGCGAGAAGCTGAGAGAGATAAGATGATTGGAAGCTTGAGAAAAATAGGTTGTGCCCTAATGAGTACAGTAAATTTTAATGAAGCAGTTCGACCTCGGAGTTTTCCGCTAGTAGATCAAACCTTGTTCGTTCGCACACCATTAACACCATCCTGTGGCCCGATTTTGGGGCATTTGCGTTGGTTGCGACTGTCTCTCTATCTTGGTGAGGACAACGGTGAAATTCCTTAAACCATCGAGACATCGTGGTGGAGCTTTTCAATATAAGGGAGAACCACATAGATCCCATTCGATCTCTATCACTCAAAATGCACAGGAAGACATCTGGAAACATCTCCGGATTATCGGCAGGCGAGAATACAATTGCCTGCGAATTGCGGGTAGTTATGGGTTCATCACCGTATTTGCGGCCATGTATCACAATCAATGGGTGTTCGCGTGCTATGCGCTGTCAGAAATCGCATGGAATAGTATGTACGTCATAGCATGCCGAAAGAATGCCAGCGGCAAGGGCAGGAGATTCATCAATTAGAGCAGGGGGCTCTAGAGTACTGGGATGCTGTGTATTATCACTTCTCGTCAAGTCTTTACGCACGAACTCATGGTGAGGCGAATACAAATAAAGAAATGTTTCGCTATTGGATGATGCAAGTACTATGTAAGCAGACACCGTATTGTCGGGGACGGAATATCATCGAGTTTATGGACGGCATTGCTACATAGCTTCCTTCATATCACTCGCATCCACCAGTGCGGCAGACTTTATGACACGCTCAGCATTTGTTGAACGCACTGAAATGGCGCATTGGAAGGGACCGGGGTGGCTGGCGACATGCACAATTAGTCTTGTGTGTCGGGATGAATCAGAGCGAGTGCCAACCTGATGAGGTCGCCAGTATACTCCACCACGGGTTCCAATACTAGACCGTCGGGACCAACGTTCATCGTTGCGAGTACTGTGGCTGCTACAATATAAAGGGAGTCCTCGGCCAGTGGCTGTCCCGGACAGACCCTGCATATGCGCTCAGCTTCCAGCATTGGTCGTGACTGGGGATGCTCACCGTCTTCCGTACCCGAATGCAAAAGCACGGGGGTCCGGATTTATACCTTCTCCGGATTGGAAATCTCTTTCTGGTTTTACCTCAAATGGGTCTGGATAGAGATATGGGTCATGTAATACGGCCCTAGTACGGGGCTTGTCAAGACCATAAATTGCATATTCGCTTAGCAGGCTCACCAACTATTGGCGATAACAGTCGCGCCAGCAGGTATATAGTATCCCATATACACGTCGTCCTTCATGACACTGTGGGGTATAGCTAGACCGGGTATTTTCAGCTGGTCTAACGCTGCGATTTGAGGAAGACCCCCACCTATGGGGGCGACGGGGTTCCAACGATGCACCTCCTTAAGTAGAGCGTCCAGCTACGACAAACGGTGGCGGTCATTGAAGTTTGGCAAACGATCTGACCCGATCAGTGTGTCAATTTCTGCTTGAGCCTTGCGCTGGACGTCCGGGTACATAGCCAATATCATAAATAGGGACTCCAGTGCTGAAACGGTCTGTAGGATTACAGAGGTTTCAGGCGACTCAGCAAGTCGAGAAGGTGAGAATATCTCACAGTATCTCCGCCAGCTTTACAGTTTGTCTAATGAGTAGTGTAGATCTCATGAGCAGAACCGCATACCTGTATAGAAGACACCTATTGCAAGTTTCGCCATATTTATCTCCTCTGGCGTCGCATTAGGATGTTCTTCAATCCAAGAAACAATGGCAGAAGGCGAAGCGGTTCCGAATTCCTATGCCACACGTGTCAGATCAAAATAATCACTATCAGTGTATATACCATCTGTTCTTTGATCTGGCTATGAGGCACATCGTATGCTTGGTGTAGTCGCTCTTGCACTTTCTTTGCTATCTTCTTATACTGTACTCCTGGGAACCAGCTAGGAGTGAACCGTACTTGTGTAAACGGCGGTTAAAATATCGAATATGCGATCTATGTGAAGGAACACGCACATATTTGAAAACTATCAACGAGGAATCGCCCAGGTTTTATGAGCTCGGAGAAATCGTTGCTGAATCTTCTGCAATCTTGACAAAAGGGTCCTGACAGTCATACACAGCACGACCATGGGTGATTTGGAGCACTACAGCCACAACAAACCTATAGGAGGGATGTTTTCGTCACCAAGGATTGAAGGAGGATGCCGTTTAAACATATACTCGCCAGCGAAGATGCGAGCGGAAATTTGGGGAATCACTAATAAGCCTGAGTAAGAGCTGAGAAACCTTCGCCTCCCCAATTTGATGCAGCTGCACGGAATTTCGTGAGCTTAGGCTGTTCGTGATAAACTTTCGACCATCCTCAAGTCGAGTACTGTATCGTTCAAATGGAATATAACGAGAATAACCGACGCTAGGATGACTTCAGAATGAAGGTACTAAAGTAGATGTAGAATGTCATACACTTCTCCGGCCAGAGGGATAACAGGGCGATCTGCATAGATAAGGCTCCTTTCCCTGAGGAGGTCAGAGATCACATCCGCAGAATTGAGCACAATGAAGCTTCGTCCTAATATCGAAAGATGGATGATATTGCCTGGAATGCACATGTCAGATTTGTACACCGCGTTTGAAGTGATGTAACATACCATACTGCTCGGCTAGACGCGAGTACGTTATCCATGAATGCGTTCTGGGGATCTGAAACGCATTCCCAACGATGAGCGACCCAGGCGGACCGGGGCAGTGAATATCGCGACCGTCTCCTCGTGGTGACGAAACCGAGTATGAGAAATATGAGACAAACGAGGCCAAAGGTGTAGTCAAGCATTTCAGAAGGCGTGTTTTTAGGCATGCTAGGATGCGCTATTCTCCGCAGGACCGTGGTAAGTCGTATGTGTGGGTCTCTCCACAAAAGTACCCGTCCACTGACACTTTGACCGTGGGTGCCTCTTGGGACTTTGTCAGTAAGCATGAGTACCTTATCGCATGTTGTCAACCTCAATGCAGAAGTTCTGTCCCGTATAACATTTGCGGAGGCACCTCAAAGATCAGGTGTTACCTGCAGTGAATATAGAAATGTAGGAATCTGTTATCAAGGTTTGTCTATTCGACAGATTGAGGATTGACCGTGCCTTGTAGGAGTCATATGAACATCGCCAGATTTAGGCTAGCAGAGAATGAGACCACTGAAGAGTACTCACACCGTCGGGTTAGTATGCATAGCAAATTGAATGCGTGCCTCGATGCGTGCCTAGAGAAAGCACAGAGGATACATCTCATGGCATTGACATCATGTCTTGCCTGACATGAAGTGATTGTCCACATCTCGCTCCAGGGGAGCGGTTGCACGTAAGAAGATAGACTGTTCGTTTGGTGTCTCGCGCAGCCGGCAGGCCAACGTCCTCTCGTCCTGCTGCACCCGAAATAGTCAGGTAAGGTGAATGTGGATTTTGCCTGAGAGGACGATACCCTGAGAGGTAGCTTTGCGAGTCACGGATTAGCTTTAAAATTTACAGATAATCATAAAGCTCCGTAGATTGACACATATCACTAACACTAAGAGGTGGACTCCGTGAAATTCACGATATATGAAGAATAACCATCAAGACGAATTTAAGGAGAGACGTGGGCCGCGACTGGCCCGCCGGGCCAATTATTCGGCTCTAGTGTCCTGATTATGTAAGCATGGGAAAGAAGCCGACTGAGAACACCACCTTGAGGCCAGCAGCCTTCTGCTTATTGCGAGCTGTATCTACCCGCCTTGGACCCTTATAGGCTCTCATCGATGCTGAAATTGACACAATCAAGCACTAGGTTAGGTTGTCTGTTCAACGTGACGGCGGGCTTTCTCAGGAAACCCTCCAGTGCATGTCGCATGGCACCTAAGTTACTCACCCCTACTAGCTGAGACTCTATCCAGACTCCAAGGAGTCCGGTCCCTTGACTCTGAGTATAGTAGGTCATCATCACTCTGTGGCGTGGAAGCCTTCACGAAGTAATTGCTAGTATCCTTGAGTAGACACAAACTCGCATGCGTCAATGTTTCAACGCATACCAACTAAACGCTAGAGCTCAGTGTTGAAGTCACTCTGGGCAAGCAAATCCGAAATAGCCGTGAAAGAGTAATGTTTTGCTGAATAATCTCTTCATTATGAGTCAGAGTGAAATCAAACATACAAGCGCGAGATCCGTGTCACTGAGAGACTTTGCAATGGTATCTAGCGCTAGCAGATGTCACTTGAACAACAATAGCTCGGTGCTGGTGGCGATGTGGGTCACGTTGTCGTATTTGAGGACCCACATGTGGCTTTTGATTCAATGACACATGTCGGAATCAGACATGTATAGGGCACATCCTGGAGTGTTTCAGTCATGATCGTATTTACCCCACACACTGGGCAGATACGTTCTTTGATTGACGCTTTTGTGCAAAGTTATCAATGTCGTTCCTTACAGTCTTGTATCTCCAGATGAATACGACCCTTGATTTATACGGCTTATCGGTAAATGCGAGAAAGTTATCGTAGTCGGATAAAAAGGTTAGTCAATACATGCCACGACTAGCGTCTTGCGTACGACAAGGAATGTCGACTGTCAACGCCCATGTCTCCCTTGCATTGGTCATTTGTTCCGCCATGAGCGGAGACGTTCTACAATGGTATCATCCGTTGATTGGTATGGACCACAGCTTTCCACGGTGTCCTGCTCGCGGCGCATAGCTCGCACATGATGCTCAATTAAGTGTTGCGCCGGTGCGAGCTCCTCCGTTTTGTGACCGCCGGCATGGAACTAGCACGTTCTACCCTGGCGGAACGAACGCGCATCCTTGACCTTCCAATATCCATAGCCAATAACTCAGCGTCTCTTCCTCCGAGAAAATCTATATAGGAGTTTGCGCCCTTCGAACATCAGTCAACACATTCTCAGAACACACACATATCCTACTCTCATCAGCATGTCTAACATCCCGCTCGGACCCGGACCCGAAATCGTCCCGCTCTCTATTTGGACGGAGAATCATATCACCGCCATTTACAAGGCCACCAACCTCGCTGACTTCGACAAGGCGTTCGACGCGTTCATCAGCAAGGATGCACAGATCACTCTGAACGGCCGCAAGCTCACTCGCGAGGAGTACAAGTTGCAACTCGTCGGCGAGACATTTGCGGAGAAGTCCGCAAACGTCTCATTCTTGGGTGCTGTTGACGTGCCTGAAAAGGTTATCGGTCTGACCCAGGTCAGTACTTTGCTTACTGTGTTCGATGACACCTGACTGCTGAAAAATGGCAGACCGGGACCGTCGGTGTTTTCTTTCAAGCCACAGTTTTTGGTCGGCTCTTATTCAGGGGAGCGCCCGTCACTAGCACCGTAAACGCCTCTCTGAATGCTACGTGGGTCGATGCACCGCAGTGTAGATGAGTGAACTGCTAACATTTTCCAACAGTGTCGCCGCAGGCAAATCGGGGACTACGGTTACTGTGCTCAATGAGGTTGTAGTGGATCATGTCAACCACTAGATAAATCATAATTGCCGGTATGCCGTTATGGATCTTGCTGATCTAACTTGAAGTTGCACGGGAATACATATGCCATCGTGAACTGCCGCTTGGTGGCGTCGAACATCGTGCATACACACTATATTATATCTGCGCTGTAAGTCTAGTCCATGGTGTCGGGAGATGTTCACTTACACTGTACTTTGTATACCGTAACACAGTGTGAAATGTATTCACTGAATATGCATCACCGGTCTGGGCCATTTCGTCCGCAGTCTGTGGTAAATTACACACGATGTGATTGTGATACAGCCTTAGAAAGCGCCAAGAGAACATTGAAGTAGCCACTGCCCGCACCGAGTTGCAGAGAAGACATAGAAAAGAGGCGGCCAACGTTAGAAAGGCTGTTCAGCGAGTACGTCTCCCACTTTGATCACTAGCTCGTCCTTGTCCTTCAGCTCTGCAGAAAAGTACGCCTTCGCCCTGCCGATGCCCTGCTCGTGCACGACCTGCGCGAGACGACGATACACGTCCACACCATCCTCCGGGCGGATTCTGCACACAAAGTCGCGCTTCTTTGTGTACACGAGCATGTCGCCAGCCTGTGCGGGGGCATACCCGCCGGTCCACGGCACTTGAACCTTGATGACCATTTGCTTCGTCTCGTCCCGTCGCATGCGCGGCACCTTAGCTCCCCGAAAGTTTCGCGCAGGCGGCGGTGGGGACGGGATGCCGAATGAGGCTCGTGTCATGTCTGCCAAGGGAATGACATTGGTTACGCCCTCGTATGCCGGGCGCACCGTCACGGTGTGCCGCATGTCAAACGGCAAACACGTTTGCTTGTGGGTCCTCCAGTGCCCACCTGCACAGTGTTATACGCATCAGTATACCCACTCGGAGGACCAACATGGGTAAACAGGTGCTTACGTTGGCACTCAGGCGAACAATAGCGCGCGGCGTGGCAACGAGCGCAGAATTTCAGCGGAACATCCTTTTGTCCGCATGCGTCGCATTTCTTCTCGTCCATGTGCCTCTGCTCACCTGTGCGACGCCGGAGCCACTTCGCCACTGCCGCGGTCACCTGCGGTCCCGCAAGCAGGTGCAGCCCTCGCGGTGTGATGCCATCCGCGTCCGCCACGTCCATTTGCGCACCAAATTCCATCAGCAACTCAATAGCCCCGATACCGTTCGTTTGAAACGCGCCGAGGATGGGCACCTCGCCATAGCAGTTCTGGTGGTTCGGGTCCGCGCCGTGCGTGAGGAGGATGCGGGCGAGCGACAATGTTGGCCCTGCGGCATTCTGCGTCGCGTGATGCAGTGCGGTGTAGCCCACAATGTCGGGGGCGTCGGGCGGAGCGCCACTAGAAAGGAGGAAGGAGAGCGTTGCAGGATGGTCGCTTCCCGGGCATCCGACCGCGCCGCGCTGGGCGCCTGCGATGACAAGCGTACAGTAGCCGAATTTGTATGGCGTCTCAGTGGCTGTCAGATCGGGTGCACTTCCGCTTTCCACAGCCTGGTTTTTATCTGAGCAAGTTGTAAACATGGTATTGTCCGTCGTGATGCGTACCTTCTTGATTGACTCAGCCTGGCCCAAAAAGCACCATAGAGCAAACTGTCTGAGCATGTTGGCGTCGAACCCAGCGGATTCTGCATGTTTGGAGGTCCGGTAGCGGACGAAAGCAGACACGTTAAGCAGCAATGTTATGGAATCCACAAGCGTCGGATGGCTCACTCATTTGGTAAAGATGTCGCAATTTCGTCCCGCCCTCCTTTTCCTTCAAGAAACCGGGCTGCTGACACAACTTGACCATCTCCTCGTTAACCGAGAACCCTCCAGTGCCATCTGCACGCCTCTGCGCGTCGGACGCGAACATGTTCACACCAGCCATTCTTCGTGATTGTAGACTAATCGGTTAAGAGGGTTCGGGAGTCGAGAGCCGGCATACATAATGAAATTGATTTTGAGCATGCATGCACGTGATCGCGATTGCAGGCTATGCGGGCGCAAACGAAGGCTCGCGTTTCGAAATGCTCAACCTGTAGGCATAATAGCTAAGATGGAAGAAAAGGGCCCACTTCAACTCTTCACTTTTGACGACGATGAAAATGAGCCCTTTGATGAGATGCGAGACAGCGACGTTGAATCTGACGAGGTTAATTTCATCTAGCTTGATCATCTGCTCCCACAGCACCTTGTCTATCCCATCATCGTTATTATCAATGACGGTGTGTCATACGCTACTGATAACATATATACCCTTCCCCACTTCGTTTGTCGAACTGGCACCGGTGTATTGCAGGGAACTCGGTGCTGGTTCAACGCCTCCAGGTGTCTGCTGCCATTGAATGGCACCGGGGATCGTCAATAGATTCGACCCTTGGGTTGCGAGCTGGAGCCTGGTATGGCGGAACACGTGAGAGGCCATGGCATTACCTATGAATGTGTTGGGTACGGAGAAAAGGCCGTGGTACTCTATGGGCAGCGCCTTAATGTACATGAGTATCACCAATATCATTGCGCTGAGGTTGGTGATACTATAAAATTATAAGCTCTGATTCATGCTCGAGTCTCTGCAGGAACACTTACGCATAGTACGACTGCCCATCTCTGAGCAAGGAGGCAGTGAAGGCAGGAAGGTATTTTCCTGAAAAGAAACTCTTCATGCGGCGGTATACAGTAGCCTCGCGGAGTATATTTCCTGACAGCTGATACGATATCGCGATAAATACTAGAGTGTCATGGAAGATAGGGAAGAAGACCGCCAGGGCTGTATATGGCTTTGATGGGCCGTCGATGCAGTAATCCGTAAGTCCGAGGTTCTCTCCTGTCCCGCCGAACAGAAGTGTCGTAGCACCAGCCACGACACACAGCCAGATAAAGAAGAAAGCTCCGGTAATGAGTCGGTGCATTTGATAGACTCCGCGTAGGCGGATGTGGAATAAGAGAGTCGTGGTGGATATGGTAGCTACCAAAGTCGCCATCCTCACTTGCTGAAAGATGGTACAATATTTGACAGGCGCAGCTGGAACATTATGTCAGTGCTAGGACAGCGAACGGCGGATGACGCTGACTCTGGAACACCGCGGAGAGCAATACAAAGAGAATCACGGATAATCTGCGCCAGTTATGTCACAGTCGACCTATTGGACGTCGCACAAAGGGACTCACCTCGCCATAGCATAGACAAGAGCTGTCAAGGTGAACCTGTGGTTGAGGAGGATGTCGTAATCACTGAACATGTTACTGAGCACGTCCCAAAGCAAGGCCTGGCATAGACTTCACTTCAGGATCACGGTACCAGCACACTATCTACAGTCTGGAACTACGCACCCCCGCCGTGGCTACTGTGACGTAACGTCCCAGTTCAATCCCAGTGGCGACGACCTGTGGATAGAACGCTTGCGGCGTGACTAGGTTCGGGAAGTCGCTACAATTTGCAGGGAATGACATGAGCACTATAGGGTCCAAGGATTCAAGGTACGAAGGACAGCACAGACCGTATGTCATGGTCCCATTCAGACACATTAAAAGGCGATCCTAAGTGTAACGATGATCGTGATTGACGGGTGTGAGTACATATCAGGTAGCACTCGTCGAGCAGCTGTACGAGCACAACGTCGGAATGATCCGCCATCTTGATGAAAGCACAATTACACCGCTGTTTCCCAGATCAGCGGCAGTGCCAGCACGGAGAATTCCCTCGTGCAGAACACAGATATCGTTAAAAGAAGTAGCCTTAGCTGATCCGTAAATGTTGAGCCTCCACAACATCGCACAGCATGTCTTCATAATACCAGCTTGAAAAATGCCTCCACAACACCACAAATCGAGCGAGCCAACAGCATTGATGTTGTGCGCGACTACCTAGGCAGTTAACAGAGTTTAGACAAATTTATCGAGATGTCGAGATAGCGACTGGGCAGATGAATCTGAATGCGAGGGAGTGTCTCGGTCTCACACTGCTGATGCTCCTAACAAAGTTCGGAGCTGGAGCTTACTTCCGCCAGCGTATGCGAGGATTCATCAAACATCCCTGAGACGAATGGAATACACATGTCTCACAAGTCACTGCGGACAAAGAAATGTTGAGTTACTCACCGTTGTTAACCCCGAGCACAGCAGATGCCGGTCTGTGGCAGCATATGTCATCTAGCAGGTTCAAGACAACGTGATCTCTCCCGTATACCAGATCCAAATAGCTGTCCGCATTGCAGAAATATGTCAAGACCATAAGCTAAATCGCCGGCCGGGTCCCTCGTGCTCGGCCAGTCAATCTCGTGCAGTGCATACGTCATCCGACCGGCAAGACGCGCTGACCAAGCTTGCGAGGATCTGCTCCCCTATAGCTGCCATCGACAGAATGTAGAAACGAACATTCCCCAAGTGCATGGTATCGGACATACTAGATACGCCTGCGATTCCTGAAACATGCCCGAGGCCAAACTGTAATTTATTGCATTTGCCGCAGGGTCTGTCCCTGTGGTGGACTACAGTACGCAGACAGTGCCAGGGCTCACTTATCTATCTTACACCGCGCGCTGTGCAGGTGCCTAGTGCTCAGGGCTCAGTGCCAAGTCATCCATACAGAGCATGAAGCCTCTGCACGTATGCGTTCGTGTAAGAGCACTGCTAGAAGGCGCTGCTAATAAGGCATATCCATGAGGGCACTCGCACCGTCGTACCACGAGAACCCCTTCGCTGCGCTGGTGTAACGCGTAGCACACAGAGAATCGCTGTGTTCAGAACGTGCGTCATCGTCTAAGTGAGCAGTTGCCCGCTCACATGTCGAATGCGACCCTCCGTACCACCGTATCACTAATGCAAGAGCACACCGAGCGGGACGATGCTAGTAGGTGTCCCGATTTGTATGTCGATTGTTTTGCAGTTGTGGTCCGCATCTGGCATACTGATACACAGTTTTCTCCTGAAGAGCTCTTTTGTAGACTGTCACTGGCAAAGGGAAACCAAGACCGTCGCGCCTGGGCAGCCAATCTGGGCGATTGCACGTGCGCGATATTGCCGTAAACCAGAGCGAGCGCTTCAAGAAATCCTCAGAGTTGCTTTCCTAATAGTTGCTGGTTTCTCCGTTTGTCGTAAGTTGAACGACGGGAGCGCAACCTGAGGGATGCGAGCACGATCGCGTAGAGACTGTAAGAGACAGGGAAAAACTGTCTCAGTCTCCTTCGTGTAGCAAGGAACTGTATTCATTAACTAACCTGTAAGAGACAGGGAAAAACTGTCTACAGTATGTCAGAAATAAGTCCGAATGTAAGTAAAAAGAACATACCTCAGTCTCCTTCGTGTAGCAAGGAACTGAGGTGCGTCTCAACGCCGGCGCGTATGTATCGTACGTATTACATAAGCCGCGCGCTAGAACTAAGTAAGTCCGTGTCGCTATGTATCGTGAATTTCAACACCGTTATACCCAGCTCGGTTTCAAGTGGGAATAAATCGAATCTGCCAGAGACCCTGTTGGACCTTCGAACCTTCTCTATAAATTTCCAAGTACATTCCCACTGAATGTTGTCGGAGCTTTATTTGTAGCTAGCAGAAGCGCACTGGGCGAGTCAAAACCTTGCTAACATGCAAGGTTTGTGATGACATCACCTCAAAACAGGCCTCTTCCATTCATCGTCTCAAGGTCCCATTAACCAAAGGCGCAGCAAGTGCGATGATTATATCCATGTGACCGCTGACACGATGCTCTAGACCAGCTATTTAGCAAATGGCGACTAGCAGACTTCCGACTCGGACCCTCATAAAGATATTTGATCCGTGTGGTCTGGGGCTATGATTGAAGAGCGTCCCTGCCACCCATGAGAGAACGGTCCCGCTGTAGTGCCGGCATGACCAATCCAGGGGCCAACTGCGCGCATCTCTTGCTAAGCTTTGTGCTCAGGCTCTCTGGCTTACGCTGGGTGTTGTCCTCAATTCCCGTTGCTCCTACCCCCGAGACTAAAAACTGCAGCTATGGCAGACTCGGCAGCCCATCCCCCTGATGCCTCTCCAAACCGTGAATCAATCTCCCGCGATATCGTGCAGTTATCGACGCCATCTCAGCAATTCAGTCGCTCCCGTCAACGCAACACAAACGGGATCGCTCATGCAACAATAAGACCATCTTCTGGTCCTCAACTCCTGTCCTTGAATGCGCGCGAAAACGGTCCCTCCTCCATTCCACACTCTAGTATTCCCAAACCTCTCCGACACGGTAAGAACAGGTCGGATAGCGACCGCTGGCCCGCGACCTCTTTCAGTTCTAGAGCTCGCTCTATTAGCCCATCGAGGATCAAGTCGAGGCATTGGTCCTTCGCTGCTTCGGGCAGTGACGATGTTGCGCCCGCAAGAGTACCCGAGACGCCCATTCCACGTTGGATGGAACGATTGCACAGGTCCATACCACCCAAACTCCGGCAAGGTTGGTTGCGGACTGGTCAGGTCAGAGGTCTCTCATTATCTCATTTCTGGGTGGCTTACTCGTATTCAGCTCGTGAACGATACCCTAGAGGATGTATTCGACCTTGCTGAGGGCGTCGTTCATGAGGCTCTGATAATGTCTCCGGACCTTCTGGGAATAGCGCCGATTCCAGGTTTGGCGCCGGTTGCGAAAACGTTGTTACACATTTGGAACGCCTTACAGAAAGTTAATGTAATGCAGTTTGCTTATGTTGAAACCATGAGTATGCTCACTACCTACAGGGTAACGAAGCCTCGTGCTGGCATTTGACCTCACGATGCGCCACTATTTTAACTTGTATCCTGGAAGAGGTCAAGACCGGCGGATCTCGCGTCGATCAAGATTTGTTAAGTCCAATACGAAGACTTATGGAGTGAGCTAAACGCACTCATGTTTACTACAGTGCTGATCCGAAGCAGTTGTTTTAATCAGATTCTCCTGTTCCTTCAGGACCAGGAAGATAAAGTTTTTCTTAAGCGGTTCCTGCGACGCCAGGAAATTGAAGACGAGATACGGAGGTGTGACCGGAGCTTAGACGATGCGTTCAAAGTGTTAGATGTGAGTGGCGCCGTGTGATAAAGGACAAACACGTTAACTAAACGTTGCACGCAGTTTTCTATTCAGATGCGCATTTGGCGACATACGAAGAAACTCCAAGAACTGCGACGCCTCGATGAACAGGAATGGAGCCAAGACAAGCTGCACGAATATAGCAAACGCAAGCAGCGCATTGTAGACATCAGCGATCAGTTTGGCCTCCTTTCTTCCGAGATCAGCTCTCTCACATCTGGCCAAGCAAGTCCTGTGTCTGCGCGGAGCATAGACAGAGACGCAGTGAAACCAGACACTATCGCAGTCGCGCTGCAGGAGATTGTCGCCGCGCAAACCAAGCGCGAACTCGATGAGGATCTCAATAACCTGATCCGACGGATGACTAGAGCCTTGGACAAGAACGACGACATTGCGATCATTGGCATCCTCCAAGTTAGTCGCCATGAAATGCCCGAGGCAATTGTTGCGCTGCAGCGCGCACTCAAGAAAGAGATAGGTCCGTGGAACCTCGCGAGGGGCCCTGATTCTGCGGCATTAGAGCACCTTTCCGCTCTTCTTTCCGGCAATGAGCACCAGGAATCTATGGGAATGGTTGCAGATTTACCCCATGATGACTCGTCGACGGGCCCGATGGAGTTGAAGAGGCTGGAGAAGAAATTCATGAAAGCGGGCCTCGACGCCCTACGAAGAAACAGTGACCAGACGTCGTTTCCCAGATGGACGATTACACAATATGAAATCCACCTAAAGCAGAAGATCGGGATGGGCTTCTACTCGGATGTTTTCAGAGGTTCGTGGCTCGGTCGCACAGTTGCCATAAAGGTGCTCCAGAAATCGAACGAAGTGCAGGAGCAGCTTTTCATGAACGAGGTCGGGTTGTACTTTGCTTTCATATTGGGCAAATCATCATTTACCTCTTTTGCAGGCCACTGTGTGGACGAGATTGAAGCACCCAAATGTTCTGGAACTCCTGGGCTCTTCGTCCCCGTCGAGCAGTTCCTGGTTCTTTGTTAGTCCTTACTACGAAAACGGCAATTTGGTGTCCTTCCTCAGCAGGCTACCGCAGCTAGAGGCCGCCTTCATATTACGGGCTACGCATGACATCGCGAAGGGAATGGCATATCTGCACAGCATGAATATCCTGCATGGCGACCTCAAGGCAAGGCATTAACTTCTCACGGTACACCAAACCACATCTCATGCTGATAATCTTCAGGGCGCGAATGTGCTGGTCGGCAATGAACAGGAATGTTTGATCTGTGACTTTGGCCAAAGTCAACTCAAGTCGGAGCTATACAAGATCAATGGGAAACCGCTTTCTCGTACGTGACCCTGCATCTTTGCCACCTGTTATGAGAACGCTGCAGAGTTAACTTCACATCATCAGACGGTACTTTCCGATGGCGTGCTCCCGAACTCATGTCGGGGCAGGCTCAACTGGAGAAACCGGTCGACGTCTATGCCTTCTCGATATGCTGCATAGAAGTCCTCGGAAAGGGCGAGCTACCCTGGGGTAGTGACGTCAACGACGATGATATTAGAGAGTCGGTTCTCGGTGCGCCACATGATATGACTGAGACCGATCTACACGTATTGTTATTGATTCTAGCTCCATCAGATAACAAACTCCGCCCTAACATTCCACAAATAATTCTCGAAAAGGAGCAACAAGATGGGCTCATCAGGATAGTCGAGCAGTGTTGGGCCCAGGATCCTTCGTTACGCCTCTCCTTCAGAGCAGTCGTCAAGGCTCTCGAACGACTCCGCTCGTCTAGTACGTATCGTTGTGGGGCTCTCCCTGCCCGTTTACATTAATGGATCCACATGTGTCTCCAGAGTTACCGCCTATTGTATCATCGGAGAGCACTCACAACAGTGTTCATTCATCGGCACCTTCTCCAGCGCCGATTGCGCCTCCGTCCAGAATGCTGCAAGCAGAGGAAATCTACAGGAAAATCATCCGCGATCCACTCGACTCTTCGCGTGCGTATCGCCTGCTTGCATCATCCTGTTCGTAATGGTAACCTCACGCATCATTCAGTCAGCCTGCCTCTATGGCATCCCACGCCTGTGTCTTTGGGCGCCGTGGGGTACTACTGCGTGCCGAAGGGAGAATTTGTGACTCTGTTCAACGCGTTCGACCCGCGCGCATCCTCGAACCGGCACGCGGAGCGCATCCCGTCATTAAATGGCTACGGGAAGGTATCCACCGGCGGTCGCCCCCGACACAAACGCAATCTCGTGCAGCGCCTGCTCGACGATATCCGCACCTCCTCGAGTTTCCGCTTTCGCGCGAGCGCACCGTCCGAGACCAAGGTGGCGCGGACGTATGTGCATCCACAGCAGCCTGGGCAGCAAGCCGCGTATCTTTTCGCAGAGTCCCTAGTGCATCGTTTCATGCGGAGCGCAGACCTGCAGGTCCCAAAACTTTGGTTCGCGGCGAACGCCGATGCGGTGGTGGAGCTGTACGGGGCGCAACATGAGGTCACGCGCGACACCCTCTCTCTGGGCATGTACCCTTCCGCGTTCGCTTCACCGGAGCCCGATGCTCACCGCATGGATACATGCTAGTCACGGGGACACTTGAAGCCCGCAAGTACGCCATGTTCGCCAGCGACGGCTTTCCTGAGGAGCAGGTAGTTCTGTGTGTGTATTCACTGGTGCGATCCTTGCTGATATTGCGCGAAGATCCGATTCGAAGTCTACGCTTCTACTAAGCGGAGTGGGCAGTGGGGGCGCTTTCCTCCTCCGGCTGACATGCCGCTGCGAGACGGCGAGCTAGAGAGATGCTTCCAGTCGCGTGTCTCCGATCGGGCAGGCGGATGGGACGCACTGATCGTGGCTCGTATAGGTTACAAGGAAGGTAGTTCCGAGCCGCAAGAGCTTTAATCGTTCTCGAGGTGTTGGCATGCCAGTGAGACGAAGTCTGGGATGTAGACCTCTCTCCGAGAGGGTTTGGCAGGTTGACACCACGAGGCACTGGGGAGAGGGGTAGTTATTAAAAGTCAGTTATTGGTCAGTTATTCACCAGGCTTTGGCATAAAGTCTCCAAGCAGCGGCTACAGTGTCCAATGCGAATCATGTGTAGTGCACGGTACTAGCTGAGATGCAAGTATGGGTGAAAATGGTTTGGTTTTGTCACTACTACACGCCATCATTGATAGTTGCATGGTGCCCGCCTAATCTCTACCCACCTTCGCTTACTCTACATATGCTCAAAGGATCTCAGATTTGGGTCGTACAAGGCCCAGAAGGCCGCTTACGGCCCCGGGGAGTTCTCGACATCATCACATATTAACAACACACAAAATGCGCCTCGCGTGTTTGGCATAGCTAACAGCATGCCCCAACCTCTCAGCTAGGGACCCGAGGATCTTTTCTTCGGAACAGTATTGCGGAACGCGTCCGATGGAACGAACATTGCATTGCGTACCACATCTCGAGTCTTGGTGAAGCTTCCCAGCTCAAAGCGGCCCATCTGCCCGCATTTTCAGGACGCAGCGGCCCATAGTGCGCCGCCAGCACCCGGCCTCGCTTTTTATTTTTATTTTCAAGCAAAAATGCAGATTTTCTAACCGCTGGAGGGCAACGCCCTATGCGGGATAATGCATGCATGTTCGTATCAAATCGCCGTTCCTCGCTTGAGCTGCACAAGCACAGGGCCGCGCAGACCCGTGGGCCAACATGCAGCTAGACTCAACCCACGAGTGATCAAAAGGCACAGTGCCCCCCAGTCGAGCGACAGGTGCGTGGGGAAGGTAGTTCACCCCAAGACGCAGCGCCCCGGCCCCCGACCCTCTTGCGGGAGTGCATCTGCGCCGCTGCTGCCCGGTGCACAAGGCGCGCACTCGAGGACGCAAGCGCGGCTTTGCTGGTCTCGCAGCCACACGGATACGAGCCCGAGCGCGCGGACCGCGTCCGTGTCATAGGCCGTGTGGCGGGCTGCGAGGACGGTGCATAGGCAGGTTGTTGGCACTGCCGCGCGTGACGACGTACGAGCGACTTGAGAGGTAGCAGACCTGATACAGCAGGGAGCGGGGAGCGGGGAGTGGGTCGGGTAGAGTGTGTAAGCACGTCGCGGTAACATGAGTGTGGCGGCGGACATGCGCGAATGGGTGTGTGGCTGTGATGGATGGAATGGCAGCATCTGCGCACCGTCTCGTCTAGCCAGAGAGTTTGCGGACGATCCGCATGGCCCGTATCCTGCCGCCGCCGCCACCCAGGGATCCCTCAACCTCGTGTATTTCTTCAGCGAGCTGGGCGAGCGGCAGCGCCCGACCGCGCTCCTGCCAATGGCAGCCCACGTCCATCCCCAGCGTCCAGAGCGCCTCTGCCCCTGCTTCTCTGGGGAGACCTTCGCGCAGTGCCCCGCCGCGGCCCGCTCCCTGCCCAACCATATCCGAAGGCTTTCGGTGCGGTTCTGACAAGCACCAGCCAAAGCAGCACGACGAATGGTAACATGGACGGACGGAGAGCCCCCCAGCGCGACAGCGTCCCTGGTGTGCCTTTTCGTCTTTCCATCCGAAGCACGCGCGGCGCGCGGCGCGGAGGCACAGACGACGCGAGCGTTCATCGTTCATCCGGGATCCGCGCGCGCGCGCGGCTGCTGCCAGTGAGACGGACGCGCCATGTGCCACATGGGGGAGAGCACCGTCGCCGATGCTCTCGCGTGCGGAGGGCTCGCAGACTGGCGGCCTGTGTTTGCGTTTGCGTTTGCGTTTGGAGCTGCGACTAGCATGGTCATGGCGAGGGCCTTCTCCCCCTCCGTTCCCGTGCCCTGCCCTCCCGTGCGATGTGCGATGTCGAGGGCGTGCGCTGTGCGATCACGCGAAGCGGTGGTGGTGGTGGTGGCGGCTGGTCGCGGCAGAACAAGGAAACGCGGGCCGGGAGTCGGGAGTCGGGAGTCGGGAGTCGGAGCGTGCTGTCTGGATCTAGACCTAGGAAGCACCGGCAGCTCGGAGATCTGAGAGCTGGCCGGGCCGCGCGCGACGGCGGCGGCGGCGAGGAGCGTGCTCGCATTGGCCCGAGCAGGGCGTGATGGCGCCCCCCCGGCGCAAGAGGCGGCTGCGTGTGCTTGTCAAGTAAAGTGAAGTAGAGACATGGACAGGGACGGGGACGGGGACGGTACACCGGTGCTGTGCAGGAAAGGATCGAGGATACGCGTCGCGTCTCGGCGTCGGCAGTAGAGTGTAGAGTGCAGGTCATATGGCAGGGGCGCGGCATGTGCGGGAGCAAGTGTGGATTCAGACGAGCGGAGGATATTGCGCGTAGCGTACGATACGATGATAGCGTAGTGAGGTTACTGGAAGGGCATGCCTGCGCGGGCTAGGCCCTGCGGACCCAGAGCTCGTTTTCAAGCTTCGCAGGCTATGCCTTCCGCGGGGGACACACGAGGGCGGAGTCGGAGACGGGGTGAGCGGCAGGGCGAGCGTGAATCGTCAATCGTCAATCGTGGTGGGTATGACGCGGGGCAGATGCAGCCGACCTCGCAGTGCACGGGAGGGAGCGAAGGGCCGGGACGGCGGTCGCGACAGGCATGCCGCAGGCCCTCGCGGGAGTGCATTCGCGGATGCCCGCTCCTGCTGCAGGCGGAGGTGCGCCCCTTGACGAGTCAAGGTAGCAGCGGCAGCGGGCCTCCCACCCGGGGCAGCGCGCGCGCGCGAGTGAGTAGGACGGATAGAAGCGTAGCAGGGACGGTGCGCACGCGGTGTGGGAGGTTGACGGCAGGCAGCACACGGCCAGGTGCGAGGGCTGCGATCGAGCGGGTGAGCGGGGACGTGCTGTCTGTTAGGAGGAGGAGGCGGCTCTGTGAGCGGGGCGGATGGCGCGCGAGGCGGCCGTCGGCGTGCGGTGGTGAAGGATGTGCGAGGGTGTACGCGGCGCAGGAGAGGCCTGGCAAGCGGAGACAGGGACGCCGCACCGCTGGTGGGGGCGCCGCGGGCTGGACGCTGGTGCGAAGGGTCGAGGATGCGCGTGGAGGAGCCGGCGGTACAGCGCAAGCGGGCGAACGCAGGAATATGGCAATGGCGTCATCAGGGTAAGCGCATGGTGGGACCCTGCGACGGACCACGCTGCTGGAGGTCCACACGAGGCTGCACACGGTTGATCGGCGGGCGATCGAGATGGGGATGACCGCGCAAGACAGGGGATGGTCACTGCGTATGAGCTCATCGGCGCCGCTGCTGCTGCGGATGGCGCGTCGCTGCCCCAAACAGGAAGGCGGGCGGCAGCAGGCGGGCCGCGGGGGTCTAGACCGCAGCGGGGGCGACCCCTGGGCTGCGATTGGCTGGGGGCGCAAGTGCCAAGGGTAACGAGTTGAGCGGGCGTCCTCTTCTCGCTGGCTCGCTGTCACCCGTCGCTCGTCTCACATCTCACCTGCTTCTCTGCTGCGTCTGCGTCGCTAGCTCCTTCTCATTCATCTCATCTCTCCCCGCCATGCCCTTCCCCCTGTCCCTGTGCCAGCGCCACCCCCGCTACGCCGTCCTCCTCGCCGTCCTCCTCCTCGCCACCTTCTTCCTCCTCTCCCCCGACGACCCGCTCTTCGTCACCACACACCGCCCGCGCCCCGCGCCCCTCGCCGACCGCACCCTCCCCGCGCGCGTCGCCCATGCAGAGGCCGCCTACCAGCGCACCATCGCCCGCCGCCAGGACATGATCAAGAAGTTCGGGCCCAGCCCAAATCAGGTCGTCATGTGCGTCCGTCCGCAGGCCTCTGCCCGTCCTCGCGCCCTAACCGCTCCCCGCGCTCTCCAGGTTCCCCCCAGATCGCGAGCCCTGGCCTGCGTACACCGTCTGTGAGTGTCTCCCCGCTTCCTTTCTCTTATCTCCCTCTCTCTCCTTTCCCTTCTGTTTCCCCGTCCCGGCTTCCTGGTGCCTTGCTGTGCTTCCCACCGCTGTTCGCCCTCCCGTCCCCGTGTCTCTGCTGCCGCACCCGTGAGAGCACCGGCGTCCTTCTTCACAACCCCTGCGCCTCCCACTGCGCGGTCCCGCCGTGCCGCCTTCACGCCTCCGAGTCTCTCCCACCTCGCCCCCGCTACCGTCGCCCGCCTCGGCACCCGTGCGGCCCCTGCCCCACCTCCCTCGTCCCCCCAGCACAATACATGTCTGCCAGCGACGCCCGCGCCCGCGTCTTCGCCACAGCACCCCGCCCGTGTCTTCGCCACAGCACCCCGCCCGTCGTCCCCCAGGTCATCCTTAGCGCTGCCTCCCCCTGCCTCTCTGCACAGCGCTCCGACGAGCGCGACGGCAGGGACCCGTTGCTGCGCTGCTGAAGGATCCCGCGCCAGGCACCACATCTCCTCGCCGCCGCGGCTGCCCTGTACCGGGCGCAAGTGCACGGCTCGTATTCGCTGTATCGTAGCTGCTTCTAGGCGCGATGGCGTCCCTCTCCGGCACCCTGCGCAGGCGTCGATGCGCCGCTTCGCGCGCAGCCCGACCTCGAGCGCCCTTGGGAGGAGAGATGTGTTCTCATCGCAGCAGGCGCACCGGCGAGATGCGCGTCACGCCAAACGGCACCGGCACCGGCACCGCGCGCGTCCGACTCCCGACTCCCGACTCCCGACTGCCGCCGCCGCTCTCGTGTTGCGCGGGCAACAGCGTCCGCGTGCGCAGCACCCTCGTGTGCTGCCTACTCCTGCGCGCGGACCCCGCCGGGTTCGCCTGCACTCCTCTTCGCTGCCGCTGCGCCCCCGTCTGCGTGTGCGCCCCCGTCCACGTCTGCGTCTGCGCGCTCCGGGCTCTGCGCCGCTCCCCCGCGGGAACCCGTGCGAGCCCTCGCTCCCTGCCACCTGCTCCCTGCTCCCTGCTCGCGGTGCGGGGTTCCTCCCCACCCCCCCCCCTCTCTGTCGTCCGGTCGCCCCGCCCCGCCCCGTCACCCGCTCGTAGCCTCATGCGCATGCCTCCCGGTATGGCGCCCCGGTACCGGTACTCCACCAGCCTGCGGCCGCCTCGGCCTCGACGCGAAGGCCAGAAGGAGGAGCGAGCGAGCGAGCGAGGGGGCTACCCTGCGCGCGCGCGTGCGGGGCAGGGGGCAGGGCCGCCACGTCGGCTGCGAATCGTCGGCGTGCGCCGCGCCTGCATGGTATGGCGCAGAGGACCGCGCCCGCATGGTGTACTCCGGCTGCCCAGGCACGTCCACGCTTGTGCGCGCGGACGGCGTCGCGCCCACGCTTGTGCGCGCGGACGGCGTCGCGCCCACGCTTGTGCGCGCGGACGGCGTCGCGCCCACGCTTGTGCGCGCGGACGGCGTCGCGCCCACTCTGCATCGCCGCAACTCGCACCCTGCATCGCGCACCGCGCAACTCGCACCCCGCAACTCGCACCCCGCATCCCGCATCCCGCATCCCGCATCCCGCATCCCGCATCCCGTCAGCCGCGCCCGCATGTGCGATTATGGCGCACGGCTGGCTTGTCGCTGCCACTGCGCGCGGCGCCCAGAGCGCCGGGAGGGCCTACCCGGACAGGCGCACGCGCGTTCCGCCCGCCAAGTTCCAAGCTCCAAGCTCCAAGTTCCTATTCCGTCCCCGTCGCCGCCGCCACCGTCTCCGTGGATTAGGCGCAGCTGCACCAGGCGCGGGCCGTATCCGCTGCTCCTTCCCTCCTCCTCTGTCGGACGGCCTTCGACCTTGCGTGCTTGCGCTCACGGCAGCAGACGCATCGGCGCGAGGGGTGTTACAGACAGTGCGCGGCGGGCGCATGAGCACGTTCGCCGCGTCCCCGTACTGGCAGTCTCTGCACTGGCGCCGTCGTGCATGGCACCTTCCCTTCTCGCCCTCGCCTGTGTTTTGACTCTTTTCATGAGTTCTGACTCTTTTCGTGAATTCTGACTCTTTTCGTGAATTCCGGCCCTCTCATGACCTCCGACCCTCTCATGACCTCCGACCCTCTTATGACCTCCGACCCTCTTATGGCTGCGAGTCCCAGGATCATGCTGACGTCGCGAATGCACAGGGGACTTCTTCCCGGCGGTGTTCAATTGCCCGCACGAGGTCGAGCGCATCGGCTCGCTGGGCGACGGCGGGCAGTGGGTGTGCGGCATCGAGCGCATCACGGACAAGCCGGACTGCGTGATCTACTCGTTCGGTGCGTGTATTCCTTCCTCGTCCTCATGATTGGGATGTACTCATGACGTGCTCACTATTGCCGTCTTTATGACATGCAGGCCTCGACTGGGACTCGTCGTTCGAGGCCGAGCTGCTCTCGCGCACGGGCCACTGCGAGGTGTGGGGCTACGACTACGTCGCGCCCGGCTTCGGGCGCGCCGTCACGCGCGGGCTGCGGCCGCGGACGCACTTTGCGCGGCTCGGGCTCGGCGCGTCGGACAGCCACGGGCCCGCCGACGAGCCGAAGATGTGGACGCTCCGCAGCCTGATGAAGGCGAACGGTAAGCAGCGCGGGCCTATCCGTGGTGCGGTCTGTCTAACGCCGTGGCTCCACCGTGTCCGCATGCAGGCCACGACCACATCGACCTGCTGCACATCGACATCGAGGGCTGGGAATTCGAGGTGCTGCGGAGCATGGTGCGCGACTTTGTCGGGATCGACCCCGCGGCGTTCCCCGCGCCCGCGGGTGCGCCCGCGGGGCACCTGGGCCGGCTGCCGGCGGCGGCGGTCGGGGGGCTGGGCGAGCGCGCGGCGGAGGGCGCGCTGCCGTTCGGGCAGCTGCTGATCGAGATGCACATCTGGCACCAGCGGTTCGGCGAGTTCCTGGCGTTCTGGGAGATGCTGGAGGCGGTGGGGCTGCGGCCGTTCCGCTCGGAGGTGAATCTGGTGTATGCGAACTATAACCGCCAGAGCGGCGTCGAGCTCGCGACGGTGCGTCTCCTACTCCTATCCCGTTCTTTTGGTGATAGGTTGCATGTCTGATGTCTGGGCTGACGGCGTGTCCTGCGGCAGTATTCGTTCCTCAACCTGCGCGGGAGCAACGTGTTCGTGACGGACGGCGCGGCTGCGGAGGACGCGCTGCCCGAGGCGGAGGGGGCGCGAGAGGCGGGCGAGCCGGACGTGCGGATGATCCGTCATGCGACGGTCGCTGTGGAGCCGTGAGGCTTTCCTTGACGATTAATAGAAAAGCGTCGGCGGGAGTACTAGAGAACGGGGGGCGATGGCGAGGCGCAGGCCCCTGTGGCTGCGACGGCGCGTGCAGGCTACGTGTCGCCCGCGCACCCTTCCTCGCGATCCCCCGTCGCCGTTCTTGCGGTCCTGCCGTCGCTGTTCTCGCTCCCGCCTGCTGCTGCGTCTTCTCGCCCGCTTTAAACCGTCCCGCGTGCTCTGCCCGACACTCCGACACCTCGAATTGCAACACTACAGTCTAGTCTAGCCGCCCCCCGCCATACATCGTACACCATACACCATGCGCCATACGCCATACGCCGACTCGCCTATGGACGTGTTATATCCCCCGCCCCTCCGCATATACCGCCGCGCCCGCACCGGCATGCTCCCTGCTCCATCGTACCGGACCTGCGCCTGCTCTGTATTTGTTCGCTTGTATGTAGTATTTATCGATATACGCGAGGCGGGGGCTGTATTGCATTTGCGGTGTCGCTGTCGACGGGGATACGGTCGGCGGGACGACTGGATTGATATTGTCGGCCATGCGCTGTAGTGATGTGAGGCGTTCAGCAGGCCGTGTCGTTCCCGACGCCTTGTACGGACATGCGTGTGATTCGGACACGCGTATGATCCGGGGAAGGCATTTATAGTGGTCCGAGTACACGTTGGAGCATTGGTGGCGGTGTAAGCTGCAACGATTCTCCACTCTTTCGTCAGCTTGTCGTATATTGTGACAGGCGCGTTGACGGGAGTCGTACCACCAGGAGGGCGATGTTCTGTCGTGACTATACCCGTGCCCGGTACGGAGGCGCGGTCACTACTACGTGTCCCTCCCAGAGACGTCGGGCCTTCCGGACATGTCTGTCACGTCCTATCCTGGTTGTTCTGCTGTTTCAGAATTCGTCCATGGTCAATTATGACCGTCGTCCGATGATGCATGCGGTCCTAGTCAAGTATTCGCATATCTTTTCCTGTGCGAGCTTGTGCCTCCGCTTGACCCGTACCCAGCGCGTTCCATGTTACTGTCGCCCGCAAACTGCAGCTCGGGCACTCTTAACCCCCTCGCCCCACTGGCACTTGCTGTCCCGCAGACAGCGACAGTGATTGAGATGGGACGATATGTCGTTGTGGGCACGGCAGGGGTACGTCTCCTCACAGCGCACTTGCTGAATTCGTGACGTTGAGGCTGCACGCATGTCAGGCCTCCCTATGGGATCTGCTCAGCAACATCTCGCATGATTACGACTTGCTGTCCCGCCATCGGCTCGTCTTCCCAACAGCTGTCTATTTTGCGGCGAGGTGCGTTGCATGATGCCCCCCCACTCATCCAGGTGCGTACAACTAGACACAGGCTGTCCGCGTTTGCCTTCGTGCTGCTCTCTGCGGTGTACAAGAGTATGTTTTTCTCTACTGGTCGTGACCACGATTGCATGCCTTCACTGTTGATCTTCGTGCAGCCATGCCTGTCAAGCACTGCACCACCTTCCAGATAGCCACCGCGTCCACCGGCGTGGCTGCCATAGCCGCCACAGGCCTCCTCTTGTTCCTACGCCTTGCCGCGGTCTATCACGGACACAGGGTCGTCATTGGCGTCTTCTTCGCACTGTACCTGAGCGCGGTCGCAGGATCGATGACGACGCCCTTTGCGGTCACAGTAGAACGCCTCGGGACCACAGACTATTGCGTCGACACTGACATGAAGCCTTACGCCGTTCTGTCTGCGATCCTGCCCATGGTGCATGACATGCTCGTGTTCTTGGCCATATCCTCCAAGCTCTTGTGCAACAGCACCCGCCAAGTACCCACCATCCGGACTCGACTGCGGAGCTTCTTCTCGGGCAAGGATCTCCCCGCCTTCTCCGCTGCCTTGCTGCGAGACGGGCAGGCGTATTATTTGTCGGTGACGTCTCGCACACGGCGCTAGCGCCCAATGGATTCGAGGCTCACTCGTGTTGTTTAGGATCACCGCCCTCAGCACCTTGGCGCTGGTCATCATGCTCTGCACGACGACGCTGCCGATCGGCTACCGCGGCTTGCTATCCGTACCCACCACATTCATATCCAATGCCATGGCTTCGCGTGTCTTCCGGCACGCCAAACTCGAGCTTGCGACCCGAAGCTCGAATTTGGCGACATTTAGTACCATCCAGTGGCAGCGCCAGCAGACATGTGGAGACCCTGTCCAGGTATCCGTGTCTCTGCCATCTCCTGGGGTTAATAACGGGGATGATTCGGACAAGGAGGGGCGCCATAGTTCTCTGGACGCATAACACGCATGCGGCACCTGGCAGCGTATGGTAGCGGAACAGCGTTGTATGTCGAAAGGCCAGGTGTCTCCCCACAATATAGGACCTGCTCGCACTCGCACACATCTCCCGAACCCCATGGCCTTGCTAGCTTACAGGATCTTAAGGAGTCGATGCAAGCGGCTGCCATGAGACTCGACGTCGGAGCTGGAAGTACCTGGCTGCTACGAGTAAGGCATAAAGCTATCTCTCTACTCAATTGACGTGTTCAGTATGGCAGCCTGTAGTGGCCGCAACCGCATGGGGCCATCTGGCTGTTGAGGGGAATATCTCGGTAATCGCTCACGCATCAGATGTGTGATCTGCTCGATCGAAAAACTAACGTGGCTCGCCTGAACGGAACTCAGATCCCTCATATACGATGATCGATGTTGGTTTGTGATGGTTCCTGCTACTCTCTGTGTACTCGTGGGGGTCACCAATGGCCAGATTACGCTTTCACGTTCGCAGTATTCCAGAAATTTCGATAACGTCCACCTCTGTCCAAGCCTCATACATCACCTTCGCCTAGTCGACGATCCGAGAAACCGCAATAGTGAGTTGTCGCCGAAGCTTGAACGTTCATGGTATGCGAGTTTACTGTCCGGAATCATTCGCCTGGATCTGCCTTTATCCGACCGATTGATTGCCGAGGGTTATACGCTTGCACATCCAATTGCTGTTGTTGGACAAGATTAGTTTGTGAATGAACTAGGACAAGTAATACCATTGCTTGTATGTGAACATATTGTCTGTAAACATAAATGGAATGACGGGGACGGGTCGTGGTGGTGAGGGTACAAGCGCGTGAGAGTAAGTGCTGTCACTGCTGTGGGCGTATATATAATCATGATCAAATCAGATCTCCCACACGAGCTCGATTTTGAACTGAATCCATTCGACAACAAGACCTCCAATGACTTATATTTTCCAGAACTCGAGGGCGACTCGGCCTTGCTCGAAGGAGTATCCGTAGTTTCCCGATTCGGCGGATTCGGCTGTCAAACGGCACTCTTCCACCGCCCCTCGCAGCTCGTCTACAGCACCTCGAGCTTTCGCCAGATCGCCAACCCTTCCTCCATCGAGCTCTTCCCGCGAACTCTGAACGGCCTGACTAATGTCCGTGTCGATCGACGCCAGAAGTTCCTCGAGATGGCTTCCGTCGTCCCACAGAACTCCTCGGCTCCCCCTCACTACCACGGCAAGCAATCTCAGACTTGCGAATCCCAGCCCGGCTCCGTACAATGTACGTATTCGAGATAGAACCTTCGCCAACTCCGGAGTAGGAAGTTTGATGCCGTCCTCCGGCCGGATGGTAAATAGCTCCTCGGGTGCTGGCGGTACCACGGCCTTCGTTTGCAACAGTCGAGCACGGGCTGTGGCCGTTAACGTCGTAGAGACGCCCGAGGTGCCTGCCGCCAGCGTGCCTCGCACAATCGCACGCAGGCTATCGCATGAGGTGGCGTTATCGCGCTCGTTTGTCAGTTACGAATATTCGTAGCAGCTTAGGACCCACTCTTCAGGACTTGCATTTGCTATGAATGTATCCATCATCAGATCTCTACGTGTGGGTCAGGACGGGAAGGCGTGCAAATGGTGGGAGAGATACTAACATATGATTAAGGCCTGGACGTGCTATGCCGTAATAAGCAGTTGTCGGTACAGTCATGATCAGCGCCCGTGGTCTATGAGGATATCGACCGTGTCGATATCGCCAGCTCTATACAGTGAGGGTATATATATATGCTGAGTACGGTAAGCTCTGATGTATAGATCACGACCCATCGTTCTAGCGGTACGTTCATGACGCCCGTAATTGTTCTCATTCTCATGCTGCTCGCCGATAGCAAGATCACGCCGCCATATCCCCAAGCCCACCGGCCATTGGCTATGAGCCCGTATACTCCAAGACTACATGACATAAGGCATCGCCGTTGGTCAGAAGCAGAGAATTTGTCGTCGTGTCTGTGTCTAACAAGCACGCGGTCACCTGGCGTGGACGCCACGGGCACCGTGGTGGCGGCGTGAGTTGCCGTTGCAGCCAGTCGCGGAAGGCCGACTATGAAATAGACCAATCTTCATGGGAGAAGCATGGTTTGTAGGTGCATGTTTCCTCGGAGGCCTCTCGTCTCCGGCAGAAGTTGATCGGCGACAAGAACTCCCGGAGGGTCCGGAGGTTAACTTTAGTCTGGTGCGGTCATGAGCCACATCATCAGGCCCGTTGGTTGATATTGACGTACCTCCAGACTAGGACCAGAGTGCTCGTCGTGTGATTGCCGTGTGATCGCCTGTCTAGTGGTGGCAGCTCTCATTACCTTTGCGCAAAACTAACGACACCGTAAAGCGACGTCGGAGTGCTTGCCATGTTCAAGATCTAGACAATGGTATAAGGCAGTTTCAAATCGGACTCTGTTTTGCTTAGTGTGCGACTGTATACATACTGCCTTGGTTGCGGTGGGCGGCCACGAACACGGAAAGACTGCTCCGTCGAAGTCATGCATTCGGCGGCGAGTAGTCAAGATGCCGCGCCTTGATGGGCAGATCTAGATGTGCATCGCCTGAATCAGACGCACAATCTTGTCGCGGGAGAAGTCTCGTAAATGGTTACACCGACAGGATAGCCACTGGGAACCAAGAACCTTGTATGCATTCGAGAAGCTGCGAACACATGACGATATTAACGCAAGAGTACTGTACTGAGCGCAGAGTCGGTATGGACTGTAGATCCTAATGATACAACATGTGAGCACGATATTGTCGTATGAGATGAATCCTATAAGTCCGTGAATCTAATGTGGAGATTGCAAGGCATGCGTGATTAGAGCTTGCTAACAGACGACGTGAACGAGTTGAGACGCTGTATCGGTTGTAATTTCCTCTTCACATCTCGCAGAATGGATGTCTTAGGTTGCCAGTCGTCGAATGCATCACGGAGCTGCGCGAACTCCTGCGCAAAGAAGTGGGCAACCCGCTCGTCCGCAATCATGTCGCGGAGCGCCCACGGGATCTAACGTAGTGAGCGAGGGAGCGGTTAGTTGTTGACACCGCGTCTCTACGAGAAGGAACGTCACCTCATAATCGTTCTGCTCCACGACAGCATTGAATGGTCCAACAGAAAGGCCGGAATCTTCGCTCTCACCATCTGTCGTCAGGAAGAAGTATTTCACAGCCAGACTGGACCGCGGCTATGAATAGACCGCCAAGACATTGTCATAGTACCACTTACGAGAATGTGGCAGGCTCCTCGTAGACAGATGAATGGCCTACGCCACTGAGCGTTCCAGCCGTTGCTTCGGAAAGATGGTTGAGTAAACCACCATCAGACAATCCAGAGTTCATGACTCGAATGAGGAGAGCTAGCAGGTTGGACAGAAAATCGGAGGAGCTTCGAAGACCCGCCCGATGTCATTGAAAGTTGAGTCAAATTGATAAATGGGCGGCTTACTGATATGCATCACCGTCAATATACAGGGCGCGTAAGATACGCGGATGGGAAGCGGCGGTGAAAAGCCCAGAATAGATCGGAACAACTTGGTCGTTGAGCGATGCAATGTATACGGTTTTGGTCTGATATGTATTAGCTCCGTGATAGGATCACGAGTACTAGCGACTCACGCCATGATCCATCACGTTCCGTAGAGCCCTTGTATAATTCTTGGACAGTCGCGATTCTGTGTTCTTCGGGGCATCTGTGAGTGATATTCGAAGGCGACCAGGGGATCTCTCACCTGGAACTCGAATAATTCGCGGGCGGCAGCATTCTCAAAATACTACGCATAGGAAGTAAAAGCCAAAATTGGCAACACCGGTGATTTGATACATACCTGGATATACGGCTGGAGTAAACTGCTTGTTCCAAGATATCGTAAAGGTCCTAAATGAATGCCACAGAGCGCCAAGAAGCAGACTCGCTGGGCCTGAGTGATTGCAATCGCAGGACCTCCTGGAGCTATGGAGGCAGCAGTCTTTGCAATAGTGGTCACACTGCGGGATGTGAGGATGTGGCCGTCTCGCAGCAGCCTATCAACGAGATGTGTCGCAATAATGCATCCCTGGGAATGGCTCGCAACGAAAATTACGTCGGCAGCGTGAAGGTCCTCCATCCAATCGTCATCCGAAAGCAAGTGGTCATGAACCCTGAGTGACCAAAGCTTGTATCACCTGTCTGGTGACGCGAAACTCTAAACTTACTTCGACACTTTCCGCTCAATTGTGCCGTCGCCTTCAAGCGGGATCTTGGTGATCTTCTTGAACTTGAAGCCATGCTCCTGCTCGAACTGCTCCAACGCTTGACATGTCATCTCGACGAATTTCTTGCTCGAAGAAGGCAGCTACGGCAGAGAATATAAGAGATCTGGGTGCCGTGAAAACTACAAGAGCAACTCACTCCGCCGCCAAGGGTCCTCGTGACGGCCCCTGAGTGGCGCAGGTTAGTGTACAGCACGCTGCACGCTCACTCTTAACTCACCGGGCGACCAGCCTGCTACCCCAATGACGGCTACTCTACAGCCCCCGTTGAGTAAGTATGGATCCAAGTGACTCTCTACAACATTGAGAGCTTTCGGTAACTCCTTGCCAAAGAGCATGAAATCTGTCGTCTTCTCCTTCTCCTTGCCCTTCCCTTTGCTATCCCGGTCTTCTTGATTAAACAATACACCGCTGACCAGCGAGGAGAATTTAGAGAGCTTTGACTTCCCCGACGGCGGCTTCGGAGGAACATTGGAGCGGGGCGGAGACAAAAATGTATCCTCCCACGTCGGCAGAACCAGATTGCGGGGAGAAGGGCGAGGAGAGGTTGCAATGGATATCTTGGAAGTATTCGAGGGCGCCGGAGAGGGTGGCCGAGCATTGACATGTTTGAAGGCTTCACCGCTCCTCACATCTCGTCTGGTTGATGCAGATGAGGGGGGAAGAGCGGCACTCTTGTCGTCTTGTACAGTAGGAGAGAGAGGGTGTTTCGACGGAGACGAAGCCACCACTTGGCGCTGAGTAGCTTGGGGATCTGTGGTAATAGTCACAGCTGCGGAGGAACTGTCCTGCTGGTCGTCTACGTTCATCACTTCCATGCCATTCTCGTCCCTCTCCGTCCCGGTATCTGTCACAGTCTTTGTCAACAGCGCCCGAGTCATCAGGAAGCTCATCCAGCCCGAAGGATTCGATGTTATCGACGATTCTATGGGGTTTCGCGACTGGTCCACAGGCGAGACTAGCTTCTCCTCGGGTGCGGGACTAGAGCCGGTGGTAACAGTGACTGTTGGAGGCTCCGGAAGTGATTCTTCCCTGGCAAGCGCGCGCTCCTTGATCATCTCCGCATCCGTTTTTACAGACTCGACCGGGAGAGGGGCATCAATGGACGCCGGATCCTGCGGACTGGAAGGTGTGGATTGGCCAGCGTCCTTCGGAGATGGGCGCGCTGACATTGGATACCATGCCCACGGAGAGTACCATGTCGAGCCATGACTCTTCGCCGTCTCCGCCGAAAAGATGGACGACGGCTTGTGGTCAGATCCCGACGTACTTTGTGATATATGCTCGGGAACAATGGTCTCCGGGGGCTCGCTCCGCGCTTCCAACACAGGGTTAGTGTCCGCCGCCACCGAATGCGCAGGTGGTTGAGATGCTAAGGGCTCCTGCGAAGGCTCGGGTGGTTGCAAAGACGCTGTGGCAGCAATGTCATCAGGCTGCGCCTGCACACTCTCGCCCCTCTGTGTCTCAGCGTCCGCCTCATGCTCCTCGTGAACATGCTGCGAACCACGACTCCACCCAACATAATCCCACCACGATGCAGCCTTGGAATCTTGCGCTTGTTGAACGCTCGGTGTCTTCTCGTTCTCCGATGAGGACACGCTCTTGATAGCCTCAGAAGGAGCGGACACCTCGGCTGTATCTGGGACAGATATCGCCGACGCTTCCGGACCTTGAGGTGGTACTGACTGTGGTGATGAGGTATCGCCCTGAACTTGGGCTAGCGAAGATGTTTCTGGCGCTGTGTGGTGTTAAAAGGCCGTTCAACAATCACAATTTGATGCTCACCCAGATACTTGGCGGCCGCATCTGCTTGGCCACGTGGTCCTTGAACGGACGGTCCGCTCTGATTATCGATGGAACTAGGAACTGCTTGTTGTAAAGGCACTTTTGGCCTTCCTAACAGTGGCATTCGAAGAGAGAATCTACTGGTCGACGGATTCAATGTCGTTACGGACGGTTTCCTTCCCATGGTGACCGCCTCCTCGCTCTGGCTCTGTACCACAGCGGTTACTGGCGGGCTGCTGCAGGAGGACGGCACAACTGTCCGTGGCCGTGGTACCTCCTCATCTACGGATGAGACAGATGGTGACACGACGATGTGAGACTCCGTGGCGAACATCAGTGCCACCTGAGGCTGGGGAAGAAGCGAAGCTGTGATTGGAGACGCAGGTGATGAGTTGGACGACGGCTGGGACGGCCGTGGGATCGACCGCGTAGGGGTAGGGTCGGACAGCTGTGGTACCTCTATCGCGGAATCTCCGGAGTTAGAAGCTGAAAATACATCGGGTACGGGTGGAGGCTTTGAGGGTGGGTTGGCCATGATGTTTTGCTCCCTACCACGCGCCCGGGAGAACGAGCTGAACCAAGATGTACGAGACGACTTCTGCTTCACCTGAGGTTGTGAGGGTTCAGACTCAGTACTCGGAAATGGTACTGAATCCTCAGGCTGAGGCTGTAATGATTCTGGTGAAGACGCCAGTGGTCCATTGGCTTGCGGTTGGAGTGACTCCGGCGACAAATCCTGTGATGTAGGTAGCACTGTGAAAGTTACAGTTGACGTGTCCACTCGATACGTTACCACTATGAGACATGTGACGCACAAATTCGCTCGTGAAACCCTCTCTCATGGCTTGCAGTCTCAGCAGAGTGGTCTGCCCCAGAGCTGTCCGCTTGCGGCGCTGCATTTTGTGACTCTGCAAGTACTAGGCGTAATCATAGGTTAGTATATGCGTATATACGGAGGCCAAATCCCCACCTTCTTGTTCTGATTCCGGGAAATGTCTGAGTATAGCTATACCTTGGGAAGCATTTGTAGTCACACCTGTGATTGAACCCGTTCTCGACCGCTTCCTGTCCGTACCCTCCCAGCTATTCGTTCCGCCCATTGAGCTGGATTTAATCCGTTCACGCTTCTTGGAAACTGTGTTTCCTCCTGCGTTCGAACTATCGTCGGGAGCTAATGCGGGCAATTGGTCGATCGCCGACCGCAGTCTCGAACCAGGCTCTGGTTGTGCAAAAACAAGAGAGATGCTAGCAGGCTGTTGAGTTTTAGATGTCGATAGGGTCCGTCTCCACCTCGGTACCAAATATTCTGTCGAGCGGCGTTCAGAACTAGTTGAGCTCGACATGAAGGACGATGGACAGCATGATGGCACAGTCGCCGACTGGGGTGTGGTAGACTGACGTATTAGGGTGCGGGCGCTCTAGATTAGATTAGATTCCGCGGATATTGAATCGGCGGCCCAAGCCTCCAGCTCCAGTTTGATGTAGATTGTGCGTAGATTGTGCTATGAAGACATGATTCATATTGTTCTCGCGTTAAAATATGTAGCACCTCTCATATTCTGCCGAAGTGTCCTCAAGACTAAAAACGAAACACATTCATCATAGTATGACGTCGCGAAGCCGTACATACACCGCACGGTAAGCATGAATATATATAGAATCCAGACTGATGCCTTGATTTTAGTGTGGAGGCTTCTTGATGATTAAGTGGAAATTGTAGATGTCGCGGAGTTGCAAATAGCCTAAGCAGGCATAGAAGTAGTCGTACCTTCCACGTTCGACCCCTGGGTGCATTCTCATTTGAAAGACTAAAGTACAATTCCTCATCGCGCTGTCGACATTAGTTACATAGCGAACGTCTCCGTGTGTAGACCAACTCCGCCAATCTCCAGACCTCTCGTCAGCGCAACCTTCGCAGCCGCATTTCGAGTCTCCGTTGTCAGAGACTCCGGACCCGCGGCGCAAACTGCCACGCCGCCCCCAAGACCCGACCAGTTCAGCTTTGCCTTCAATGAGGAGTTCCCATCGTTGTCGTCTGCGCCGTTGTCTGAAGGTGGCGTTACAAGCTCCTGTAGCAAAGTGGCGACGGATGGCCGAAGAATGCAGACGTCGGAGTTGGGGATCAGCGGTACGGCTTCTGGATTGCACAGACAGGTCACGAATATGGAGATATGCAGGTCCAGCGACGTGTTTGCAACCGTATGGGCGAGGTCCATGAGTATGGGCGCATACCATTCGATGCAGCCTGATACGTGTCGGTTAGTGAGCAACACAGCTCCCCATATCAATGTCATAAACTGACCATAGGACCGGACACACCACACGAATTCAATGCGTGTCGTCTTCTCTCCACCCGGCCGACCAAGTTTGACACACCTCGTCACAATATCATCCAACAGACTGAGCGTGAAACTCGCGCCGGAACCGCCCGCCAGTAGCATGGCGCTCTCGTATCTGCCGAGGTCGACGCTGCACCCCCCGTAAGGGCCGTCCAGCATGACATGCACAGGCACGCCGTCCGGCGCCCCCTTCTCGTTGCCCTTCAAGCTGGCCCGCTCGCGCAGCGCGTAATCGTTCAGCGCGCGCGTCCAATCGCCCTTGACGCGCGCGGCAAGGATAAGCGAACCGCTCGAAACCGATGACGTGGATGAGGGTGCATTGACAATCGTCAATGGGTGAGACTCAAAAATTCGCCCAGAGAAGAAGACACGAAGGCGGACGTGTTGACCGGTTTGCCACCCCTCGTGACAGTCATGAACGTGTATCTGACTCAGAAATATGAGATGAGCTCATCCCATTGTGCAACAGATACGCACGAGGGTCATGTTGCTGTCAACAGGAACAAGGGTTGCGTCTTTGACACGGTACCGGAACATGCGCAGCAGGATATCCAAGCCATAGAACGCGAGAGGCGGGAATATCCAGGGCGGTGCGTACGGCGTGTGGTAGCAAATAGTGACGAAAAATGCGACGTAACCAAGTATACTAGTTAATAGGGTAAGTAAGGCAAGCACTGTTCATGCTGTGATGAACTCACTGAGTGACGAAGAACGCTTGGTAGAGATAGCGCCTGACCGGCCTCAGGGACGTCAGGAAGAGACCACAGAGAACACCAAGTGCTGCGACGCCAGAGGTTTCCTTCTGCTGACCAATAATAGGAATATTGTATACTAGGTGGTTGCGAATCCAAAGCGACCCGTGGATCAAGGCCCCTATAAGCATGCCGCGGCCAGCCCAACGGTGTATATAATTCAGCCTTTCATAGCCGTTCCCGGGACCTAAAAGAAGCGACATTATAGAGTTCTTGGTCGCGAACAGAAAAACGACCGGGAACTGGGCCAGGGCCATGAATCCTGTACACGTAAATCAATTGACTGTGGGTCTCCTACGAGCAGCGCTGACAACTTACCACCCCTGTTTGGGTAAGTAATCAGGGAGACATCTCTAATGATGCATATAAGCAGGAGTACGAGATACCCGGCAATGAGCAGCACTGTAAAGAACATCAGCGTCATTCACTTGACACCAAAAACGGAAAGTCACGGACTCTGTCCCAATGTCAGTTCAATAGCCGGGAGGCTCCACCAAGACAGAGACGCGAGCATCTCCACGATGGCAGAAATTCTCCTCCGGCCTTGTACGGGACTCGTCTCTGGCGAGGCGACGGGTTTGTACCGCGCCCCGCCGATACGTTCAGAGACGCCGAAAAAGCCGCGAAATAATCGACCGCTCCTTAACGCCAAAATAACAGAGGGCAGCGAGACAAGAATAGCGACGCCGGCGGCGGTCGCCCACACCGTGGAGAAGGTGCGCTGCCATTTCGGATCCACGACATAGGAGCTGTTTATGGCGTGAGTACGAGAAGCGATGGGATCGCCGGGAACGACGGCTCGACTCACTTATATTGCTGCGCAGCGGTAGGTAACGATGGGGGTGTACCAAACGACATGGCTTGGAAATCGTGGATTTTATGAACCTGAACGATATTCCAGAGCAATGGCTCGTCGTCGAGAGGACGGAAGGGGCAACGTCCTGGGGCACAGTTCTGATATTGTGGCAGGTAGCTATTTGTCCCGGGACAAATGATGGTGAAAGAACTTTTCCACCCCGATCAGCGATCTTATCTCCCCTATCTAATCCATGTATTGTCGGACCCTATACAGTTCTATGTGATACTCAAGCTACACCCTGCGGCGTCGTTCGGGAGGTGTAGTGCACACGTACAGCAAACGTGAATGTGCTACGAGAACTGCGGTATAGCGCAGGCAAGCTGCATTCACCGAATCTCATACGCAGGCCCAACATGGAAGGAATGTTACCGACCGCATACCATGCGATTGCAATTGTCAGAGACTGACAGGACCCGGACTGCGCCACACAGCGTGCCGCCACATCATGACCACCTCAATTCTCAAATCCGCGGACTTAGAGTTGCTAGTAGGCACCAGCACCCACCGCCTCCTGCTACCAGAACGGTCCAAACCACCCGAGTCCACACGAAACAAGTATCCAGATACCCACGACCGCCTGACAAGTTCTCAATCCGTGCAAGGAACGTCTCATCAGTATGTCGTACATCAGTCCAACTACATGAAGCATTCCGTTATCCACTGCCAGCCCACCGCCGCCTAGACCAAATGCAGCGCCGAGTGGCTCGTGTACCGCCCAAAGAGCATTTCTCCAACGCCAAGCCCAACGATAAGCGCGAAGATGAAGCCAAGCTGAAACGTCCTGTGGGAGCGGATATCAGATAGGCCCATTGGCACTGAGTAGAATGGAGGAATCCGGAAGAAGGCAACGCACATGACCGCAAGCATGAAAGAGAAGTTCAGCAACGACTGCGCCATGTAGACCACGCCTCGGGGCAAATCGTGTGCAAACATGAAGGGCGGGAATGTGCGCAGAGTAGTACGATCAGGGAGCGACGCGATGGAGACCGCTGTTGATGGCGACTTTGAGTCGGATGAACTGTACGCGACCGGGAGGCCGGCTGCGTTCTTTTCTTGCATAGCGACGCGCGCACTGCAACGAAACGTGATTAGTGATATTTCGACAAAGAGGCAGCGACGACGCCGTCCGAATGCAACACAGACTCACCTCCTGCGCCAATGCAGCTCCATCACGGCTCGGCCAGCAGCAATCCACCTCTCAATCATTGCCAGTAAAAATAGGCCGATGCAAGCCCCCACCATTGCGCCCGAGCTCGACGGTACCCATCCCAAGAACCACAGCGTGTCTCCAGGCGTGAAGTGCAGATACGGTAACATCTCCCCCTGGGCGAGATTCATAGACGAGTCCATCGACATGTCCATCCCGTTACTGGATGCAGCGACGAGAGGCACAAGTGCAATGCAGACCGCGAGCAAAAACATGGGGGTTGTGAACTTCATGTTGCGGGAGGGCGGGAAATAAACTTGGCTGGTTCTGGGTTAAGATGAAGAGTCGCTCGCATTTAGATTATGTAAGCTGCGCAAATAAAAGCAAACAGGACGGTGGCGCGTAGGCATTCCAGGGATAATATCCTTAGCCGCTTTGAAGACAGGTGCATATTAATCGCAGGCTCACCATGGTTGTGTGCCTCGCATATATCCAAGTAAAGTGTGCAGTAAAACAGAGAAATCGACCGCTTACCTCCATCTGAGGGCGCAGACACATGCTAGACTGAACAGGCGCTAGACTATGCCCCGAGAGGACCAACGTGATGCGCCAATTAACAAGTAGTCCCCGAGTCAGATGCAGTTGAAGCGCAAACACCCATCACCGCAATCATGAGGCGTATCACAGAGATAGATCAAGATAGCTAGAACATGGGGGATGCCGTGAACCAGTCAAGAGATAGAACCGGATATTGGAGGCCAATTGCGGGCGCAGGATTATTTTGAAGAGCTAAGCGCATACAGTAGAACCGGGACGAAGTGGAGCTTAAGTGGCCTTGTGGTTCCTTTTCCAGTGCACCGGATGTTTACTGCCAGAAGTGGGGGACGCCGACAAAGGCCATAAGGTATATCATAAAACCAGCTGTGTTTGTATCGAGGAACCCTGAGACTTCCGACAGACCAGCCGTCCTGCGAGTGGGGATACTATAGCCCAGAGATCATCTGCCATCCTTCTAGTGACTAGAACAGGGGCAGCACATGAACGCTGCCATTCAGCGACAAGCATGATCGCCATCGTGAGGTGGTTAGGAACTGCGGAAGGCGTGTTAGCTATTAAACGAAGCCGAGGACGTCGAGCTGCGTGAGGATACCTCCCACTCGACGATCCTCGCCTTCCGGACCGCTACCTTGGAGCACGAAGATCTACATCCATTGAGCTTGTCAACAATAGCCAGACACATGCACCATAGCTGTTCGCGGACGCGCAGTCTTCGCAAAACGTCCGTAGCCACGACTTTTGAGGGATAGCGGCGCCGAGACCGATGTTAGTGGCAGACAGCAAGAAAGTTAAAAGCCGAGTCAAGGAGTTTGCAGGCGTTGATCGAAAAGTCGAGGGAGACGTTAGGAGGAGGAAGGACCTGGCAGGACGTGGTTATGCATGAGCCATTTGTGCGAGGCGCGCTGAGCCAATTCTGTGATTGGCCAGCTTTTTTCGGAGTCTGAAAATGAGGTCCGGGCCGGTATTCCGGATGTCTGACGACAGCATCTACAGCCACTTCCCTCAGCAGCCAATCTTGCGAGACTATGGCGACGTTTCTGCATAGTTTAGGTTTATATCATATAAAGCTGTACAGCCAAGTGCTACAGCTAGTATCCCGTCTGTCTGGCCTCTTCTGATCATCATGCATCCACCTAGATAAAGTTCTGCGTGTGACACGGCGGAAACATGGAAGAAGTGCTAAAGAACTGCTCAACTTCTGTCTTCGTGTGCTTTGCATGGTAGACTCTTCATCTTTTATAGGGTTCAATTCAGTCCGTGGGTCAACTGGGTGCTCACAGAACCTCCGGAGCTGGTGCGTTCCTGACGGTTTTTGTTTATTGGTGGCGTATCGTTGCTGATCGACACATAGGGCTCCCACATTGCGACGCCTTTACTGAAGCCAAAAGTCGCCGTCGATGTAACCATGCCGCCGGTCCCGAGACTACCATGACCAGGCCTGTCCCAGCGACTGCGCAAGTCCAGGCAAATACCCACAGTGACTCGTCTGAGAACAAAATACGTCATTGTGTCAGATGTCGTGTGGTTCAGACAATCACGATACAGTCGGCGCAGTGAGAACCGCTTGGTCAGTCCTCCTAGCGTAGGCGTTTCTCTGAAAGGTAGCTCTGTCGTCAAGAGGCAAGTCATTCAAGGCGGGGCCGAAGTGTCAACACGCATATGCGCGGATGACTCTCCTGCCTTCTCCCTGACAACTGCAATCGTGAGCGCTCGCATCGCGGGGAACTGACAGGTGAAAGTCGAGAAGCGTGATGTGTATATAGCACGACTGTGTGGCCTGCCAACTGCGCCATCCCCAATAGTCATATACGAGGTCATCACCATGCCTTCCTACGCAATTATTGGTGCTTCGCGTGGTATTGGATTGGAAATGGTTCGCCAGCTGGTACGTGCTGCTGTCTTATGATCAGGACCTAACGCTTGCTCACTTGCCATGTCAGGCTGCGCACCCTGAAAATACAGTCTTCGCTGTGGTACGCAACGCCGATACATCCACTCATCTCGTGGATTTCCTGGCAGGCGGCGAGCGGAAGAACGTGCATGTGCTGGAAGGCGACATCATAGACCCAGCCGCAACGAAGGCGAGTTGCTACGTCGAAAGTACAATCATGTCGCTGAGCACGTAGCGCGATAGGCTGCGGCTGCGAAAGTTGCAGGCATCAGCGGGGGTGCTCTTGATGTCCTTATCCATAACGCCGCGCACCTGAACATGGCTACAATGTACAGAGGCTTCCTCGATTAGTGAGCCGCTCTTTCACATCGCGATCGAACTCTGAACAACGTCGCTCAGCGAGGACGACGATGCCCTAGACAAGGACTTTATGGACTATGTGAGTCCACCACCCGTACTCCGGCTCCCTGATTGCCCGACTGACACACGTCGGGGTGACAGTTCAAAGCAAACGCGCTCGGAATTGTGCATTCCATGAACGCTTTTCTGCCTCTCCTGCGCAATGGCTCCGCGAAGAAGGTTGCAGTACTCAGCTCTCCTGTCGGGCAGCGGGAGCTCGTGTGGAACATGCACATGTCGGCTGCGGCGGTATACGGGACCTCGAAGGCCGCCGCGGACATGGTTCTAACTAAATACGCTGTAATGCTGGAGGGAGAGGGATTCATCATCACAGGCATAATTCCCGGCTTAGTCGATACCACTGACACTGCCACTGACATCAGTGAGTTTGTCCTGTCGCATTCACAGAGTGGGCGAAGAACTGACCCATTCGCAGCTCTTGCGAAGGCTACACTGGAAAAGGTGCTAGCTAAAATGGGAGGGGGGATTCAAGCGCAGCGCCGAAGCCATTGACTGTCGAAGTGGGGGCACGGCGAATTTTGGAAGCTGTAGGCTCCCTGCAGCCTGCTGATGCTGGAAAGTTCAAGCCGGCATAAATGCAAGCTCGCAAGCCAGCGAGGGAGAACCGCTGTATACGCTCTGAAGTGGAGCATGTGTTGTCTCATGTACTACAATATTGTAACCAGCCATTCACACTATGTGCCGCTGAATCTCTAAGTCAGCCATCCTGTCAAGCATAATTTCTCGAATGTTCCTCCGGATGTTATCGTGAATCTTTGGACCGTAAATGATTGCAGAAGACATCGACAGGTTTCGTTCAGCAGATCTAAGTTGTCTGTCGCAATGTGAATATATAAGCGCTCATGTGAGACATTCGTAATAGGCGCCGGTGTATGCGCACGGACAAAGGTTATGGGCTCTCTTAGCTTAATGCAGTCAACAACAGCCCCGAGCCGTACGGCATTGCCAGTGGTCTATCGTTCATCTCTGTTTCTTGCATAAGTCTCGGGATTTGCTATTGAACAAGGGCAGGTGGCGAAGTGGTCATCGCTGGTCAGTTACACAATTCTGTTGTTCTGTTATTGCCGAGTAAGGGAAAGCACAGTCACTCGTGGGCAGTGCCTCGATACTTGTAACCTTCTCAGCTCAAGGAAATTCTTGTCTGACGAAGGATATAGATGAAGACGGCCTCTCACGATATTGTCTGCTTCTAGCCACGAACCCCAAGGTCAAAAGGCGATGGCACGGCCCTTGCCAAGCCCACTCATTCCTCTCCCAGCGAACTCTTCGAGCACCGCGGGCGTCGCCTCCAATGAAGACCTCTTCTCGACCTTATTTTCTCCCCCCACGCCTCGGGCATCGCCCGTACCCACTCCTCCCAATCACCGCGCAGGGCGCCCATCGATCTCGAAGCCGCACGCAAGGACACACTCAACAGCCTCTACAGACTCGGACTTTGGGGCGTTTGTATCTGTACCCGCGACTGAGGATCCGCTACAAGACTCCGGATCTGCCTCGCATATGACCCCGTTTTCTCCGATTCAGAACATCGAGTTCTTCGATCGATTCACGGAGGACGCGAAGGCGGCCACGGAGAAGAGCAAGCGCGGTCTGCTCGACGAGCTTCTGAGGAACGAGGACGATCCACTGGCCTTCTTGCAGAACGTTTCGAGCACAAGCTCTACGCGCACGACGACCCCTGTCCCTTCGTCTTCGCGCACACCGCCCCCAGACGGGGACCCACGACCTGCTCAAGAACAGACCCTCGTCGATCTTTCTCCCGAATTTCCCCTTCCCGAGGTTCGCCAATCACGTCATGGGGCGCGCCAGCAGAGCAGGTCTGAACACAGCAGTGCTCCTCTACGCTCGCCGTCCCTCCCGCCCTCCTCGCCAACGCGCATATCTAACCCCGAAGTGCAACGTGCACAATCGTCCTTTTTCACACCCACATCGCTTCCCTCGCGCTGGGTCTCTTCTTTCCTTTCGTCAGCTGTAAGGCCCGTTCCACACGTGAGAGCGTCTACCGAGACTCTGCGCCATGATGAAGAGCATACAGTACATCAACCTGGCGCACACCACACAACCACGTTACCAACAGCATTGCCCTCGCAGGTGTTGGGCACGATCAGTAAGGCAGCATCCGGCGCGGCTGATGCGGCCATCACGCATGGGTCTCCGTTCGCCTCGCAACCGTTCGTGCCCGCAAGCGGCGCGCCGGGCTTCGGGGGCGACAGAGAGTGGAATAAGGGCTTCGAGTTTGACAAGGCGAACGTGGAGAAGATCAGTGTGCGGTTAGTCGGGCGACGGGAGATTACGACGCCCGTGCTAACGGTTGAGCTGGCGGATATGGTGAGCAACGGTCGCTGAATGTGAAGAACTCACTTCCCTGACTAGAGAGTTTCCAGCTACGCCCACACTTCCCTGCTTTGGCGCGTCTACCTCGATCGTGGTCCTTGTTGTACAGTCTAGACCAGCACGGCATCTCATTGAACACCCTCTACGCCCGCTGCCAGAGTCATACGCGCGGCACGTTGGTCATTATGCGCGATTCTGGCGACGCGGTCTTCGGTGCATGGATGGGCGAGGGGATCCACCAGTCAAAGGGATCATACTATGGAAGCGGGGAGTCGTGCGTGCACCTTATCTCCCTGCCCTATAAATATGCTCGCTAACTGTCATCCCCTCATAGGTTCTTGTGGCGGCTGACATCCGAGAAGCGCCTGCATATATACAAATGGACAGGCAAGAACGACTACGTAGCGCTGTGCGAAACAGAGTATTTGTCCTTTGGCGGAGGGTATGTTCTTCCCACGTCCGATTAGCAGAAATGTTTGGTCTAAATGAGGTCATCATTCGCAGAGAAGGTCGTTACGGCCTATACCTCGACGATACCCTCATCGACGGCTCCTCTGCATGGTGCCCCACGTTTGGTAATGAGCCGCTATGCTCGACCGGTCCACGCCAAGGCGAAAACGTTCGCTTCGAGTGCGTCGGCCTCGAAGTGTGGGGCGTTGGCTGAGCACCGTCTTCATCAATCTGCTTCGCACATCTGCATATATATTTTGCATACGCAACGACTGACATTGCACACTCACCCTGTATATATCAGCACGCAGCACTATTGTATATCAAGGACATGTCTAAGGACCTCCCTTTCACGCATCTTCTCAGGCTGGTCGCGACCGCGTGTTTCTCTCGGGCAATCGATACCGTATAACGACTCAATTGTGTAACTATTGATGCTATCAAGATTACGTCAACAAGAACGAACGCAAAAGCAACTGGTAAGTCTCTGTTAGGCCTTCATCAACTTCGTCCATTATGTTCCTGCGAATTGGATGCATACCCGCACTTTGCGAGTCATACACGCATTCCATTGAGATACAACATCTCCATCTAAAATTTATGTCCTCCAGCAAATTTGAGGGTGCCATTGTCTGCAGGAGTCAGAGATTGTATAGCCTCCAACAGCTGATGTACTCCGGCCTCCAATTTCATAGGCGTGGTGTCGAAGTTTGGGTTTGCCTTCTTTAATTTCTCCATCCGACGCCCCAATGTTGCGATAGTCTCCTCATCGGCTGCAGGCGCGTAGCAGACGTCAGTGAAGTCCCTTCCCATGAACGTGATTACTACTTACGTGCATCAATAGCAGTGGCACTCGTGTCGACCAAACCAGGAAGGAGACCTGTCACGATGAAGTTTTCGTCTTCAAGGAGTACCGCGTACTTCGTGACGATCAGGTCAGCGGCGGCCTTCGATGCACCATATGCCACGCCTGTCTCGATGCGTAGCTTCCATGTGAAGTCGAGGTGCCCCATACTGGTGCCGATAACGACTATCTTCTTTGCAGAGCCCTTGCGGAGCAGCGGAAGAAATGCGTTGACGGAATGTACCACTCCGAGGGCATTTGCCTTGAACTATGTTCCGCCTGAGCATTAGCATGATCGGCGCATCTCAAGACCATGGGTGTCTCACGTTCTCCAAGAAGTCTTTGTCTAGCTCGCCACCATCCGGACTGGATAAGACGTTGTTAGTCCAAGCTTTGGCGTCGATTACTAAGTGAGCGGTTGTACTAATCAAAGAATCCTCGGTGCACGGTGCTGTGAGGCTGACGTGAAGCATTGTGTATCAAGACATCCACAGCTCCATTGCCAATCCCAGAGACATTCTCTGCAGCTTTCTGGGCGTTTGATGAGTATTGCACCCCCTCCACAAACCAGATTGCTAACCTTCATTGCGGCATCGTCGACAACGTCGGCTTGGAGAACGTGTACATTCTGACGTCCGCCATTGGCAACAAATTCAGCAAGATACTTTGACGCGCTGATGTTTCGTACGACCGCGACCACGGTGTTCTGAGGCTCAGTGGCCTATATATATGAGGTGAGCTATGAACGCTCTAGCTCAGGAAGAGTATCCTGCCAGCTGGCGGACTATTTCCAGTCCTATACCACGCGAAGCACCTATAATCACGTATGTTGGCATTGTAACAGGGTCTTGTTGGGGGAGAGGTTGCAATGGGATTGTTCGATAACTACAGTACAACCTACATACTTGGTGCGTTTTTATTGACCTCTACTAGAGGGGCGCGCGTCCTTGCCGCGACGACGCGCAAGCCGATCAATGTTGTCTAGTGCATCTGTCATATGTCGCACAACATATCGGACAGGTGATGAATCTTGACATCTTCTTTGCAGGCCAATACTATTTCATCAGGTTTAGCCAATAACCTTAACAAGGTTGCTGCGGTCTGAATGAATATACTGGCAAATACCCCGCCCTAGGTTTGTAGGAGTATGTTGTCACGACATGGTCACAATGACAAAGCTGACCACGACTGATGATCATAGTGAAAGCCAACACGCATTAAGTACTTCCAGCATCATGTCTCTGAGCATACAGATATCACGGCTCGGGGGAAAGTCGCCTTAGCGGTCTAGTGCCTCGTGGACATCGTGCAACATACGTCAGATCAGGACTTGCACCGTGATACGGAGTATGTTGCTTCTTTAACGTAAAAGAGATACTGAGGATTTCTAGATGGATACTTCTACAGGTCGCCGCAGGCTTAGTATAAGATATACTGAGCAGCGTCCGCCGCGGGCGTGAGACGACTTTGTTCGCTCTATATTTTATGTTGAAGGTCGGCACATCTAAGGTCATTTGAGTGCCTCGTGCTAAGCTTCTCAGATGCTCTTTGATGGAAGGAGAGGGATGGGGCGCTCATTACAGTCCCAGTGAGTTGTAATTTTATTACATCTATTCGTCATATAGGAGCTACATGCACTGTTCGACAGCGTGGGGGAAACCGCAAATAAACTCTACCCATTCCTCAGTCATCAAGGAGAGACGTTGCGCTCATCAAAGCGCGGCATGCATTAGTCTTCGTTGAATTCATCATCAACACAATGGCTCATGCTGATGCAGTGGATTTAGTAGGTGCTAGCGCGAGGGTTGTACCGCCCGTGCATCTGCCAGAACAGGGCGCGGTTCATGACGGCGAAGAGCACACTGATGAAGAGGAGGAAGAGCAGCATCGCCCAGCCGAGCCACGCGAACGCGACAAGGGCTGTCAGGAGTCGGCATGCCTCGTACTCGTGGCACCATCCGAGCTCCGCCCACATTGTCTGTACGTGGCGAGTCAGTACGTAATTACGCGGACCCATGACCTCAGGGTTGCATGGAGACGAGTCACTCACGGAGGAGATGGCGGCTCCCACGAGCCAGAGGACGAAGAGGCAGAAGAGCCCCAGCATCTCTCCGAAGAAGCTGGACAAGATGCCGTATTCAAACGTCCAACCTGGGAAGAGGATGTGTAGCCTAGAGTATGTGTATAATACAAAATCATGTTAACGCTCTCGTTATACAGATTCAGACAATCCCGTACTCACGCGAACAGCGACCATAGCAAGGATAGGCACGACGATGCCAGCAGTTCGGCGACAATGGGGTTGTAGAACGAGTGGCCCTGGTTGAGCGGGTCCCAAGGTGGGAGGTGAGTCGTGTATTCCAAGCGTGCCGCCGTCAAGCCAATCATGACGGCGGAGAACATGAACTACGTTAAGCGAATATTAGCGTTACATCGTCTTCTCTTCCCGTTCTTGTGATGTTTACTGACCAGTATGACGTAGAATGTAGTGCGGACAGCATTGATGGCTCCAATTCCGAAAGGCATCGCGCTATGTGGTCAAGGGGAGCTCACGGGTGCAGGTACCGCTGGTGGTGAAGAATCAAGCCGAGGTGAGAGCCTGTGGAGCGCATGCCTAACCTCTCTTATACCAACCGCGGAAGGGCCTGACCACCTCCCGCATGACGGCAGTGGCAACGTGGAGAGCGTTCGATGTACAATGAGCAGCCATATCGCCGCACGATAACCAGGACCCAGCGCCCATATGGCCGCGCGCGTACACGGACTACTAAACAGTCCGACGACGGCACCGGTTTCCTGTGCGCATCTACAGTCTAGGCGTCGCACACCTGGGGCTCGCAGCGCGTGGCCGAACCGCGACAGCTGCTATTTACAGCACCGAGGAGTTAGAAAGGTATCGTGTTGGGCCCCCACTCATGGTAAATGAGCGTCTTGAGGCGGTCAACTGATGTGCACGGCCTCAAGGCAGTCAGGATTAGAATCCACAGATGAAGTTCATGGTGCACGTTGCTTCAATGAGGATGGCTATTATTGTGCATTGATATGGCGGAAGAAAATGGGACGAAGCAACGAAGGAAAATGCCAGATATTATGTTCCGCCTTGAAATCCTTGTACTAGTTACGGTATAACGTCGGAAGGGTCAAAACTACATGCGCCAACACATGCACTAAGGGGGAATCGAACCCCCGGCGGGTCGACACAAGTCAAATGGCAACGACCCAGGTTACCACTACCCCATTAGTGCGAATATCGGTTGCCAGCAATTTGTGTCCATATATACGACTTCCAGTGGTCATACCGAGCGACGATTTCAGTCCATACACAGCTTTTGGATACAAAATTATACTGATACATGATACACAAGTACGTCGTACAAGGTCATCATTACAGGCACACATTAGTCGGTGGTACAATCGGCATGCAAGTGCTCAAGTCTGCATAGGATTTACGCCTCACCCGCCTTCACGCGCCGCCCCTCCTCGACCTTCGCGACACCCTTCTTCCCCTCCATCTTGCCCATCAACACCTTTGCCTCGCCCTTCATTTTGTCGAGGAAGCCCGCCTTCTTGACCTTGTCTCCATGATGCTCAGCCGGCACCCCAGCGCCGCCCTCCTCGTTGCCCTCTTTCGTCGCATCGCCTTTTGTCGCGACATCTTGCTCCTGCGGGGCTGCGCCGGTGCCCGCGGCAGGGGCATCTTTGGGTATCGGATGCAGCTGGGCCGGATGGTAGTCTGTATCATAGCCGTCGCCCTAGGGTGCAAGCAGGGTGAGTACCGTATATCTGATACCAAAACTCGTAGCGTGCTGTCTGGAGCTTTGGTGCCCGCACCTCTTCCACATCAAACAGCGCATCCGCGATGTCTACCTCTCGTCCATCCTGGTAGCCGGAATTTGCACCAACACCGATGCCATGCCACGTCGCGTTGGGCGTGCCCAACGTGTATGTGCGGGGCTGGATGTTTAGGTGCAACAAGTCCATTCGCGTCTCTTTCCCCTCGCCGTTCTCCTCGCGGACACCGCAGCTCGCACTCGAGTCGCCCTCTGAAGCAGAACGATAGCTCACCTTGCTCTCCGCCCCATGAGCCTCATGCTTGGCATCGGGTTGCGCGTTCATCCTCTTGTACCGCTCCTCGCGCTCAGACTCGTCCATCTCTGCCAGCTTTTCTCCCTTCCCGTGCGCACTCACGCCAGTATCCGCAGTTCCTGCGACCTTCTCGTCAGGTAGCACTGCAACGCCCTCCTCTCCCTTGCCTCCGACAAGTGAGCCGACGCCGCCAACCGCATCTTTGCCAGCCCGCCTCTCGCCGAGGCCGAGACTCTCATTCCCAGCCTCGTCGCCGGGTCTCGCGAGCGCCGGCTGTGCCGCATAGTCGCGCGGGTGCGTGCCGGTCGCTCCAGACGTCGCACCTGTCGTGCCAATGGGGCCACCAAACTCGTCTGGCAAGGCGGCGACGCCTGCCTCTCGATTGAGGCCTGGGAGTGAGCCGGCCCCATCCTGGTGCGTAAACGGCTGCTGACCTACCGGCTCTTGCGAAGGAAGTGAGGTGCGGGCTGTCACGGCGATTGTAGGGGTCGTCAATGCGGTGGAGGTATCAGGCGATGCTGTAGCCGGGTAAGGCGACGCCGGGTATGTGCTGGATTGAGTCATTGCGCTTTGATTCGTTGAGTTTGGGATCACCGAGCTCTGGCCATTAGAGTTGCGCTCGTCGGGGAGCTTGGTGACTCCCGCTTCTGAATACCAGCCGGGGAGCGCCCCCGCGCCCCCAACATGCTCCCGCGGCTGCGCTCCCTCAGTTTCGTTCGAGGGCAGCGAGGTCGAATGCGAGTTGTCGTGCTCTGATGCACGGACGGCGCCGTCCGTGGTGGTGCCGGCACCAGCTGTTGAGGACGGTGAGTGCGAGTGCTGGTAATTGCATGAGGTCATCACATACAAAGGTAAGACGAAATCGAGCCCACCATGCTCTTGGCAGCTGGGATATATTGTGCGGCGGCATCGGTGACGCTCTGCACAGCACTCTTTGCAGCCTGGCCGAAGGGCTGAGTGTTGGCGGCCGTGCTGCCGATGTTCTCGTCACAGGGGTATGCGCCTGGTATATCGCCGCCAGGAGTCGAGACGGCACTCTGCTGGCAAAGCCGAGGAGTCCACTGCGGGCGCGGGGTCTTCGCGCACAAAGGCGGCGGTGGTGGTAGACTTTGCCCACTCAGACGCGGGTGTGCCAGTCTCAGCGGTCAAGATGGGTGGTTGTCCAGACATGGTAGAGGTTCAAACGGTCGTAACGGTCGTAAGAGGAGTTGTGTGAATAGATGTTTATACAGTAGACGAAGGTGCGTTGCAAAGGGGTCGTGTAAGTGAAGTGAAGAAAGGACTTTGCGTCTGTTGGGTCTTTATGAGGCCGATGGACTGCGGCTGTAGTGGTGAGGGGAGTACTGACGCACCGTGTCGTCACAACGCCGGTGCAGCTCCTTCAGGCGCTAATTATGATGTCAGTGACCCCTATATGGTAGTTCTTTTTCTCGTTTCGGAAAGACTCCGCCAAATCGTGCCGTTCGTAATCAATCGTGAACCTAACAGATTAGCGGCAAAGGGGCAGTTGTATGGATGTGGGTGGTGACAAGGTATGGCGCGTACAATTGGCCTAATGAAATGATTTAACAACCCGGCCACGACCTGAAGCCAGAGCTGATAATGGGACCAGCCTAGCACGTGAGCACGGTGGTTACGATACCAAGGCGACTAACGCGAATACGATGGTATGTTGGGCGACGGGGAAGACAGCGCGCCCGAGTCCAAACTGATGAAAGACGTGATGGCAGTACGAGGAGGAGAAAGGGAGTGCAGCTGAAACCGACGTTTCCTCTATATATACAGCTTGACGCGGTGAGTGACAGGAACAGGAGGAAGAACAACATGACGTCTGAACAGCCTGAGACTGAAGGAAAGACACAATGATCGGTCGCATCTTTACCTATCGGATCAGCTCAACATTATGATGTCGAGTGTTCGCGTACCATGGGTTATGGGGAAGCCCAGTGTCGTTCCGGCGATGGTTACATAAACCCGTCTGAGAGTAACTTACTAGAAGAATAATATCGAGATAGGCGATCAAAATACGTAAGCAGGATGCCGGATTAGATGGCATGACGCTTGAATGTGCAGTATACTCCAGCATCCTTAATGATAAAATAGTTCATGTAATAAATATAGAAGCGGATTCCCCGCTGGATCTTGTGCAGTAGTCGAGGTCATGTATCTAGGACTTGTGCTAGTTAGGTTATAGGGAGCTGATTATCAGTATAAACCTCTCAAGTTTTCGACAGTCACGTGATCGTCCCGATTAATGTTCGCGCGTCCCAGACCGATCTAAGGGTTGCTTTTTAGTTGTAATACTGGTGTCTTGTTGACCTGCCACAAGTATTATATGTAGAATAGCCTGCTTATTTCAACTTATTCTGCCTGTGGCAGATCAATAAGCACCATCATAAGTAAGGAGAAGGTTTTCCTGATGCATCCTTATTTATCATCGTGGGAAGAATGCGAGGCTTGATCTTTGCCGAACATAATTGGTTCGGCCCAGAGACCAGAGACCTGGTAAACCCGGCTCTTCATTAAGCACCGTAACTTTAATCCCGCCCTGATGCCAGTCAACCTCGATCGTTGACGGAGACGTGAAATCCAACACATAAAGCTTTGAGGACCAGTGATAGTAACGTCAAAATAGCATTCATATCAATTCTGACTGTCCAACTTCGAAGGTTGGTTTTCTAGACCGGCAGAAGCATCAGTCTTCACAATTTTCTCTGGTGAAAATGCAGACCAAGTGAGAGTTGAATCTGGGCAGCTCTCGATTGGTCTGCTTTTTCACCAATGTTCCGGGACGCGGTCAGTTATGCATGCAACGGGACGGACTGGAACACGTCCGTCGCGATTATAACCAGCACACTCGTGTAAAGAAGCGCCAGCTTCCGGTTTCTTCGGGTCCACTGGCTCATTGCAAACCTGACCAGCAGTCATTCGCAAAATTAGTCGCCTCGGAGCCGGACGCGGACAGACATTGATACGGTTGCGGACACGGACACGGATATCATCCAGCTAAGACACAAATCCGAAGAGCGTGGCCTGCACCCTGCGCGTCCCTCGAACGCATAAAAGGTGTGAGTGCAATGGCTCACGATTGTTATCTCTTCTCACCCGAGAGCAGACCACCCTTGAGAGCTACACAGCTCCACCCTTCAGCCGCAGAATCGCTGTCGCACATCATGCCATACACCGATCTGCCCTCTCGCCGCTCGACGCTGGATCGCCGAGCGCAGCGCCCTGGAGGCCTGCCCACCAACCCACCGGCCGCGCGCACCCCCGCTAGGGTGCGCTTCGTCGACGGCCCCGTCTACGAGTCGCCCGACGAGTTCGGCGACGCTGAGCGCACGCGCGCCTCGTCTTTGCCTACGCCTCAGGCATTCTACGCCGCAGACCCACGCGAAGTCCAATCCACCTCCGCCATGCAGGACCCGCCGCGGGACAAGAAGCGCGTCCGGTTCTCCGCGGACACACGCTGCGACTCCGAAGACTCCGAGGACACGCTCCTCGATGCGGATACGCGCTCGAACGACGACATGTCACAGTATTCGCTGTCATCATACCGTCATCCGTATGATATCCCCGCGCCCCCCACCGCCCACGGTGGGCGCGCAGCGCCTGCTCCCAAACCCAAGTTCCGCGCCTCTTTTGAGGATGACGAGGACCTGGACGAGGATCTGGATGAGGACGTCAAGGCTGTTCTCCGCCGCTACCGTCCGTGTACGGAGGACGCTGCCCAGGCGAAGCGCAAGTGGGATAACATCCGCAACATGAACCTCTTGTTGCAGTACGGTGACGGGTCGCCTATATTCGACCCTGACGACCCCGTTATTACCGGCGTGCGCAAGGAGACTATAGGCGACGTCAGACGCGACGAAAAGGAGCGCCTTCGTCTCATGTCCTACCGCCAAAGGCGGAAGCACCTACAGCGTGCGCGGATCGAGTACAATGTCACCAGTATGCCTTTGTTCATTTGTGCATTTGCACAATGACTGATATACTTTGGCAGCTATGCAGAACCGCCAGGACTTCCTTCTCGTCCTTGGGAAGGCTCTCGTCAAGTACGCGGCGCCCTCACATCGACTCGAATCCCAGCTCCTCGCTGCCGCGCGCATCCTCGAGGTCGAGCTGCAGACCGTGCATCTCCCCACCACCATCATCGCATCCTTCGGCAACGACAGCGACGGCACGTCCGAAGTGCACGTCCTCTGCCGCAAGAGTCAGCTCGCGCTCGGTGCGCTGCACCGTGTCCACCAGATCTACCGTGCGGTCGTGCACGACGAGGTCAGTGCGAAGGAAGCGATGCGGAAGCTGGACAGCATGCTTCAGGAGCCGCCGATATACGGCCCGCGAGCGAAGCTCGTGCTCTCCTTCTGTCTGTCAGCGCTCATTTGCCCCTTGGCGTTCGGTGGCTCCTTCGTGGACATGTGGCTTGCAGGCGTGGGTGCATTTGCCCTATGCTTCGTGCAAACCTATGTTTCCTCGAAAAGTGGCACTATTTATGCCAATGTATGGGAGTGAGTGTTTTCGGTTTGTGCCCATTCGCACATATGCTGACGCTATGGTAGCACTACCGTCACTGTCGGCATTTCATTCGCCGCTCGTGGCCTGAGTAGCATTAGATCACAGGTCTTCTGCTACTCGGCCATATCTTCATCGGCAATTATTGGCATCCTGCCGGGATTCCTTGTTTGTACGTTTCTGCATTACCTGCGGTGTCTCGAGGCAGGTCTAACGCCCATCATAGTGTGCAGCGCTCTTGAGCTTGGCTCCAAGAATCTCGTCTGTGGCAGTGTCAACCTCGTCTACGCGCTCATTGTTACTCTGTTCATCGTAAGTCCTTTTCCACCACCCCATCGATCGGCAATTCACCACTCCTGCAGTCATTCGGTCTGGAGATCGGCTCGGAGCTCTTCCTGCTCTTTGATCCCCACGCACATACCGAAGTAACAACCCTTGCCGCTCGCGCCGCCAGTGCCGTCACTATCACTGGCACTTACATCGCCGACCCCAATACGGGCAGCACCTTGAGCGGCGCGTTCAGTTTCACCAACTCTACACCCATCGTCGTGCAGAATATCGTCATCAACTGCTACCGCCCGCCTGAATTCCCGTGGTACCTGCAGCCCTTCCCATGGTGGACGCAGTTCTTCCTTGTCCCCCTCTTCGCGCTTCTGTGCTCGCTCGCGAACCAGCAGCCTCTGTTGTCGTGGGACCTCATCGTCATGGTCTTCATCTCCTGCGTGGGCTACGCCGCCAACAAGATCGCCAGCATGTTTATTTTCAACCACTCCGATATCGTCTCCGCCATCGGAGCGTTCGCGATCGGACTTCTGGGGAATATCTACTCCAGAATGCTGGGCGGTACCGCATTCACGGTCATGGTGCCCGGCGTTCTCTTCTTGGTCCCTGTAAGTGATCCTGGCTAACGCTTCGCTTCAATCCGTCTGACAATATTTTCTCTATCTTAGTCTGGACTGTCACAAGCCGGAGGTATTAACGGCCAAGGAGACAACGGCGGTATCGACACCGGTTATGCGATGGTGGAAGTCGTCGTTGGTATTGTTGTTGGACTTTTCATATCGCAAGCCCTCGTCTATATCCTCGGCAATCGCAAAAACGCCGCGTCATTTACATTCTAATATACATAAAATCGTCTGAAAACAACTATAGAAGTAGAGCCTCAAATAATAAAGACATAAAATCATTGAAAAAACATACGGGACTCTGCGACGTCTTCTGCTATGTGTACAGGTCTGATACTATAACAACGGTGTTCAAGTCAGCTGAGTTCAAATGCGCTGTGAATTGGACAGAGTTCGCGATCCGACGGATTCAGACCCAATTTGTATTCGCTTCCACCAGGACGTCAGGTTTCCGCCACGTTCCTCCTAGATCCACTAGTACATGACTCTTGGCATGGCGGAGGTGAATAAAGTCTGCTGCCCCGATTTTAAAAGCTCGAGGTGAATCAAGTTGGGGCTTGAAGCTCTAGGTCGTTACCGTAATATAGCCCGCGGTAAGTATTATCTGATGAAGGGCATGGCTATCAGACACGGACGTCCTGAGGCTAAGAAAGTTCGGAGGAAGTATCGCCGTACGCCGGGAGACTAGCGTAGCCGCCCAACGTTGGGCGGCTACGCGTTACTAGTATAGCAGACGCACTCTATCATGCACTTCGACTACCATAGCATCCGAACGACCATTACATCCGTGTTCAGAGCGCCATGGACGTTCATAGTGTATGCTTCTCAGTTCTTTCAGCTGTGCTCTGCGTATCGTGAAGCACAGCCACGACAAGAGTCGCGCGGGTGCAATGAGGTACTAGCACTTCCCTTGCCACGTATGATTCGAGGTTCGTTCTCAGTTGATCAAGTAGATGATAACCTTCATTTCCTGTAGGGGGCTAAACACATGCGTTGAGAGGAGTTCCGTGCCGAGCCTTCATGTTGATTGGACTTACTTCCACCGCATTCCGCTTCAAACATCACGGCTTATGGTTTTGGCTCCGGTAGAGCTTTGATCTACCAATACCTCTAGAGTAATGCCATTGCATCGATTCTTCAGTGCTGATGCATTCTCGCTCACAGAGCTTAGACGCACTCGGTGCCTGAGGCTCTACTAAGAGATTGGCGGAACCTGTTACGACCGGATCTCAGCATGCTATTGAGCAGGCACATGCCGGCATTGTGCCCTGATAGCTTGTTAGGTTCAGAAGAACAGGGCGAAGGCACACCTCGACTTCCATGAGGTCAGTTGGCAGACGAGAACAGTACGTATACAGCACGGCCCGTTTACGATCGGTCTTCGAAGTCTCGACTAAACGACTCAATGCGCTCGCACAATCTCGACATTGGTCCGTATGTTGTTTGTATGGCGTGAGCTTCTTGCGCCTCACACGTAAAATCTATGCTCATCCGTTCATACCAGCCATATATGCACGCGCAAGGACAGCTCGTAGAAGCCGTAGTATCCATTTAGCGAATCAACCACGTAACGATTATTGAATAAGCAGAACGGTGACGCTGATTTCAGATCGTCGGTGTCTCCTTCATCTCATCGCAGTTACAGCTTTGCCCCGTGTCTATTTTGTACATTCGATGCTCCAATTGCGCACCAATGGGCGCTGCGAATGTCGACCCTGCAGCGGGATTTGTAGCGACCCACCTTCGTTCCGGACTTCCGAAAGCGGACTCGTCGCGCACGGCTTCTTCGGTGACCAAGACAATACTACCGGCCACTACCAAAGGACGTCTGGTTTGCGTTCGTACTATAAAGGAGACACCATACATAAAGTTCGAGACCAGGTATGAATCTCAGAGGTACGTTCAGGCTTTCCTTTTCCGCGCAAATCTTCAATAACGGAGGTGAGTCCGATATTACAGAATTGTATTTCCCGACCGGTGGCACTACTCCTCTCATGCTTTTTCGGCTCACATGAGTAACGGAGACCACATGATTGGTTATCTCCGAGCTGTGGTGCCGAACTGTCGTTCCCAACAGAAAACACTGCGGCGGTAGCATTAAATGGAGCGCGACGGAGAGTACTTTTGCCCATCCGACAGAGATGTGCCGCCGTCACCTGCTCTGGTGACCACATTTCTACCATATCTGGGGGACAGTGCAGCAGGATTAATGCTGCGTACTCGAACGAGGCATGGAATGGCCATTTTGTCGGCACATAACAGGTTCCGTAAAATTGTGAGTGGATAAAATCATGTTGGCATCAGTGTTGATAATGCTCTCGGCACACATGATAGCATGTCTCCTGTCAGCAGACTGCGCGGCCGGACCTTAGTCCCGGCTTGCGATGAAGTCCGGATGTGATAGACTACAGAGTTAGTCCCGGTCTTGACAGAAAATGATATTCGTCAGGTGTTACCACTTCGAGTTCTGTCCGGCTCCTGCGATACGTACAGAGTCAGACAAACTGAAGTGTCTCATTTCAGACACATCTTCTCTCAGCGTTTCCTCTTCCTGGCCAGAGGTCATTAGACGTCGTGAGTTTTAGACGTTGGTCAAGAGGTGCGCACATGGCCCTTCCGGTCTCGTTAGCATGCTCTGATTGTCTCATTACCGTGGCATCTCTCACAATATGGAAGCACAATTTCCTCCTGTGCATGCTTTAGCCCACACTTGTCGCTTGAGTACGTATTCTCCTGAACGCTGAATCCAATATACTCACCAAACGTGGTCTTGCTTATTTCTTATTTTGTAGCACATTCGGTGATCACCATGACATCAACGCAGTCCTGTGATGATCTGGTCATTACTCTAATCGATTTCCTTTTCGGCGGATCGCCGCATTCGTCATGCCGCGCCCGAGTCTGTCTTGATGACGGCTGCCCGGTTGCCTGCCTGGACTCGAGCGCGGCGCACCCGTTTGAGCCGATCCGAGGAAGCATCAGCTGCTGAATCCTATCTTCGTCATGCCTTCTCTTGACGTACACGCTTCCGCCAATGCCCCTTGTGCATCTCTCGCCAATCACTCTATTTGGGTAGGCCAACTCGTGCCAATGTTTTCCGCGAGTTTCTGCTGTCTTCAGAGAGCGCCATGCTTTGACGGTTCTTACTCCGATGACTAGCGGACGACGCCAACTAGTACACCATGGGATCACCAAGTTGGGTTTGGAGTTGGCGCGGATCGGAGTCACGTCCTTGCAGGTCTTCTCATAGCCCGAGGTATAGCGCGTGTGTATGGTTATCGTGTCGGCCAGATCCGTCTGCACGTAAGATGATGCAAGCACTAACACCCGGCGCCAACGTTGCTATCAGGGGCAACGCCAGCGGGATGGTGCAGTCGCGGATTCTGAAGCACTGCATTGGCATGGTTGCACGAGGAAGGCACGCTGCAAGCAATGCCGGCGGAGAGTTCTCTCATGAGCGTGCGTGTGCACTTTGATGGAAGGGGACACGCCATGCAAAATGTCAGTTTCCGTAGGGTATGCGTTTCTTCTATTGTGGTCTTCCATGGAACATGTGGCTGATAGCAACGTCATGCAGAACCTAAATCTTATACTCTTTAGCCGCTCTACTCCGGGTGCACAGCTGGTGCTTCCGAAGTTAACCCTTCCCCCTGCGTCATACGTATCACACAAAATATGTGATTCCTCCAAGCCTCCTCCTGCGAAATCAGATAGACTGACGCCCATTCAGAACATGTGTACTGGTTACTGGCCCAATCAAGCTGCTGCTCGCCTTCGGAATGTCGAACTTACCATCACCGGGCAGCCTCACTCTCCTTCTATATCCCGTTATCGTCGGGTTGATCATAACAACAGCCCACAACAGGTCCTCACCCAGAGACACCGGTATAAAGTCAGCGAAGGGTACATCTAATCATACCACTCATCCAAACCCCTCTCACGCTACGGCCAGATCTACCGACTACGACCAGCTCAACTCCGAGGTCTGCTCTCTTTTTCCGCCCCTTACTCTCCCATCCCGATGGCACCCCTCCAAGCTACCTCGTCGGCGAGTCCTGCCACTGTCCAGGCGCTGCGTACGTTGAAGCGTTGTTGAGTGTATCAATTCACACTAACATGTGCTCTCTGTAGACCTCCGCGACGCCAAAGATGCTCATGTGATATTCGAAGCCGTTCGACGCAACATGCTTCCATTGATCACAAGACGGCTCACGGCTACTGAACGTGAACAGTTGGACTCCGGCAACGTGTTCGTATGGGAGGAGGCGGAGCACAAGCAAGGTATGTTACATGCTCACCCAGGTGCCCCCAGAATGTAATATCTGAGTCAGGTGGTTTGGAGCGATGGACTGATGGTAGAAGATGGTACGTTCAGTCAGTAGACGATGACGGCGTGATTGATTGACTGTGCGATCTGCTAGGTCTCAGAGCAGAATGCGAGGAGACTACTTGTTCTACGAAGAGAAGATAGAGACTACGCCGGAAGAGAAGGCGGCAAAAGCAGCTAGACGGTATGTGTCCATCAGCATTTGGCGTGTTCGGCCGCCATGATACCAATTCTGCTCGCAGAGCACGCAGGACTCTAGATCCACTGAGCTACCAACCTGCTCCCACCCGTCAAGACCGGCCATCGAAACCCGATGGCCTCACGAAGCAGACATATTCTACCCATGTCTACACGAGCCAATCCGAGCCCAGGAAATGGCATATCGTAGCCTACTTTTCGGTATCTCTGGCAGGCCAGTCGCTTGCGCCGTACTGAGCGCTCACCTACGCGGTTCATCCAGGGCGATGATTACACACATCTACCCGTCATCGACGACTACGACTTCTTGCGCAGTCTTCGCGTCCCCGAGGGCGTCTTTACCTCTCCGCGAGGCAATCCGACAAGGGTTGTACGCGCAGACAGTGGTCACGAGCAGGCTCGTGGTGACTTGGAGTGGTCCAGGAACTCCTGGGCTCTGCCATCACCCTCCCCCTCTATTACGTCCCCGATTGACAGGCCAGAGTCGTCTTCCTCGTCTTCCTCCTCGTCAACCAGTGTCGTGACCAACTCAACTGGCTCAACAACATCTCGGCACAGCTCAAGTGGTGCGCTTTCCTTGCCTCGCCTGTCGAACGTCGTGCCCATTCAATATCTGGGGCCATCTTTATCATCTCACGGCTCCTCCCACTCCCCCATCAGTCCCAATAGCTCTAGCTACGTTGGACTGACTTCCGAAGATCGTCGAGCACTCAATAGTTTCCGAGTCGTACTATGACTACGTCATTGCCATCTCTTATAATGGACGTTATGGGCGGGTGTCGCGCAGAGTCACCATGGATGTATTTTATAGGTTATCGGGTAGACACTGCGTTACGGCCATTACCTCTGGCTGGTGTATCAACATATAAATGTAACGAGTTGCAGCGCTATGCGCACCTGGTGTGCTTCGCGACCCTGAGTGCAGGATGGCTGGTTCCTTCGGAGAGCGCGCGACGATGACGCTTGACCACGTTGACTGGATGATGCAATGTTCCCAGAACTATGTTGATTCCGATGGAAGAAGAAGCACAGTGCAGTGAACTGCACTTAGCAGCGTGGGTAGGAAGTGACCATTCAGTTCACCTCTTTCCCACTTCTTGTCTCCGAAGCATTCCTCGTGGTTCAATGACGTAGCGACCCTTGCGATCGTCTCATCAACTTGAGGGTAGCAATTCAAGCTCCTTACCCATGCTAGTCGTCTCATTAAGCTAGCGGCCTCGATGTTCTCAACAACGACGTGAGTGTCTAGCTCGACACAATCTGTCGACGTCCTCAAATCAAAAGTAGCAACCAACATTGTATATCAAGCAGTATATCAAGCAGGAACGGTAGAGACAACTAGACCTGATGGACTTCTCATTGATTCCCGAAGCTCACCCAATCGATGCTATGGCGGCGGCCCTTCCACCAGTCGCCCCCTGTGCGACTAATGTCAGACAAATGTCGCATCGTGGGCCGGCCATGAGGACAGTTCCAGGGCTGGTCTATCATCCCCATATGGCGAACTACCTGCATCCGGCCAACGTCAGATGAGTGTCCGTGGGTTATCCTCGCGTGATCAGAACTTACAGATGTCATTTGCCGCCGGTCTAGAGCCATCCCAATCATGACGCTTTTCCGACAAGCTCTCATTGCAAACATAGCGCGTGCCTTAGAGCATCTGACCATCTGGCCTGTGGGACGGTCTTGTAGTAAATGTAGCAACTCCTCCAGATCTGCGAGGGCCCCGAGCGTCGTTAGTGAGACACTAGATGAGAACGGAGTGTTTTGCACTCACCCTTGACGTCGAAAACGGTGTTCTCGCTAATGGGCTGTGCGCACAACTTAAGTCGATGCCCGTCGCCAAACGTCGCATCGTCATCTATGTCTATCTCAAATCCATTTCGTTTAAGGACATCTAGATTCTCAGTCGCCAGTATCTCATCGGCGGCGGTCAACTCAAGAGGCTGTGGGCTGATTTGGAAGTTAAGGTCCTAGGGTTTGGAAGAACGGAACGGTGTATGATCTCACCGAATGAGTTTCTGAGATATGATCTCCGTGGTCTGCTGAAGCGTCTCGAAGTTGTACTTCTCGTCCGCGGCGTGTTGGTCGACGATAAAGAGATCGTCCATGTGCCCTCTGCCGTTCCCATGAGCATCTGCCAATGCGGTAGGCGACGTATGCCGTCGCGCGATGATAAACCCTAAATTGAATTGCCCAACGATCTCCATCGATGCGAAGTCCGTTTTGTCAATGACAAGAGAGAGAGCCTCGGCCGCCTTCGCATCGTCCTCCGCGTTGGCAATCCCGGCATCGCGCTGAATCCCTATAGGCTGCGAACTGGGGGGATTATACGCATCGGTCGCCTGCCATGCCTGCAGGCGCTTCCACGACGACGACACACGCGACGAATCAAACCGCAAGGATACGTCTTCATCCTCGGTGCTGCGAACCACTTCAAGACGAGAGGCACGACTAGACTTGGAAGTAGAGCTTGTAGACGCAGTGGGCGTACCGAGAGACGTGTCGAGAGGTGTTGATTCTCGTGGGACGTTAGGACCGACATCGGTTGTGTGATAGATGTTGTCCTGCCAGGGTAGCTCTGCGGATATCTCTGCATCGTCGTGGTCAATGACCATACCATCTACCTGCGAAGAAGGTAGCCTATCGACATCCATATCATCGGCTTCGACTGATAGCTCGCGGTCCGCCTGCCGTCTCTCCTGCTTACGCTCTGGAATCTCTCTTCTCTCCTCGCTATCTTCGCTTCCTTCGCTGCCTTCAGTCTCGACCTCTTCCAGGTCTACGTCCACAGTCTGACTGCCGCCGTTAGCAAAAGGTTTCAACATCGTCCTAAGCTCTTGTGATGCGCCCTTTCCCTCCTTCGCCACCTTGGAGTCTTCTATCCTTCGCCTCTTGAATGGGGGAGTCGGATCCTCGTTCGATCGTTGATGTAGATTCCATGAGGCACCAGATGTACTCAGTACAGTCTGAACCTTCCGTGAACCTTTCTCCTCGATGGGGCAGCTGGGCGAATAGCGTCCAGGAACCATAGAGCGCGCTGCTGTTGCCATGCTACTTCGTTCAGTCGCGGACTCTATGCGCACACGGCCCTCATGGTGTCCGCTCACTTCGGGGCGAGGAGGTACCTGGTTTGCTGACGGTGAGCCCGGATCAGCTGTTGCATCCCGCAGCTGCGTCGCCGACAATGATAGTTCGTCATCGTTGCCCGGCGGTTCGGATACTACTATTTCGCGGTCTTGATCTTGATCGCCTAGATCCACACCAGGGATATGGCGGGCAGATACACGCTGCACGCCTTGCGCCAGAGAACTGAGTTCCTCGCTCCCGTGATCACCAAGAGTGGGATATGCTGCAATTGGGGCCTCATATGAGGCCAGGAGCACGTCAGTAGGCGCGTCTTGGACATCGTTCGAATCTGTATGCCGCAGCAGCAATGTGGGTTCCCCGAAGCTGTCGCTTTCGTGCTGGCCAATGGGGCAGCCGCCATTTCTGTCTATGAGTGTATCCCGACGAAGAGACTCGGGCTCAGCGTTGTCTTCCTCGCCGTCTTCAAGAAAAAGCGGCTGCTGCTTATCTGGCATAGACAATTGAGTAGAAGGCAGTTGACTGCCTTGCTTGAGCGGCGTTTGAAGGGAAGAAGAAGCGTTGATATCATATGTCGCACGAGAAGGTGCAAACTTCTGTTCTAGAGCGATCTAAGGCAGACAGCGGAAAGTTAGACAGTGTGAGAGAGGTACGCGATGCAGTGAGTGCCGGGAAGAGGTTACACCGCGTGTGTGATGGTCGCAGGCCCCGGCGACCCGGCGGAAGAACTCACCTTCAGGGACTGCACAAGGTTGCTCTCACTGTGCAGTAGGATTGTGCGCTTGTCGGGACTGACGTTCACGTCGCATGAATCTGGTCAAGTCCAGAAATATGAGATATGGGATATTTCACATGACCTTGGAGATCTCGTGTGCGAACACGATTCCAAGAAGACGATGACATCGTGGGAGCACACCGGCGGAGGGAACAGGGGAATGGATGACACAAGGATAGAAGACACGAAGCGCCAGGGCACAACTTACCGGTGGGAAGGATGAAGTCCGCCACGATGAACGGGGCCTGGTTCGCGTTAAACGTTCGGTATACCTCGTTGAACGCCTTCTGCACCTACAACAACACGCGCATGAGCATGCGGACACAACCTGTCAAAGAAAGTGCGTACCTTCGATGGGCTACAAGGACGGCCGTTGATGAAGAAGAACTGCCGGTCCGAGCTCGTCCGTCCGCATCCCACCGCGAACTTCGAGATCAACCCCCGGACCCGGACTTCGCTAGAGGATCTGCATGACGGGCAAGCAGGAATCAGTACATGACATGACGGCATAAGCAGGTACACAAACGCCTCGTCATCAAAAATACCGCGCCGCCGCAGGACCGCGCGTTCAGTCTCTACACCGAACCGAATATCAAGGTCCACGAGCTGCTCCAGCGCCTTAGGGCCCCAGAGAGCGGTGACAGAAGCACGTGTTGAAGGTGCGCCGTTCGTTCGCATCTGGACCGACTTTTTTCTGAATGGGAAGGTGAGCCATGAGAGGCTCGTCCAAGACAGATAGCAAGCCACATACCCGCTGCCGGCAAGATGCGTGACCGTCAAACGCACGCCCTTGTTCTCCTGAGCGCAAGGGACCAGCGCATACGCGGAAAGTAACGCCAGCGCTTTGCTAAATTCGCGCTTGGCATTGCGTTCTAGCTCCTTTCGGCGCACGGGAAGCGGTTTGAATAGGCCTGTTACCAAGACTGTGGTACCACGCTGCACAGTTCGAGGTTTGAGAATAGATGGTATTAAATACACGACCTTCGGTCAGCTGACGATGACATAGTATGAGATTGCAACGAATACCTGCCTGGCGACCTTTCCCTGTTTGCTCACAACACGGCCTGCGCGATCAAGTTCGATGATTGAACCCATTGGCGCTTCATTCGCAGTCGCAGTAGTCACAGAGACCTGTTCACAGAGCGCACACAGTGAAGACAGCGCTTCACCACGAAAACCGAAGGTGCGCAGAAGTGTCAGGTCGGTGAATGATGATAACTTCGAGGTATGATGCTTCAACCCTGTTGTGTGCTCATGAGTGCGAGGTGTAACATATCCACCATTATTTGTAACGAACCGATTGCATCATAATCCTCGGGAGCGATACCACTGCCATTGTCAACCACCTCGATGGAGGCCAGACCGTGATCCTTAAAACGGACCTCTACATCATAACAATGTGAATAATGACGATTGTGTAGTATACATGAGACAGATATGTACCTATAGAAGTCGCCCCAGCATCCAGACTATTCTCTACTAACTCCTTCACAGCTGTCTGTAAGTCGATGACGACCTGTCCCGAGGATATACGGTGCACAGAAGTAGCATCAAGAGCTTTTATAGAGCTGCTGACTTCCGTCGCCATCTCGAATGGCTGGTAGAGCCTGCTATATCCTTTGTCTCGGCTCAAACTTGAGAGGACACGCCGACAGATGAGGGGGGCAACTTGCAAGAGTGTGAGAGTGCGTACATCCACTCTCACACTCTCGCGGCACGTTATGTCACATTCACATGATTTGTCACGCGTCGCGACTGTTGTGTTTATGTAACCCAGTACGTCATAGGTAAAAAGTCCTTCTCGGTAATATGTAGCTTCGCTACTAGGACACCTCCCTGATCTGCGAGTATATCTTTATTTGCCGACGCATCGACGCTTACGCAATGACCCGTAGCCACCGGCGAAAGCCGACCTCACCCACCACACTCCGTCAACGCCCAGGGGAAGTGCCGCGATGATCCTTGCTTTAATCAACAATGTCCCAATCTATCATTTGATACGGTGACTTAATATACCTTAGGCCACGAACGTAATATAAACTTGAGGTAAATTAGGATGGAACCTAGAGTGTCTGTGTGCATTGGTGTGTCTCGGGAGAGCTTCTGTCTTCTTGCGTTTTCTGACAAAAATTGCGTCTTATGCGGCGGAGGATGAGACTGCCAAGCGCAGCTGAAGTCTATATTCTACGCACTCAGGAAAACGCGACTGTATGTATTCGTCCACAGCAGCGAGCGCTGTCTCTTATCGTACACCTACCTCTACTCCTTCGAGAATATCTATGAATAAATTGGAGGAGGCCAAAGGCTTCACTATGCACAAGTAACGTCCTGGTTCAAGCCCCCGCATCGTGCCACGACTCGGATTTTGGATTTGCAGGACTTGCCTTTTATAGAACAGATATGATCTGTCACATATGGGTCACCAGCGCGCGTCGGTAACGCTTTACTCTTTAACCCATGGCGGATTCCGAGCTCACCGCTCCTCCGCTGCAGCCACCTTTACTCAACACCTCGTCTCCTCGCGACAAGGAGCCAGATGCGCTTGAACTCGAGAAACTGCAGAAGTGGCAGGAGGAGCGACTTGGCAGGAAGTTGCGGGGAGAGTATGAATCGGCCGTGCTGCATCTCGCGGAAGTGGTAAGTAACGTATGTGTTTGCACATCCCAACACTAAATCATGGAACAAGATTAACGACAACTTGACCACTCCTCTCCGCATTGCGTCCGTGCGTGTTGAAGGCGCGGTCAGGACGCGCAAGTCATTCCTGGCGACCCTCGTCACACCGTTTCTTCCTCAATCTACGACCCCCTTCGACGATACCAAGACGACACTCGGGGACGTGCTTCACACTACACGGCATATCGGGAACCTTTTGCAGGAAACCGAAATCTTCCAAGCTGTGGAGGCGAAGTTGGAAACCAGTCGCGACCCCCTTGCACAGGCTGGGGACGTGGATATTGTCTTCAAGACGCGTGAGAAAGGCCGGTTCTATCTAAATACCAGTACACAACTAGGCAACAATGAGGGTGGCGCAGTATGTAGCTCCTCTGATCCTTCCTTGAGCTTGAGCTTAGCTCATACGCTCCTGTGTAGAGTGCGACCTGTCGCGTGCGGAACGCGTTCGGGGGCGCAGAGATTTTCGAGGCGAATCTTGCCTTTGCGACCAAAACACGCGTTGCATTCAATGCGGCTCTCTCCGCGCCGCTCACGCCCACCCTCAAGACTCGCGGCGAGCTCTCCGTGTTCGGCCTCGAGCGGGATAACTCGAGCTTCGCGAGTAGCTCCGAGGGGCTGCGCGGTGTGCGCGCTGTTGTCAGGGTGAGCTAGGTCAGCTTGTCTCTTCCCTTGTGCGCGGCTGGTTGATAGACCGTCCCCAATGAATACAGACAGGTGCGATCCCCGTTGGAATGCACGAATTCGCGTATGAGGCCGCGCTGCGGCATGTAGGGAATTTGACGCCAACGGCGTCCATCAGGTAAGAATCATCCATAGCTTCTATGAATAACTAACAACGAGGGCGCTAGCATGCGGGAAGCTGCTGGTCAGAGCATCAAATCCGCGGTGTCGCATTCGTGGGTTCGTGACACGCGCGACGATAGGCTGCTTGGGACGCGCGGCTCGTACGTAAAGTTGTTTCAGGAACTAGCCGGCCTCGGGGGCGACGCGTCCTTCTACAAAGGCGAGGCTCATACACAATTATCGCGTGCGCTGGCTCCTGGTATCGTACGTTTTCGTTCCTCATAGCTCATCACACCTCGCCTTACATGTATACAGACCGTGTCATTCGCGGCGCGATCAGGTTTACTATGGAACCTAGCGCGACCAGCGCCGTTCTCTGACCGCTTCCAGCTCGGTGGTCCATTGAGTGTGCGCATGTTCCGGGCCAATGGGCTAGGATCCCGTGACGGCCGTAAGCCGCTTTTTCTCCGGCCCCCATATGTGGACTGACAACGTCTATGTGCAGCTGACTCATTGGGTGGAGACCTGTATTGGGCGACGGGCGTGAGCCTAATCACCGACATCCCGTATAAACCGGACTGGCCTGTGAAGACCCACTTCTTCGTGAACGCAGGGCGATTAGATGCAATGGACAAAGGTGCGCGTTGTTTGCGGCATTGCTATTAATGTTGTGGACTTCGCTGACTTGCTGACCTATCTACCCTTCCCTCGATCTGCAGCAAAATCCCTCAAAGATAACATCATGGATAGCATTAGCAAGCCATCCATCGCGGCGGGCGTGGGCCTCGTGTACAAGCTCGATCCAGTACGTGTGGAGCTCAACTTCGGCGTCCCTCTGGTGGCGAGCAAGAGCGACGGGTTTAGAAAAGGCTTCCAGGCCGGGATTGGGTTGGACTTCCTATGATAGTCGCTACTGATGTGAAATGCATAGATGCACAGTCGACTCGCGTAATTATATGTAGCTCTGTTGCGCATCTCTAAGTCTCGGTCTATACACCACTATATTTCGGCGCCAGTCGAAGGCTAGGACCACACAACGCCACATCTACATGTGTTCCTGTTCCTTCCCGCAAGCTACGGTATGCCGATGTAGTTACTCATGTATTAATTTTCCCTTTGTCTACCTTCCTGATTGACCTTGATCACTGTTTCCAGCGGGCTGGAAAGATCTCGAACCGCTTTGAATCACTGAGGGAAGCAAATGTGGCAAGCGAGATATGAGCGCTTATTCGGATCGTACTATCCGCGCGATTCCCATAGTGTACGCGATGACGGTGGCGGATGTTGTAGTCCGCAGGTATTTGTTGTAACCAAGCTGTTTCTACTTGTCGTCACAGGGACCCACTAGCACTATCTAGGATATCTAGAATAAAAGTGCAGGAAAGAATGGGGCCTGAAGGGGATCATGCAAAGCCTGAACGTTCAGACTGAGAATTTAATACATATAATATACACGAAAAAGAATTTGTTCTATTGCACCCAAAGCAACTCATACTGAGTCTATCCCATCCCTCTCGGTGGAGACATCCTGAATATACACTGGCGGAGTGGCGGAGACATTGGCACTGCTTCCTGTTCTCTTGGTGCTCGTAGCGAACGCCCTGGGGTTGAATAACACAGAGCTGACTGTGATTTTGGGCGAGGACGAAGAACTTGCGCCCGGTACTCTCGCTAGAGCGATGCGTATAAAGACCATGTTGAACGTTGCCGAGATCACAGCTGGGATCTTCACAGTATTCGGTCAGCATATTCTCGCTGCCGTGATATAACAGGTGTACGCACAATGCTATTGACGACGTACTCCGCCTCTAGCGCATGTATCGCCGCAATGAGAGCAAGGATTAGAATTGCTGTATATATGGCTCCGGACTCGATGATGACAATGGCCACGGGTCGCAAGCTACTGCGCGAGCTAGTCTGACAGGCAGCATCTCTGTCCACTTTCCAAATGCGATATGCGAGAGCAGCTAAGGGGAAAGACAAGGATATTGTCATTTCGCATTCAAAGAGTCCCACTCGAGAGTCACGCACCTGTTGCCGATATATTGGCGGCAAACGTGAACACATAGATGATGAGACCACGTTGGCCCGATACCACGCCGCTCGCAAACATATCCAAGATGTAACACATGCTCCCTTGTGGTCGATTACTCAGCATGTGTATACGGAAGCTAACAAGACAACACCAAACCTAGGGCACCCAACCAGGTAAGGCAAGGAAATACAATGATCCACCAGCTTTGCCATACAACATAGCAACGATAAATCTAATGTGCGGCCATGAGTATGTCAGACATGTCAAAGTGTGCGAAACTGCATACGACAATAGCGTCCCCAATCAGGGTTTGTAGCCCATATATAGTATTGTCAGTCAAAGAGGTGGTCGAGGAGAAGGTGGATAGGTATTGCTGCGGTCCAACCTGTCCTTCGTTGATGTGATACACAAACGCCCGTATGGTGAGATTGATGTCAATACACATACGCTGCATAGGCCGTTAAATGGTATGGAAGAAACTCTCGCGTAAGTACTTACGGCAGTGCTGAGAGCCCAAAGCACACAGGCGGTAGAAACCATGAGAACACTTCCTCGCAGTCTGCGTTGAAATGCCAGAGTCCAAATTGTCAGCCCGAACATGCACACAGAGAATCCTATGGGTAGTATCATTGTAAGCAGTGTAATGGAATGATGCAGGATACGTTTGAACAATACCATAGATAATGCCTTGCAGAGCGACGGAGCATATGGGTACTCGAGCATTTGTACCAGCTATGTATACGGTCATTCTGGATAATTATGGCGTCAAGGTAGAGGGACGGGAGAACCTGTAATGAGCTGAACTGCAGACTTCAACAAATCTCGCAGCAGTCTTATATTATGGAATGAGAATATTCGTGATTCCACAAAGTGTTGAAAGGACACCAGCAAAGATGGGACAGGTAAGCAGCAGGCCTGTGAGCCACTTCGCATCGCCGAATATGCTGCGCGATGATCAAGAACAGGACAAGACATGAAAAAGATATCTGATGAGGTGGAGCATACGCGGTGTACAGTGGGAAGATGTGCCGCTATGGTGTTTAGAAACAGCAACGTTTGCCAGATACAGCTCAGCGCTGGCTTTGGTTGGACCTGAATAGTTTCACACTTGACGCATGTCCCTTGGCGCATGTCCAGAACACCATGACACATTTAGGGTGCATCAGACCGAGGTTGGGTTCTTGGGAACTGTTACGGCACATTGCATCCTTTAATCCGAACTTAAAAGGCGACGGCCATGGTGTAGCAGACGTGAGGCTCTGTTAGTACTTACTCAGCATTTGAAACGTCCCAATACGAGACTCACAGAATCGGACCTTAGACTAGCAGAGACTTAGAGATTTTCCGCGAAACAGGTTTGCAGACTTACAAAGTGTCGTCTTAGACAGGTTTGAGTTCAAGCTTGGTTGAAGCCAAGCTGTCTAAGCAGTGGAGGAGATATACACCTAATGGTCACAATTGTTCCCAATAGCGTGCGCACATGTATCAAGGCATGGGGCCGAATGGGTGATGATGCGGTCTGCGCTGGGAAGCCTGTGTACCCGAAATACGCATGATGCTGGGTGCAAAAATTCTCAATGTAGCACGATGCGATGCTATTAGATGTAGACTGCACAGCATACCGATGCAGCTTCTAGCGGATGGAAGACTCAGTGTTGAAAGATGTATAGTCTCTCGCCATAGACGCCAGTGCGCCACCCTGCTGAACTGGGCGTTTATATTTCCTTCCTTGATCGAGTTCCTCCGTGTTTTTCCCACTGGAGGGGGGCCTAGTCTCGTTTCCAGACCTTATAGGCGGATCACGTGTGATATTACCCAATTGGGTGGCGGAGATCTAAAAACCCCTGCACACTCTCGCCTATAAGGTCTGGTGAATTTTGTAGGGAGGGAAGGGGGTATCCATCACGCGTCACCAAAGTCACTGGTGACGACGCCGTTACCTCTCGCGTCTGCTCGCGTACGTGAATGCGTCCGACGCGCCTCGCGTCTCGCGCCGCGCACTTCGAAACTCAGTCGCTAGTCGATGTATGCGCATGTATGCTATGGTAGACAACCTACATAATCATAATGTCGTCTATTTCAACTACTCATCTGAGCCCTTGGCTGAGCTCGCTACGCAGTGTGGTTGACGATTCTGACTCCGACCTGGACTCCCCGCCGGCTTCGGACTTGGGCAGCGATATCTTTGACGACCACTCGGGGCTTCTGTCTCTGCAGACGAGTACTGGTGCGTTTTTGCTGCTTCCTCACGGGCCTTCTTGAGGATAGACACCGAGAGCGTTGAAAGACCGTACGAGAACTCGGCAAGAGTGGATATAGCGGGAGCCATACTACGCGCCGTACATAGATTGACGGAACACATCGCAGGCAAGACACGCTGCAGACGCGTTAAGCGCCAGGGCGTGACGGATACCCCCCTCCCTCCCTGCAAAATGCACCAGACGTTAAGGGGGGGAGTCGTGCAGGGTTTTTTGGAACTCCGCATCCAGATATAGTAACACTCCACGTGATCCCTTCTCCCCCCCTTAACGTCTGGTTACGAGACTAAGGGGGGCCGTGCTTCCACGGGTAAGGGCAACTGTGGTGCTCCGTAATTCTCTATATGTGTCTATTTGTATAGCTCTGCCACAGTCTGCATCGTAGTGTGATATAAGCCCTGACCGCATCCGAGTCGCTCACTCACCACCAGCCATCCTGACTGGCATCGCTAGAAAAGTGAAGAAGCGCTGCCCGCAATATTGACCAACATAAAGAATGTTTCAGCCAGGAAAGGTTTCATCGGATAGAGATGCGATTCTAGTGTGTGCGTTACCAGCAGTCGTAAGTGCTTCCACTCGCACTGCCTCGCCGAAGAAGTAGTGACCTTTCAGCTGTTTAGGCAACGTACCTGTGGCTCAAGTGGTATGAGGCCAAAAGTCTTAGTACTCTAACCGTTCTTCTGGGGGTTGTGCCCGCTTTCTCGACTGTTCTCTTATCGCAAAGCCTCTCCTTTCTACGCGCCGCGTCTCTTTCCTTCGTGGTGCATTATGCTGTCGTCTTATCTTGCGCCTGCCTATATCGCTTGTCTCCCTTTCATCCGCTAGCCCCATACCCAGGCCCCTTTTTGTGCAAAATCTCTAAGCTTTGGTTAGTCTACATGACCTCTCGGGGCAAGCTGCATCTGTACTTTCACGAGCTCCACTCCCGGTATGGCCCCATAGTTCGTGTTGGTGAGTATCATCATTGTCGCCCCCCTGATACTTCTACTGGTCTTACTACCCACCACAGGTCCGAATGAGCTATCTACCACGGAGGTAGACATCTTCCCGTTCATTCTAGGCCCACAGGGCATGCCCAAAGGCTCATGCAAGTTTAGTTCGCTTTCAAGAGTACCCTTTTCATTTACATCTATCATAGTATGGGAAGGACGACGCATCTCCGGAAAGAGAGGTGCAGGTGCCAAGAACGCGAAAGGACACCTTATTGGCGCCCGTGATAAGAAACTTCATGCAGAATCGCGTCGCGTTTGGAATCGCGCTTTCACTACGGCTGCAGTGAAAGGATACGAACCGATCCTCATTCGGAGAACCGCGCAGCTCTCCGAGGAGCTCAATGAACGATGCGCAGAGCAACCTCAGAGAGAAGTCGAAGCTGATTTGTCTCAATGGCTGAGCTACTTTACGTGGGTGTTACGGTCTGTTTTTCAGCAATACCAAGAGCTCACAACTATTCAGGTTCGATTTCATGGGTGATATGGTGTAAGTGTATCTCATATGTAAGGCTCCTTATTTTCTCACCCCGAGTTCTAATTGCATAGATTCGGAGGCGGGTTTGAGCTGATGCATGACGGTGACAAGGATGGTATATACAAGACAATGGTCGCCGGCCTACAGTGAGTGAGACTGCTACAACTGCCGACCTCTCTAAAACTGCCTCCCATAGACTCCCTGCATTGACGCAACAGATCCCATGGATTGCGCCCTCCTTGTCGTATCTACCATACATCGGTCGACATATGAAGGCACTTGGTGACTTTGCTTTCAAACAAGTCACCCACCGTATGCAAGAAGGGTCTATACAAAACGACCTGTTCTACCACCTTGTGCGTCTTCCTGCTATGCGTATACGTACCATCTTGATTCATTGGGATGCAGCTCGATGAGGCACCAGAAGACAGAAAACCTCCGCCGTTCCCGGTGATCATGACAAACGCGGTCACGGCTATGTTGGCGGGCTCGGATACGACAGCTGTGGCACTATGCAATGTGTTCTACTGTATTCTGGCACATCCGGCGTGCTACACACTACTTCAGCAGGAGGTAGATGCTGCCTTCCCACCTGGGCAAGGAGAACCGGTAGATGCCTCGAAGCTTGCGAGCATGGAATACCTGAACGCCGTCATGTATCGCATGTTCTCTTCACATATCGTGAGATTTGGCTGATATCGCGTCTTCTGGTAGAAACGAAGCACTGCGGCTGTACCCATCCATTCCTACATCGCTACAACGATCACCGACGCCTGGCAGTGGCAGCCATGCCATTGGCAACAGGTATATAGACGCTCACTCTCACTCTTTGTCTTTTAACTCATCCCTCGTTCCGTTTCCGGTTGTAGATTGGTCGTATCTGAAGGAACGGGAGTATTCGTATCTCCGTATGCCGTCCAGCGGGACTCCCGCTATTTCGCCCCGCACCCGGATTCCTTCATGCCTCAACGTTGGCTTGCCCGCCGTGATGATAAAGGCTCGGAGAATATGCCATTTACGGTGAATCCCGATGCGTTCATTCCGTTCTCCTCCGGGCCCGCGAATTGCGTGGGTCGCCCGGTCGCAATCCTTGCCATGCGGATGGTGCTCGCTTATCTGTTACAGCATTTCAACATGCGTCTCGCTGACGGATACGACAAGGCACAGTGGGTGGAGGAACTGCGCGATTATTTCGCGTTCCAAAAGGGCACGCTTCCGGTCTTCCTGAAGCCGCGCACATGAGTGAATAGTTCAGATATACGTGCTGTGCCTTACAGAAAGGAGTTTCGCACACTTTCTGACTGTACCTTCCGTTCAACAACTTCACAAGAACTACCTAGTGGAGACAATGTCACTTTGCGCCGTAAGTGCTATTTAAGATAAAATATGTTTAGGCACATTGGTTCTTGGTGAACTAGAATCAGTCAAGATCTGGCATGAGGCACTGTCAGAATCCTCGTTTTGGGAATCCAGTTCTATATCCTCTTGAGGGCGTCGCCCTTTACCTATCGTAGCGGGTTTCATTCTATCGCAGGGTGGTCAGTAGCATGGAGAAGTGGTGCGCGAGCAGTCTGTCGCTCGAAAATCGATCTCGGTAGGTTGTCAGGGTCTTAAGACAATCTATCACTTCTCACTGTTGTGTCTTTGTTAGTTGGAACAAAATCCACACTAAATATATGGCCTCTGTCCCACGCAGCCCTCCTGACTCGACCATTGCTGAGTATACGTTGGGTGCGCCGAGCAGCGGCGAACGTGCGCTCGAGTCTTGTTTCGAGTATGAGAGCGATACGGAGTGAAGAGAAGCACTGTGAATAGAGCAACGCCAGCTCTAGCTTCCACTGGGAGGGTGCCATCGCTGTTATCACTCGACTGTTTGTTCACGCATTAATTCACCTTGCAGTAGCCTATTGGTTTCAAGAACCTGTTGAGAGCCGCCTGACTAATAGATCCTACCAGCAATGGACTAAACCGAGATGTTCGGTAAAGCACTCTGTCAGACCCCATGCCGTCGTAGTTTCTGTCATCAGCACTGCCGCACTCGTCACGAACGTCCTATCACCCACTGGGTAGCATGTGTATGAGCCTTACGGGTCATCAGTCGAACATTTCATCCGTGAGAATGAGGCGCACCACCGGGTTTTAAAAGCATAGTCCATATCATTCTGATATAATTCCTTGATAATGACAACAACGGTTCATACACAAGACACGCCATTCAGGCTCAAGGCCAATGGATACGAAACGTACAACGCGAAACTCAAGCAATGTATCATTCTTCAAAGACACTCATCATCAATGGTCACCCAGCTGTCTCGCTTTATCGTGGCCCTGTTCATTGGACTGTATCAATGTTGAAATACTAGTGATGCATCATTCTGACTCACCCTGAAGCACCCACATGCGGCTTTCCAAGGATAATTTTGACAGTCTTGACTTCAAATCCATGGAAGTCCAACTTCACGACAGTCAGTTTGTCCTCATCTTTGAACATGTTCAACTGTAATTCTTCGTCCTCCAGCAGGTTTGTCGTGAACACTTTCAAGACAGGTACATGTTTGGCAAACTTGAGTTTCGGGTGTGCATGCCCCCCAAACGCTTCATAGAGCCTCAGCACCACAGTCACTACGGACGCTGGCTCGGAGTTGGGGCTGAAATCATCATAAAGTCCACGTTTCACTGTCTCGAGAAAGACGTTGCTTGCTCCCTCCAGCTTGAATGGCGGTTCTGCATTGAGCAACGGAGCTTCCACTCCTTCGTCGAGTAGGTAGCGGACTATAGAGCTTGTTCAGATGTTGTGTCAAAGTACTTCGTGTCATGATACTGACCATGGAGCGGAGAATTGAACACATACGCCGCTTGTGGCACATCAGACTCCAGGAAATGTCCCTTGTGAGGCATGACTGCCCAAGAGAACTCATGCGTCCCTATAGGCAATGAGCATCACCGGTCCGCTAAATATAATTAGGCTGCACGCACCTTGATCCTGACTGGCATCGGGAGCAGTAGCGGCACGCAGAAGCGAAATGGAGAGAACATTTCCTCTACAAGAGAAACCATACTTTGACTCAGATAGTAGAGCGACACCATAACCAAACTCGCTAAGATCCGCATACTACCGACGACTCGATTAGCAAGAACTGCAGTTGCAAGATGATACATTAACGTACCTTGTGACCGCACACTTCGAACTTAGCCATGTCCCATGTGGTATTCTTGTGCGTAGGCCGTTGAACAAAGCCGAACTGAGTCTCGTATGTGGCATTGTCGTTGCGGATATTAAGCGGGAGCTCGACTAGCGGACCAGTGTATGTGCATGTGAGTTCTTTTGTGTAGACTGTCTGATCGCTAGTCCTTACACTTCAGGAATTCATGCTTCTCGTGCCAGTCCACAACCGCATCGAAGACGAACATGGACCGTGAATTTTTCTTCTTGGATGCTGAACTTGCATAAGTATCTCTATCGTCTCTATTAGATAACAAATCGAACACACCCGTAATTGCATCCAAAGAAATCTGGATCTCCGTGAGAACACTGTTGACTCGGGATGAAATGTGTGTAACATACCGTGACATCAATGGTGCTCTGTCTGTATTTGACAACTGACTTGATGGACGCACGTAACGGCCCCTCAGCGACAACCGAGATGTCCCCAAACTCGAGTTGATGAGGCGTCTCGAGGTGGTGTATCTCAACATCTAAGACCGAGCATCAATATAAACGATGTTGACCATGTAGTGCGATTTACCCCATGCGTCCCAGTAATTGGGCTTATCGTCAAATATGACAAGGCCACCGCTCTGTCCTGAAGGAATGAGTTCGCGGCTGGAAGCATGAAAAAAGTCAGGGTGCCTGGTTAGCGTTTGATCAGTGCACAATCAGGAATAATCGAACTCAAGAGCGACGTCGCGCAGGCTGGTGATCCTCCCTTGTGTTATTGTCAACTGAACGCTTGAGTTACGCAGCACGAAGTGGTCGGATCCATTCGTGAAGACTGCACAGACATCAATTTGTGTTGACCGCGGCCTATAGCTATAAAGCATACCTGAAACCGGCATACAGTCTGCGTACAAACCTGTCGAGACTGATAGATTTCCATTCCCATCAGATTCAGATTCCATCAGAGCATAACCTGTCTTTACGTCCTTCGAGGCCTGCACGACCTGGTTCTTGATCCGGGCATTGCCACCCAAAGGTACCTTAATGACATCACGTCGGGCAAATGGAGTAGTGTTTAAGGCAATGAGACGTCCTGCCTTATTGGGGATCTGCGTGGAGGGAGATACGGGGATGGATTTCGGGAAGAGAGCGCCGAATGCTTCCTCAAGAAGCTTTTCGCCTTCTTTGCGCACCTCTGCGTAGAGCTTCTCGGCATCCTCGTAGACCATACCACTAGTGCATTTGCGTGAGCATATTGCAGGGTCCACAGCATTCACACTCACATGGCAGATCCTGGCAGGACTGCAGGCCACAATACATTCAGAGGCATTCAACATGAGCTATCAAGCGTGCTCACCGTCATGGACTATCGGATGAGCATCTGTGAGTTAGTTTGAATAAAACGACGAGATATGAACCTCCTTACATTGATTCAATAGAACCTTCTCCCAGCACTCGTTGATCTTTGCATCTGGATACGCATAATCCTTCTTGTGGTATCGGTACAGGGAAGCTAAGGTTGCCAGAATCTAAATCACAGCATATATCGTTTTCAAGATGGAGAAATGGTAGAAAATCGCACCTCGATATCTCTGAGTAGAATCTCCGACTTGCGGTTCCCCTTCTTTATCGAGCCTGCACCCCCTCGTTAGGCCAGGCGCCGTGCGGTCAAGATGGACAGAGTACTCTACGTACCATGCGATGTGTAGGTTCCTCTGTGGAACTGGAAAAATAGGTTTATGATTGATTCCTATTGGTGAAGGATGTTAAGGAGACAGAACCTCCAAGTAGAGCTCGCCACTCCAATTTGGTAGCTTGTTGCCTTCATCCGACTTCTTCTCAATTGTCTGGAAGAAGTCATCAACGGACCGGCCCATGCTGACTGGCGGAATTTCGCGCGAAACGTTGGACACCGCTCGGATACGCCGCAACTGACAAACAGTATGTCATCAAGACAAATTCGTGCCGGGAGAAAATGCATGCCCACGTTCTCAAGCATCTTTGCGAGAGGGCCACCCCCACCATCCCCATTGCCGAACGCAAGCAATGATGTGTCAGATGATTCCAGATTCTGCCGGACCGATCATCGTTAGTTGAACGGTTATGATCCGATGTGCCTGTACCTTGTGGTTTGTGATGCCCTTATGGACATCTCCAACTGTGGCCTGCGCAGTATACGTGTCTTGAACCGACAGAATGTTAATATATCCCAGATAGATGTTGAACGTGTAAACAATATAGCTCACCGACAGGGGTCATGTGACATAATACCTGCGAGCCATCAATACCGACCCAATTGAACGTGGAATGAGGGAAGACGTTGCTTATTAGAATCGTTAGAGTCGATGTTCAGTTCATTCATGCGTCATAGGCTCACATGTTATTCCTGCACACGCGCCCCTCCCGCATCAGCGCCAGCCCGATATACGCGGAGTATGCGCTTACCAGCTGAGCTTCTGAGTGAAAAAGTACTTCATTCCCGCCAATCGGATCAGCTGCGGTAGTGCCCCAGTCAGACCAAACGTATCAGGGAGCCAGGCCGTCTCGCAGCGCTTGCCAAAGCGGGTTTCGAAGAACCGCTGCCCAAAAATAAACTGCCGCGCGAGCGCCTCTCCAGACGGCATGTTCGCGTCATTCTCCACCCAAGACCCCCCGATCGGGATGAACTGGCCGGACGTTATCTTCTCCTTGACACGCTCGAAAAGCGGTGGGTACAGCTACTTCTCCCCGTGAGCGGGAGGAAGACACCAGCAGGTATGAGGATGCGAACCTGTTCAAGCCACTTGAATTGTTGTGCCTGGCTCGCGACGAAGCGATGCTCAGGATAACGTTCCATCAAGTCCACCTGAGTTGCCCACGACCGCGCGACCTTCTGCTGTGTGACGCGGTACGGCCAGAGCCTGCGCCATGATCAATAATTGTTCGCATCCGTCAGAGCGGCTACTAACCATGCAGTGTCAATATGGCAATTACCGACGCCCCAGATGCTCTCCTCGCCCTTCGGTACGCCTTCTTCATAGACCGCCGCACCCTTCTCTTCCCAACCCGCGCCGAATACCTCCGCGGCAATCGCGCGAGCACGGGAAACGCTCGTTGGTTCGTGCTTGTCAAACGCGTTCATGATTGCATTTGCAGCGACAAGCGCGCGGTTCTGCAGAGACGTGTTACCGGGAAGCGTCTCCGATATCTCGCGCAGTGTTGTGAAATCATGCCAAAGCCCCCATGCCTCCTGGTTGGGGACCACAAGATCGGCCGAGGCAAGCGAAAAGTAGCGGTTCATCTGCAACGGACATGGTTAACACGTATGACAGACGATGGTCAGATGTGGCAAACGCACGTCTGGGGGTTCAATCGTATCGCCGTTCCAGGGCACTCCGAACATGCCGTTGCATGAGGACTCAATGACGACCTCGTACTTTCCTGCCTTGACTGCCTCGCGCGGTATGATGTGCTCAACGCGACGGTCACCACCATAGCCGCCGGTAATGCCCTGCAAAGGCACACCGTCTGTGGTGAAAACCATGGCTTCGCACCCCGGGTCGAACTCGACTGTCAAAATGTATCTGATCAGCCTATGGAGTGTGCCACGTAAGGACATATGAAGTCAATTGCATGACCAAACAATAAAACTTTCGGCGCATTAAGAAACGCTTGCGACCTAAGCACCAAAACTCCGGTGCGGAAGGACCGTTATGTGTATATAAACTAACAACGAAGGATTCCGCGGCAACCGGACGTGTTCTGCATGGCGTTCACCATCAACAATATCACAAGACGGAGCAGGAAACCAACGGCGTTAACCAGTTGTCTCCCTGTCAAATGCACGTTGACATCGAAATGCGCTGCATAACTCGTGCTGTCATGACTGCATGCAGGCCATGTTGAATGGCACGCGGAGGCGCCTGCGCACGGTCGAGGGGGTGGTGGGTCTCATGCTGACCGTAGGCTACACACTAGATCAGAGTCTTGCTCTCCTCACTCCTTCAGTCGTCATGAGACAACCCCCCCCGGACCCCGCCCCCCCC